ATAGTGAAAGAAAGAGTTTTTTAACTTTGTTTAGGTACACAACAATGCAATAACGAACTAACAAGCAAGTGTTGCCGCATAAAAGTAACCAAAATTGAATTTTAATGAATTAAAAAAAATAATTACTCACCTCATCAAATTCCCACCTATGATAATAGTTTCAATTTAAACTAAAAAAATCACAATTTACCTACGCGAACACTATTTTGCCATGGACTGGTCCCGACTCGAACGCGCAATTTTCCCGCAATTTTTCCAACAATCGGATCAGAGTAAACTTGGCGACAACGACGCGATTTTCCTTTGTACCGACTATCCTGGCCGTTTTCAATGCCATCTTAGCGAGACCCAAACACGCAGCTAATCGAACGCCCAAAAGAGCACTGAACTTTTTTACGGATATCAATGGGACGAAAAAAGGAAAAGGGAAAACGAAGGAAAGTGCGGAAAATAGAGCGTAGCGCGTGTCGTTCGAACGACCTCGGATATCCCTCAGGTTAGTGGCCATTTACACCTTCTAACAGGTATAGAGGTTGTGGATTTTCTCGTTGGCTGTACGCTGACACAGCTGCACAAATATTACTAAGCTGAAGCTGTATATTATATTTTAAAATATAAATTTTTCGAGAAAAAATTAAGAGGTTCAAAATGAACTTATTAAACTAGGGAACACAAAAAATAACCAAGATCTAAAGCACACAAAAAATAGGGGGGATTGTTCATGACCCCCCATAAATATTTTGATCCAATTTTGTAAATTTTTTTGCATTACATGCTCTTTTTATAAAAATAATAGGTGCCAAATTTCATGAGGATTCATTGATATATTATTTTTAGAGGGTTTGAAAAAAATCGATTTTTATTTTGCACTTTAAACTTTAAACAATAACTTGTTTTGTCTGGCATTTTGGATATAGTTAAATATGACCCAATCGACTTAAATTTGACTCTAGAATATATGCTATAATTTTTAACTCACCCTTTTTGACACAGCCTGTATATTTGCGTTAAAATGAGACAGTTTCTCAATCAATTTTAAGAGCTAGATTTTGAAAAATAAGTTAATTTTGCAGTTACATCTGGTACATTTATCTAGCACTTATTGATAGTATTAAAACAATACAATGAAGAGTATAATTTTCAGAGGGCGTTAAACGAATGCCACATTTTTTTTATCGAAAATCTCGGAAAAATCGAGTCCCAATCATCCGCGATGACGTGCGCGTAGGTTATAGGTTTTCTTGAACCAGGAATATTTGTAGGACGGCTTGGCAGCAGCGGCGAATAGCATCTCGCGAGGAGTTAGTTCAGTCATTCACCCCACGAGGTTGAAGTCCGAAGCCACTCAGCTGTTTTCCATGTTTCCACGGCGTATTCGCGCGGACGATTCTTGCGTAGGACGCTCGTGCCGGCTCCGGAGGAAAGCTTTCCCACGTGACGTGTCACGAGAAAATCGAAACAACTTTTTGCGGTTATTTTATTACGGTATAATAACGCAATTTCCATATGGAAAAAGTACTGTCGGAGTAATTTGCACGTTTGCTTGGAATGAAAAAATCTTATTGCTGCTTACCTTTAATTACCTATACAATTAATTAGTCGACTACTACATTACAGGGTGTTGGTACGCCTAAGTTATATATGCTAAATATATTTAGAGATTATATTTGCAAACCAAAATTACGACCAGTCAAAAATGATTGTTAAAACAAATTTAACAATGACCTACTTAAAAATGGTCAAGATCATAACGAACAAATCGAGATTGCAAAGGCAGATACGTTTTTTTTATTATTCCAAACGCTCGGTTGTAGAATACTTTTTTATTTGAGACGAGCATCTTACTTTATGGGTATCCCATTAGGCTCTTGTGTTCAGTGCAGGTGAACCATTAATCGCACCAGAGATGCCGTAAATATATTCAGCAGATAATAGAAATTGGCTTATTAGCCAAAAAGATGAAACAACTAATCGTTTTATTATTTATTTGATTTTATAATTACTTCAGCTAGAGCGAAGAAGCTCTCAGTTACTTCAGTTTTTTTTGTACTACTCACAAAACTTACACTTACTATAAAGATATAGCAACTTCTGTTTTCATTAAAAATATTATTAATATGGCAAAAATAAATATATTTGGTAAGCTTAAGTCAAATATGCTCTTTGTAACATATGAGAGTTTGTAGTAACGTCATGACATAAGATTTAAATTAATGTAATGGATAAAAAAAAATAATGTCAGAAGTGGGATTCGAACCCACGCCCACAGAGTGGACCAGAACGCTCGAAATAACCTATTTGATATAGGCAAGGGAACCTTGAGTCTGGCGCCTTAGACCGCTCGGCCATCCTGACATACATTCTGGTGATCTGAAACATGCACCACATTCTATAAATCTAATTTGTTCGTTCGTTATTTTTGTTTGTAGTTCATTTTACATGAAAAAATTATTATAAAATAAAATTGTTAGACGTAATTAGGTATGATTGTTGGATTCATAATCAATTCCAAGGTTTGGCCAACCGTATTTTTTTCCTATCCTGTAGGAATCTAAGGATAATAATTATTAGATTTAAACGGACATAAAATTGAGCAATAAATTAGAAAAAAACATGATTTGTCGATATTTGATAAAATTTTAAATTTATACACTTCACGACATCTTTATTTCAACTTATAAAGTTACAGGTTCCGTTGGGTTCGTACAGTTTTCTTCAAATTTTAATTGCCTACACAGATTGCCTACAACTCTGCTGCAATCTAAATCATGAACGAAAGAAAGATGATTATTATCATACGTACTATCCGTTCTTCCTTAATCTACATTTTTCGACATTTTGTCATATGTTTTTATAAATTAATTAAACCTTGCTTACAGTGTAAAGAAGTCAAATGGAATAAATTCATTATTTCGGTTACTGGTACATTAAAAATCACAAAGCACGTTAGATTATTAAAAATCAACATTTTTCAACCTTAAAATGTGATCCCTACCTTCTACCCCTTTCGAGTGACAGGTATATACAACCCCTAATTTTAAAAAGAGATGTAAATACTTGTGGTATATCGTTTGAAAGATCTCTTCATTCTCTATCCAGAAATGTTATTGGTTTTAAGTTTATTGCAAAAAATAAAATTTTATTTCCAAAATCGCTGGATCGGGAGGCGAGAATCGAAAGAATGGTCTGCAAGATAACCAGATCTTATACCAGTAGACTTCTTTTCATGTACGTATACAGTAACCGAAATACTGAATGAATTTCATTTGGTTTTCCCACATTGTATGTAGGATAGTTTGAACTACTATAACTCATCAGTTATAAGACTGATTATACTTGGCGCGTTTGGAAGACGGAGTAATAAAAATGTCAGGCGGTTCCAAAATATCCCTACCCCTGTACGGCAAAACCCTGTACAATGATCGATTCGATCGATAGAAATTTCGCACATCGCCTACAATTACTCAAAACCATTCACAGAGTATCAACTTTTAGGCCGGCCAATGGGGAGTGAGTGATACCGGCGACTCGTTAACACCCCGGGTGGACTTCGGCTGATTAATGTGTTTATACTCCGTATTCCAAACGCGCCAAGTATAGTTTAAATTATTTCTAACAATATTTATTTTCCAACATATGTATGCAAAATACAGGGTGTCCCAATGAAAAGTAGCCCCTTTAATGAGCTAATAATTTTTAAACGCCTAATCATAAAAACATGCTAAATGTATGTAGTAACATCATGACATAAGATTTAAATTAATGTAATGGATAAAAAAAATCATGTCAGAAGTGGGATTCGAACCCACGCCCACAGAGTGGACCAGAACGCTCGAAATAACCTATTTGATATAGGCAAGGGAACCTTGAGTCTGGCGCCTTAGACCGCTCGGCCATCCTGACATACATTCTGATGATCTGAAACATGCACCACATTCCCAATGAAAAGTAGCCCCTTTAATGAGCTAATAATTTTTAAACGCCTAATCATAAAAACATGCGGTTTTCGTAGATATATCTTATTTTGCTATAACTTTTTGTTACAGTGACACAAAAATTTTATATCTTCTGTACAGGGTGTTTCAAAAATCCCCCTCTTTTAAATTTACATTAACTAAATTTTATGATGTAGGACATCTTCTTTTGTACAATAACATGTACAAATAACACATTTTTAAAAAGTAGAAGAGTATATCTTTCAAAATATCTCTACATAAACGGGTTATTCCATTTAAAAAAATTGGTTACTGCCATGTGTATTTAAAACAGGAGATTTTGATAAAACACCCTGGGTTGGTAATGCATTATTTCTGTATCACTGCAACAAAACATATAATAAAATAAAACATATGTGAGAAAACCGCATGTTTTTACGATTATTCGTTTACAAATTACAAGCTTATTAAAGGGGCAACTTTTCATTGGGACACCCTGTACATCGTTGAAAGGAAAATTACTTAAATCAAATTTAGTTTCATTAATTTATGTGATGATTTTGTTGAATACAGTTTTATTGGATTTCGTACCTACTTGAGAAAAACACCTACGAAATTGCTAATGACAATTTAATAATAAAAGCAATAAAAACCGTTTTTTCTAGCAAGCAAACACTTTCAAATGGATACAATATTCCTTTAGCATACGACAACGTTTGATACTTAGAATAATTAATGTAAGTTTCTCTATAACAATGATATCCATTTAACTTTAGAGAAGATCCATTTATTTTCCCTCTACAATATGTACGTCAGATAAGTAGGTATATACTTATAGACTTAAAATGTTGAAATATACAAGGGGAGTTCAATTTGTTCGGTAACCATACAAAAGTTATCCAAAAATTTTTGAACAATATGAAATTTGTAAATTATATCTGGTAATGTAAGTACCCTACCTTATACCTCATCAGAATTAATAAAAATAGTTAAAATATGTAAGTAGTAAAGTATTTTATTCAATTATTGTTGAATGTACAATATACAACTGCCCCCTGTAATAAATTTAAATTTAGCTTATAATAGGTACCTCTGGTAACTAACTTTATTACAAAATAATGAAGTTAGTGGCATTATAAAATACAATAATCTCGGAAATAAATTAATCTACATTTAACAGTAACATATTATACTCAATATCAAAGCAAATCACTGAGTAATACCATTACTAACGAAAAAACTTTACTTTCACCGGCGAGTTAAGTCAAATCATCTGCAACACTGCACATAGCATTACTTACTCTACACAGTGCTTCCTAGTTCAGTGTTAAAGAAAGTTTTATTTTCTTTTGTCTAATATTTAAAATATACAATTTTTCATTTGCCATGGGTGAGTTCAACATATTATTCTGTTATTAAAATATCAAATAGACTGTGAAACTTATACAGTTTTTAAATATTTATTTCCTAATTTCGATGAAAATAGTTCTTAGCAATTTAGCTTTAACATTAAAAAAATATAAGTGGTTGATAGTATAGTATTGTTAATAGGTGTCATTGGCAGTAATCGGGTAAACTTTACATTACAGTAATTTGCAAATTGAGTAAAAAATCACTTTCATTTTCATTGCGAATTTTCTGTTGCCAATGAAATTGTTTAAGTAAAGCTACAAAGGGTGTCCTTTCTTTAATAACATTCATACAATATTATTAATCCATATAATTCCAAACTGGTAACTTTAATAAAGGTATAGGTATGTGTCTTTTAGTTAGGTAATAGGAATTACACTGAATATTCTATTTTTTAATAAATTTATGCCAAATAAGCGCATACCTTTGAATACCATTTCAATTATTGTGTAATATTTAACAACAAACATTATAAATAACGTGTAGGTATGTTGACAAAATTCAACAATAAATATTGCACTCTGTCTGATACTCTGCACGTATGGATGTAAACAAATTTACCTAAATTGTAAATATAACTTGGAAGACATAAATAATGTACTCTTAGTAATATTGACTTTAATTGAATATTTTAGAAAATGGCAATAAAAATGAAGCCAATGAAGTGCCTATGCCAAAAGACGCATTGGAAGTAACGATTGGTAATTTCGGAAAATGGCAGTGCCGAATTTGTTTCCTTATGGCCTTACTGAAAATTCCTATCGCATGGTTTACATTGAGCATAATATTTTTGGCGCCTCCAACGCAGTTTTGGTGCGAAACTTACACGAAAATGACTGAATCAAAATGGACCAAAATGACTGAAGTGATGCCCATCAAATTGGTAATTAGCACCTACTTATTTTTATTTTCTGATAATGCAATCTCGTTCTTTAGTTTTTAACTCTCTTGGTTCTAGGAAGGCATGAATGAGGGTTTCTGTGAAATGCTCGACATGCCCGATTACCCTAATCGAACAATACCTTGCAAATTTGGATTTACCTATAATAACACCATATTTACTTCAACCATAATTTCGGAATGGGACTTGGTTTGTGGTTACGAGCGATTAATAGATTTAACCCAAATTACGCTTATGCTTGGAGTGCTTATAGGTACTCCATCAACGTTATTATCTACAAGAAATAAAGCACACCTCTCCCAACTTTCTGTGCAGATACTTACTTGACAAAATTTCAGGCAATATTTTCTTTGGGATTTTGGCCGACAAAATCGGTAGAAAAGCTGTAATAATAACATGCATTCTATTCCAATCGCTTTTCGGATCCTTCGCTTCGTTCGTACCAAACTATTGGTTGTTTATTCTGCTGAGATTCTTCGTCGCTATGAGCTTGGGAGGCACCATGGTCACCTCCTTCGTCATGTGCATGGAAGTGGTCGGCGGTAAATGGAGAACTATAATGCCGATTTTATACCAAATACCCTTCGGATTCGGTAATTCGATAATGGCCGGCATAGCATACATGATAAGAGATTGGAGGTACTTGCACCTTAATCTCTCGTTGTTATCAGGGTTTTATGGTGTGTTTTATTGGTAAGTAAATAATTGTTTACACTAGGCAATAGAAATGGAATTCTTACTCAAGTAAGAATGTTGCCCAGAAATGGTACTTTGTCATATTTTAGGTGTATTCCGGAATCTCCACGCTGGCTTTTAGTCGTAGGTAAAAGGAACGAGGCTATAAATGTGCTTCAAAAAGCAGCTATAGAAAACAACATCAAACGAAACAAATTCCAAACCGGTCTAACGCAATTGTCAAATGTTAATTCGAAGAAAAAGAATTACACCTCCTGTTTAGCGATTTTTTCCACGGAAGAACTAAGAAAGAGAAGTTATTTGCTTTGCTTCAATTGGTACTACCCTATTATTTTTTGATAATCCAAACAACTCGAGCAATTATCAACTATTTTTTAGGCTATTATACGGTGTAACATTTTATGCGTTCTCGCAATACTTAGGTCAAGTTGGGACAAACATATTTTTAACGGTTTCTACGAGTGGTTTCGTGGCCCTTCCGGGTACCATAGCGTGTATAATTTTGGTGGAAAAGTGCGGCAGAAGATGGACTATAATGGCCGCCAATTTACTGGTTGCCATTTCTCTTTTAACAATAATTGTGGTACCTAAAGGTACTTATAATTTCGACTGGCCTAGAGTCACTTTGAGTGCTATTTGTATCGTTGGGCTTTCGGTGAGTTATATGATAAAATATTAATTTGGCACAAATTAATAGGCTGGAACGGTAGGTGAATTAGATATTATATATTTTAGATAACTATGCCTGCTTTATACCTTTTCACTGGAGAGTTATACCCTACAATATTGAGAAATGCTGGTGTAGGAGTATCTATAATGTGCTCTAGGCTAGGTTCCATGCTAGCGCCTCTTATAATTTCTTTAGAAGAGAAAGGATCTTTTGTACCATTAATCATCTTAGCCATGGTAGCCTTTGCTCAATCAGTACTGGTACTGCCTCTACCAGAAACGAAGGATTCTAAATTACCCGAAACTATAGAAGATTTGTGTAAAATTACAGATATAAACGCAGAATGTTATCAGATGTACGAAGTTGTATCAACAAAGGCCGATGCTGAAGATGATCGCAAGTAGAATATGAAACTATTATTAATTTGTGATTTTAATTACCATTTTTATGTATGTTATGTTATAAAAGAAACTGATTTTTAACGAGACTTTTAAAAAGAATTTGTTCGATTTTATTACTCTGAAACACTATTTTTTACAAAAACATTAATGCACGTGACAACAAAGTATTTTATTTAAGTCCATACTCATGCTTGTACCAATTACAAAGAGTAAAATACCTTTTGAATACGCCACTTGCTAAATATCAGTTTTAGAAAATAACTTAATTTAAGTTATGTTACCGATTGTACAAATTACAATAATGGTGTCTAAAATATCTAAACAAACACCATTATTTTTCAAATTCAATGTTTATTAACTATATTAGATACTATGCACAATTGATAGTAAAATACGTAATGAACTGAAATTAATTACTTATCAAAACATAATAAAATTAAGTTTTCTAAATCAACAGAACTTCCATCTGTTGCCACATTCATTGCATAAAACAAACGTTGTCATAGGTTCATCAGAAGACCTCGTCTGCAATTGATTGTATGTGCAATTCCTCTTCTTGCATTTACCGCATTTAAGCATGTCCGTTTTGGTACCTTGAGCTGTTGCCAATTGGGCATCGTTAATAGCCTCTTTGGAGAATTTCTCTCTTAATTTTTTCACCTCGTCATTTGCCATTTCTTCCGCCGTCATAACGGCCAAACGAGATGCGGGCAATGCCCCAATTCTGAAATTCGTCCTTAACGTTGGATTTTTCGGATCTTTCAGATTTGCTATTCTAGATCGTACTCTGTTTTTGTACCGCATATCTGTATTTTTGAATTCGGAGAATATGGCTTCTTCCAATTCTTCCGCTAGCTCCTCTGGTGATGCACAACCTAAAAATTCACAAAACTTATTGATACTGACAATAGTAGCATATATTAATGACCCGTATTCAGCGCCCCACTTTAACCTTAAACACGACTTTAAAGACGCGTCTCTAATTTGACAGTTTTACATTGTTGTTAAGGGGTAACTAGGGACTTTGTAACCCTCTAAAGCCATGTTTAAGTTTAAAGTGGGGCGCTGAATACGGCCATTATAATTAGAGAAATTGCTACAAAAACATGATTGTACCAAAGTACTATTATTACAGATATTACAAGATACAGAAGAAAAATTAGCAGGCGACTTTATCGGATAGTCGTATTCCAATGTATTTTTCTATTCAGTGCAGATGACGAATATGAATATTGTCGATTATGACGATTATGAATACTATAAATATGTATATCTGTCTACAGTATTCGCGTCTGAATATGTTTATACAAGGTGTTCCATAATGACAAGCTAATATTTAAGGGGGCTTAATTTATGAAATCTAAGAGAAAAAATTTTAAGAAAAAAGCTTCATATGTACATGTGACCTAAACCTAAAATTTAGAGAGCGAAAAAGTAAGCCTTATATCTAAGAGATAACACATTATTTTATCTTAGATAAATCGCCATAGTCGTCGTCCTCTTGTGCTCCCAAATAAGGAGTGGGGTCATAGCGAAATAAATATTTGTGTGGATCTCAGTTATGGAGCAGTGTACTAATGTGGTCTCTTTTACCCTTATAGCCTTCGAGGTATACTGTAGTTAACTTTTTCCGATTCTGTATAATCTAATGTAAAAATGGTATCCCACTAACCGCCTGATGGCGAAAAGTTGGGATGCAGAATATCGGTTAGTAGATACTAAATCTGGGCATACCGCTGGTTTGAATAGCCCCATATAAACTTAGGTAATTGCTGTATCTTGTATCCAGGTCTAAAAGAGCTCTTATGCTCTATTTGAGACATGCTTTGAATATTATAATTTAACGATGACATAGTATAGATGTTCTTTTAGTTATGTAATTAAAGCCACTTACTTACCTTCAAAATCTTCTGCTTTTGAATCCGTTTTGATAGCACTAGATAACATTTCCCTACATTTTATCCTTACAGCATCTGTAGTATTTGAACTAGGTGGGAACTGTTTTGGTAGGGTTTTTACTTTTTCTTTATCTTCCCGATTAGGCTTTTCATCTTTGTCCTTTTTTGGTTTATTGGAACTACTGCCGGAGGATTTTTCATTAGAATTTGTTCCAGAAATAAACTTCTTCCAATTTTTTATTAACGTTTTCGAGAGGCTTATAACTTCGTCATCTTTGCTTGATTTTCTTAAAGCGTTTACAGTCATACCTATGCGGGTGTTAGTCAATACCTCTAAATTAATATCTAATTTTTGTAATTCTTTTAGTAAATCCAAAGCTTGCTCTTGGCCCTAAAAATAATCGTTCACTTTTATAATATAAGTACAAACGGATTCTGGAATGTTGCAAATCAAAAGTTCGAGTACAAATTGATTTTAGCAAAGTTTATTTTGAATTGGTACGTACAGTTCCGTCTTCCGATGTCATCTTGTTTAATTTTTTTTGGATTCTCATAACTTCCTCTTCCACACTCATTGTTATTGAAATGTAAATCGAAACTGCTGCCTATTTGTTCAAGTACTTTTCGATATTTATTAATAGTTGGGATTGAAAAAATAGACGCTTCTTCCACCGCCGTGCCGATGTGGTTAATTAGCATCTGTCATATGTCATTCACGCCAACACAGTCAATGTCAAATGTCAAAAATTAATTATAATAAGTGACTGAATACTTTAGAAGACCAAGCCATTTAAAAAAATGAAGAATACATACTCATGACATTGACATAACAATAACAAATAATAACGTCAAAAGTCAAAATACACATGTTTTATATTTTTAACTTTAAGAGCCTCTTAAAAATTTTACCAAAAAAATGAAGTCTTCTCAGCTAACTTTTGATAACAAGATTATTTTAGCCCCTATGGTAAGAGTTGGAACATTACCAATGCGACTACTTTCCTTAGAATATGGAGCAGACATTGTATATTCTGAAGAATTGATTGACTGGAAATTTCTAAAATCTGTAAGAAGGGAAAATGGTAAGGCATTCCTTTTGTTTATAAATGTTTAATACCAACAATCTCTTTTTGCTCTTAACTTTTTAAAATTAATTTTTATTGTACAGGTGTCTTAGGAACCATCGATTACCTAGACCCAACGGATGGGACTGTAATATTTCGTACATGTGCCAAAGAAAAACAAAACGTTGTTGTTCAGTTAGGCACCAGCGATCCAGATCGAGCTTTAAAAGTTGCAAAATTAATGTAAGACAACAAACAATTCCTTTAACTTTAATTTAAAAAAAAATATTCTAATTTTTTGCAGTGAGAATGATGTTTCCGGAATTGACATCAACATGGGTTGCCCGAAAGAATTTTCTCTAAAAGGTGGCATGGGTGCAGCGTTAATGACGCAAAAAGAAAAGGCTAAAAAAATTCTTTCTACTTTAGTTGAAAATGTAAAAATTCCGGTAACTTGTAAAATAAGAGTTTTTGAAAATATTGACGATACGTTAACCTTAGTTAAAGAATTAGAAGCCACTGGAATAAAAGCCATAGCTGTTCATGGGAGAACAAAAGTAGAACGACCACAGCATCCCAATAGAAATCATGTAATTAAGAAAATTGCAGAAACTTTAAATATACCAGTTATTGCTAAGTATGTTTTAATGAAGTTTTTATGTAGCTGATATTTAAACGTTGTGTTAATTTTAGTGGAGGATCCCGTGAAATCGAAAACTATCGTGATCTGTTCAAGTTCAAAGACGACTGTGGATGTAGCAGTGTCATGGTAGCCAGAACAGCCCAGTACAACTGTTCAATATTCAGAAAAGATGGAATGAAAGCTATGGATGATGTTATTGTGCAGTATTTAAAAAAATGCGTCGAGTACGATAATTCACCGAGTAACACTAAATATTGTGTGCAGAACATGTTGAAGGAGTTACAAGAAACCCCTAGAGGAAAAAGATTTCTAGAATGTCAAACATTAGAACAAATATGGTAAGATTCTTGAAATATATTGAGTTAAATTAAAAATAGGGACACAGCGCGTTTTCACCCACTGCAATATTTTGCAGTTAAAATACAAACGTTTAATAAGGAAGTTGGTGTCAAACTTCCGGTATAACCGGAAGTGTAATCAAAATGAAAATATTTTAGATCAAATCATATTATCCAAAAAATACTATAACCAGAATTTCAGATTTTTAAGTCTTTTCATTATTGAGATACTTCTAATGGACGGTTACCGTGAAAAGCCCTGTATATTACACCATTGGAAATTGCTGAAATATTGCATAGTAGTTCAAATACAAGCGTTCAAATGCGATAAAATACGATAATTTTTATTAACGCTTGTATAAAAACTGCAATGCAGTATTGCTGCAATATATTGCACTGTGTGAATACGCTCTAAGGAAGTATTTTCTAACAACATAAATGATTTTAGTAACATATGGAATTTAGGCGACTACTGTCGTCAAAAGCAACTGGAATACCAAACGAAAGGAAATTTCGGTCGAAGGGAAATAATGCCTGAACTTTTAGACCCACAACGTAAAAAACAGAAAACAATATTCGATAATGAAAACATAGACGTGTGTTTAAACTGCGCTTTCATTAGGGCAAATTACACAGAAGATCCAAAATTACCAAAATCGAGATTGATGTCTTACTGTGGGAAAAACAAACTTAAAAGTCCAAAATACAAAGTGTTCAATGAGGACAAATTATTCAGAGCTATTGTTACCATAGAAGACAAAAAGTATAGTTCTTCGTATTGGTGAGTAATTTCATTTAACCAATATAATATGTATTATGTAAAAATACAAAATGAAATTGTTTTTAGGGAGAAAAATAAAAAGTTTGCAGAACAAGGAGCAGCGCTTGTCGCTTGTGTGTCAATAGGTTTAATTGATAAGTGCGATTTAATCAAAGATGGAAGTATTTTAGAATAAATTGAATACTAGGAATTAAGAGTATATCTTCCTGTTTTCTACTCCTTTTGGCCACCCAATACTTGCTGGCCAAAGTATTTTGGAACTAGAGGAAATTTCATAAAGGTTTTTGTGTTATTAGTCAATTACATTTATAATAAAATAAATATATATTTTAAAACTTAAACACAAACAATAATTAGTATTTACGTTTCGAGGATTTCATTATTTTTTCATATAAAGTCCACGATATCGCTGCTACCAATGTGCGTCTCATTAACCTGGGTAGAATACCTTGAAAATAGCCCACAGCGCCATGTCGAACGTATACGTCAATAATCACAGGCCACATACCGTTAAATTTGTGAGGATAAAGTTGCATCTGTGTTTTAAAAACATCAGGAGGTTGAGTGACTAGACAAGCTAGAGTGCTCGATATTACGGCACAAGAAAAGTTTGCAACTGTGCTGTTGTTCGTATAAATATCTGCAAAAATGGTATTTATTATCAGGATAAATCTTTCTTCAAATTATTGTAGTTACCTTTCGGTATCAAAGATTTGGATTGGGTGTAGAGCATTAAGTATATGCCAGCATACGGAGCGTCTCTAAATATGGTAGGCACCAAACCTCTTGTTAAACCCTTTAATCCTTCAGTCTTGAATATTTCTCCTATTGCTACTGTGACTCCGGCGTAATTATATACTCCGCTTTCAACTCTGAAATGTTAAAAGGACCATTAGACTTTAGTAAAGAAACTTGGTTGTTATGCAAGAAGTTTATGCCTTTTCCACGATAATTTTACTATAAAAACCAACTATTAATGCAGGTCAAAGACTATAAATAGAATAAAAGAAGAAATTCAAATGAAGAATAAAAACAATGAAAATATGAATTGATAATTGTTAAGTTAAGCATGGAGTAATATAATTAAACCTACCTCGTTTTTACGACAGTTAAAGGCATCAACGCTGCTCCAGCTATGGAGCGGGCTGCTATTCCTACTAATACAGATTCGGTTGGATTCAAAACTCTATTATTAAAAACGTAGGATTTGATATGGGTCAATAGACCGAAATACAATCCTATTCCAGGTACAGTCTTTACTAATGTCTGTAAGGAAAACAAAAGATATTTAGAAATATGCAAAATAAGGAGTTTAAAATAGTAAATAATGTAGTTCATAATATACAGGGTGTTTATTTGACACTTAATTAATTAACACCCTATAACTGCAGGGGACCATTTTACAAAATAATATACATTGGTGTCATTAACACAATTATATTTTTTTCAAATTCATTCAATAAAATTAGATAAATAATGAATGCGGAAAAAATCTTTAAATTATTAAAAAAACGGAACTGAAGGTTTTACATTTAATAACAAAATGTTAATGAAGATATGATTAAAGCTATTTTTGTAGTATGTACCAATTTAGACAAAAGTTATTTCGTATCAAATACGAGCATAGATACAAAAGAATAATTTATTCACAGAAGAGATAAAAAGTTTGGCTCAAGTAAATATGTAAATAATCACGCGACTACCATATGATAAAACTTTCAGACATTTAGTTGTTTTTATTTAGTGTTATCTCCAATAGTGATATAAATAGTTAATCTGCCCATAACCAATACCCCCTGCAATGATATGAGTCGGATATGCGTAACCTACATGACCCCCTATGGAGATTTATAACTAACAAGCGTAATTATTATGAACATTGTTTTCAAAACACATTACTATTTTTTGCATTTTACGATTTCCTAATTCCTAACTATTTACACATATTTGGACGTCAGAATATGTAACAAATATGTAGGTATTTAAAAACATGTATCCCATAGAACGTCATATGATACGCCTTAGAAAATGGATAAAAATCAAAAGCCTGCAATACTTACGGGTGTAGTTCCTTTCCAGAACCCTTTAATACTTTCTTCTTTAATAATATTAGAAATTATTGTAGTGAATAAGGGTTTGCCATTGGTCGACCTTAAAATAATATGTAAAAATAGCAATTAGTTTAAAAATAAAAAAATGGAAAGGTACAGAATGTACAATTACGAACATGTGTTTACAGATGATATTATTTTCTATGCTTGGACTGTTCTTTTTGATAGGATTAGCTAGGTGCTAAATTAATATAACTTACGTGGTAACTGAACCAGACAAATTTTGTAGGCGAGTTTTAACAACATCCAATGGTTGAAGTAACACGGTACAAATTACCCCAGAAGTTGAACCGGATAAGAAAGCCCTTACCGTTGAATTCTAAATATGAAATAATACGTATGTTAAAACTCTAAATTTTTAGATAAAATAGTATCAAGCCTTAAATAAGTAATATAATATTTACCTGAAGTAAGTGGGAATAATAAACATCGTCCTTGTATCTATTATTTATCATTTTGGTAAACTGGTATTGGTTTTGAAAAGCCATTTTCTCCTATATTTTAATACTGTATATTACAGTGAAATTTTTGGAACACTAGATTATCCAAACATATTATGTAAATAACCAATTACTATTAAATAGTCAAAATTATCACTTTACTATTTAATTGGTATAAATATTAATGATTACCACCACTAAGCTTAATTTCGAATGCACAGATAGCTTTGACTACTTGTATTAATGTGCGTAACATCGAATTAACAAACCGTAACTCAACCAAACTGATAAAGATATAGCGTAATTACTCGACATTTTAAACATACATTATACATATGTAATTACTGACACTAACATCTGACACTTTCGGACGAATAGAGAAAAGGAAAGACCACGGTCGTATATCATAAGGTCTGGCAACTGAGATATTCTTAGTTAATTCCTAAAACGACCGAAAGGTGGCAATGTTGAAAAGAATATTTTTTAATTCAACATTTAGGTTGCTGAGGATGCAGGCACAAAATAGATATTCTAATAAATTATTTGCAGAGCTCATTTCTCAATTATTTTATTTGTCAACAAATATTATAAATTTATGTAAGTTTTAAAGTAAGTAATGCACGTCGCTGATTGACTGGGATAGGCTGATCGTTCGCCACGGTGCGTTGTCCTTGTAAACTATCAAAAAAAATCTTCATTTAACGGGACACCGCAACTAATATTAAAAATCACTAAGTTTCCAGACGTCATGATATATGACCGTGACTGACGATAGTGAGTGACGTTCACAATTCACTGTTTGCATTGTTGCCATGCTTATTTATTTTCCGAGTCTTTGCAATTATCATTTAGTGTATTTTTAGTACTCGGTATTATAGCTTCGGAAACTACATTTTTGGATATAAATTTGTTGGACATTTTCTTTCAAGTTTTGAAGTCTTTCTATTTTTTCCGTCACATAGCGCAATTATTTTTATTAAATTTTAAAATTAAGTTAATCTTTTTATTTCTTAATAAGTACGTAATTAAATATTTGAAAAATATGTCAATACAGAGTATAAATACATATTTTTAATATTTAGGTACCTATAGATTATTAGAGTACAATTTCTTTCGTCTTTCAAACGCCGATACTTCAATGCAAATACTAAAATAATGTTTTCTCACTATTTGAAACTTTCATTTATGAGAATTTATGAATCTAGTAGCCTTAAAGATAATAATATCATCATTTGTTATAAAATGAAATTAAAAGTAGCAAGAAAGTATACCTTTAGAGTTATTACTATCTATACATCATATCTACGGCTTTGACTTTGATTTAATTATATGCGGAATGCTCGCGGAATTGAAATTGTCTCCGGTTTAGCACAAGGCGTTGGCAATTCTTAAACATATTATTTATCAATTATACTCGTACATTATACCTTATAGCTAGTATGCAGTTTATAAAAAAAATAAAGGTGGAGAAGGTCAAAACCTACCTATATAAACGGATATGGGGTGAACGGTAAGCAATCAGTGTTGAAGACAGATCTCAATATGAACGCTTTGGTAAGTATCTCCTACCTAATATGTGATTTTGTATTTTACCTGTATTTCATACTCTTCTGTGTGTAAACATTTCGTGTGTGTAATAATTAATCAGTGATGCTTAAATTCCAACAGGTCCTCGCTTTGTCCGCCCTTTTGGCCGTAGCATCGGCAGCTCCCTCCTGGGGACACGGAGTAGTCTTGGCCGCTCCCGTAGCTCATGGAGCAGTTTTAACCCCTGCTGTCCACGGAGCCGTAGTAGCTGGCCCAGTAGCCCACGGAGCCGTCGTTGCTGGCCCAGTAGCCCACGGAGCCGTAGTAGCTGGCCCAGTAGCCCACGGAGCCGCCGTTATAGGACCTCACGCTCCCGGTGCAGCTGTAATTGGACCCGTAGAAGGACCTTCTGCCATCATTGGACCGAGAGCTGGACCTAGTGCTGTCGTAGGACCCGTAAACCACGGCGCCGCTGTTGTAGGGCCCGTTAACCATGGCGCCGCCCTCGTAGGACCCGTTAACCATGGCGCTGTTTTGACTCCAGCTATTGCTGCACCTTCTGTTATCGCCGCTCCTGCTATTGGTACGTACACAAATGCTGTAAATTCATTCAGTCATGAATTTTTTGTTAGAAAAAAGAAGTATTAACGGAGTCATTATTGCGAATATAATTTAATTTCAGGTGTTGTTGGAGGATGGGGAGCTCATGGATTGGGTCATGGTGGTCATTGGTAAATTAAAGAATAGCTAGCCTATCATAAACACTGCCACTCAATTATAAACGTGTAAATATTCTATTGACCCGACAATAAAGACAGAACCGCCAAAATACTAATCTTCTATACATAATTTTCTTCTTCAATTTTTCTATCTTCTATACTTCCTCTTCTTATTGTCGATGTCTGTGGAATGTTTTACACCAATCTGGAATAGTCTGAAATGGTTTAAATGCATGTAAGTTTTGAAATTTATACCTATTATACGTAATTATTAGCAATATTTGCTCAATAAAGAGTTCAAAAATATACCCTCACTTTTATTATATTGTTATTAAGCAATATTAAGCAATATTTATAAAACTATAGGATATCTCTTCAAATATAGTAATTAATATTAGAGAAAATATTCAAGATATATTCAAAAATATTCAAAAAAGAAAGAAAAACTTCAAATATTTAAAGAAAATAATGTCGACATTAAAAAAAGTATATCAAAGAAATTTATTGAGGCACTTGTAGTCAATTGTGTGAAAGACAAAGATAGAATATTAAAATACCTAACTGTGGTCCCAAAATAACACCCAAAATAACATCCCACTATAACACCCTTTCTTTTTCTTTTTATGAGAGTTGCGTCTGTTGCACCTATAGACCATTATACTATATTGTGTACAAAATTGCATTTACATATCTGTTATACTTGACGAAATAAATAAAAAATAACTCAATTCAAATATAAATTTAATCTATTAAAATAAGGTACAAAGACATCAGTTCGATACCAAGGTCCAATTATTACCAAGGGTGGTGAACGGGAGCGGCGACTCCTGCGAGTGTAGGCCCCCACAAACCGTCGGCTTTGACAACGCCAGATGGTCCTTCGATGACCACTGGGGCGGTTTTCGGACCGGAAACGATGGCTCCGTGTCCGCTCACTCCAATAGTACCTACGTAAAGGGATTATTGAAATCTATTGTACCTCTGCAGCGTTCGAATCGGAATATTTACCTCCTCCATTGGTGAGGGCGACGGCGGCGGGGGCAGGAGCGACGGGAGCTAGAATTGGAGCTGACAGTGCTACAGGGGCTATGGGTGCAATGGGCCCAAGAGCGGGTGCTAAGCCCAAAGAAACGGCTGGTTTAGAGATTATGGTGTGAGCTGAAGGTGGTAGTAACAGCGTTCCTGGCGATATCAGTTGCAGGCCTAGTCCTAATCCTAAACCACTCGGAGCTGCTGATGTTACTGCTAAGGTAGCTAATAAAATTGCGATCTGTAAATTGAGAAACTTGTATTGATAAAGTTTTCTTAGTAAGACGAAAATACGGTTTAACAAAAAGAATATGTGAAAGGAGGAAGTACATGTAACCAGGAAGCATTGGGATTTCGATCGACCTCATTCCATTTAGTGCTTTAGAAGATTTTGTAGCTTTATAAGTTGAAGGAATAATCTAAATTGTTATAAATAAGGACTGTGTTAGTTGCTTTTATACATATGTATGTAGATCCTATGTAGTTTTCTTATATAAGTAGAAATTAAAAAGAATGATGAAGGAACTTACCAAACTGTTCATGTTGAGACTTCTGACTGACGACTACTAATGCTGCATACATCTCTACCCCTCGATTTTATAAACTTACTCTACGACCTTCGTTATTATTCTTTGTCCGTTTACGAAATACCTACACCTAGAGAGAGAATTATTCCAACGAAAAAAACGCGTTAAGTATAATACAGGGTGTTTAAAAATGAATAGTTAATATTTCAAACGTTGTTTACTACTTTAAAAATATCGGGCAATGTTTTGCTGCATTGTATAAATTTCAATACTATGACGAAAGGGATAGAAAAGGTATTTATATTGTTATTTAGTAGACAAAAAGCACAAAAATTTTAAGACACCAATCTAACAATTAAAATATCGCTTTCGAAACGAACTGTATAATTAAAAAAGTAACTAATAAATACTTCTCCAGTGTTAAGATTTTCGATATTTTTTAACTCTACTACAACTTTTCATAAATATATAATTCGCATTTGTCTTGAATGCATGATTTCCTTAGCAAGGGAGTGGACCGTTTCGCGGTGAAGGACAAGGTGGGTAGCGGTTACTGCAATTAATCCATTTTTTAAAATTTTTATAGAATACATAAGTATACTATCTACGTGTACGAATATTAGGATTGTCGTTCTATAAGATGAATCACTCTACGCATATTAATGTTCCTAGTGAACGGAAACCGTTAATAAAATACGCCCTGTGTCATTGGATTTTATTATCGACGGAATCAGTACTTCGATTTCATCATTTAATACCATTTAATTTTTTATAGAGTACCTAATACTACCGGGGTTGGTTTTTATTTTTTTACGTAATTTAACTTTCCTAGATAATTGAGCAGTTTCAAAACATGTACGGAATTTTTTTGCAAACAAAAAATATTATAAATGTTGTTGAAAGCTTCTCAAGGCGGTTTATTGAACTTTTCTCGTCATCAGCAGTGGTAATTTAAATTAAGTGCAGAAATACATTTATTAATAGAGTACATTTATATTAATATTTATACATTTATTAGTAGAGTATAGAAGATTAGAGAAGAGTAAGTCAGAGGAGAGTAGAGTTTACAATTTACCTGTCAGATTAAAATCTGTAATTTCTTTTGCGTCCAATTTATATTCGTCTCTCGTCATCTTCGTCAATTTTTAAGGAATAATTAAATAAAACCAGGCAATAGTTATAATTATGTATATTTAACCAAAACTTTGGTATACAAGCATTTAGAAATTAAGAGTGTCAAAATGGCAATCTTTTATCAAACACACTCAAAATCTTCTTAACGCTACAATCCAAAATAAAAAAACGAATTAATAGTACATATTATAAAATTTAAGATGGGAAAAGTTGTATACAAAAGGATTAGTATGTAAGATTATTACCGAAATCAATATAGAGTGGAGTATTACTATTCAAAGTTATTTAAATCGATTAGGGTGTACCGTTAAATTTTAACATCTTTTATAACACTAAGTAATAAGCGAAAATTTCGAAATATTTCCATTCGATAATCGATTGTAACAAAGCAAACTGATACAATGAATCATTCAAAATGAAAATAATAAAATTTAATGGTTCACCCTGTAGTTTATTCCTTAGTCTAGTGAATATATAGCACACTTACAATACACTTATTAAATGGCATTTCAAACCATTATCACAAAAAAAAATATTTATTTGCCACTTTTCTATGAGAAAGTTAGTTAACTAATTGGTTGACTAGTGATTATAAAAAATGACAAATAATTAAATATACAGCAGATCTATGTCAGCTAAAATTTGCAAACTATTTAGGAACTTGAATGTAGAGTACTAAAATGACCGTTTAAATAATAAAAAAAGTGACCAATTAACGATATTTTATAATATTTTACATTTTAAGAAATATATCCATTAGGTACTACCAAAAATTTCCATTTTGGTTGTTTTAAAAAGGTATTTGCAAAAATGTAAAATACTATAACGAATTCAAATATGTTCTGTCTGTAAAAAGCAGTAGAAATCAGGTAGTGACTTGACTGACTTGCTGATTATACAATAATAATTACAATGTAAAAAATAATTGAGGTATTGCGAAGTAATTATAGTGATTAAATGAATGGTAAAAAAATCTAATTGGATATATTTTTGTGAAAATAAATATTAATGGCAATAAAATACGATTTTTTTTAAATAGAATTAGCCCGAAATTTTACCAAAACATTATTGTTTTGCGTATTCTGTGGGTACAATTAGTTCGTCAGTCAACAAAGGCGTTCCTGCAAACAGATCAAGTCTAAAATGCCAAGAGAACGGTAATCTCATTAGAAATACGACTAAATCTACTGTTACCTTATGTAATTGAAAGGATTACAAGCTTGCTTTGGATATCAATATACGCTTCATCGATAATATGAATATTTATATTTTAAATGATAACTTTTTTCGCTATGTTTTCTTAATTCTTAACTCTGAGTAACTATATCGAACAGCTACAATAATTTTCATGCATAAATTTAAAGACATTGATATATTCATAAATTTTGCAAATCAAGTCATATAATTTAACATTACATTTTATTCTAAGAAAAAAAAATATAAGATGAGAGTCATTTGACAATTTAAATTATAATGTAAGCATTTAACCAATTTCGCCCAGGAAGCACCTTTTACGTTATAATCGACTATAAATGGTGCAGAGCAAACGAAATTAAATAGTAAAATAATAAAAAAAAACATTTTCTCAATAAGTTTCTCAAAAAAAATTCTAAAGTAGATCATTTTGATCCACCAAAATGTGATTAAATAGGGATAAGTTCCAGAGAATCCAACGAAGTACCAGAGTTTTCCAGAGTTCCCGTAAGAGTGGAACAATGCCAATAAGTAGCATGTCAAATGTTTACATTATAATAAATAAAAGCGAAAAATCAATGCAAAAAGCTAAATGGACTGGAAATCGTCAACTGCCAACGTTCCCTCATCTTTTACAGCTCTATATAAATTTTTGCCACAGCTTCTGTATAATTACAAGATGGCGATGCACAACCTTCAAACATTTTTACGATGAAAAATAACTAAATCATATCGCCAACTCAACTACGAACTATGCAAACGAAAATAAACAAAAAACAACTTAGTATCCATAAGGAAAATCGAACGATAAGCTAACTATAATCATTAGAAAAGCCTACAGTATGATGATTGATTTGTGACGATTGGCTATTTTAAAATTTTGGCACCATCTGTAGACCGAAAAAACGAATGAAAAATAAAACTTTCACCCATTTGTAACCCAATAACCATTCACAAACCATAAAATATCACATGACACATTGAGCCACTGTTATAAAAACGACCGAGATTCATTCGAATATACCAAAATATTGGCAGAATGTGTACGTATTGGTGTAAGCGGCTCCATCGGCCCCAAAATATTAGCAAATTAACAAAAAAAAAAAATAATATTATATAAAAAATTGCAAAAAAATTATGCGCACATTTGTTAGAGGAAACAAATTTTTAGATGTTTTTGAGAAAAATTTCACGTAAAAATTAACCAAAACATCATTTTCAAATCAATAATCTCGTAAAAAGATTACTTCGAAATAAATGAAATCCAAGTAATTCCGAATAATACGGAAATAATGCACAACAAAATACCAAAAAATCACCTAAATAAGAGTCTACAATAAATACTCACATCGTCCCCAATTGCATAAAAATTCATCGCGCTTGTGCTAAGTTAATAAAAAAATTATTAGAAAGAATCAGTCTCGAATTTTTGAGTGAGTATTCAATGCTGACGAGGAGATTAAATGTTACATTAACCGTTTGAAACAAATCCGAATTTCTTGACTAACCGAAAAATACCAACAAAAAAATTGGTCGAAGTATTCCCCTTTTACAGATTACACTGCCACAGTATCGTAGGCTGAGAGTCCCCCGTTTGCTGGGTAGGCTTGCCCTGTTTCGTTTCTAAAAAAGTTAAAAATTCATTATTCGACTCAGCAGTAAAGCAAATGCAGGATTTATGCGCGCAGATCTTAAATTACAATTTCATAGAAATAGTAGTAAAATTGAAAAAATGTAACCCTTCAATAGTTGCTTACAAAAAAGTGAATAGTGAAAGATATTATTCAACAACTTCAATGTAAACTTTATACATTTTTACAGAAATGTTTTAATAAGATCGGCGCGATAATATAGTTCTGCATGTTTCTGTAAAAAATTCACCACTAAAATTAATACAACACCAAGAGTGAAAATCAAAACTAACACATAGTGCATTCAAAAATGTTAACACACAAAAAAAGCTTTGTTACAGTGCTGCTGACTTACAGTTTCCTGTTTGAGAGGAATTCATGAAATAAACGATTTTTCTATAATAAGATTTCATTATATAAAATGGGTATTAGCATTTAGGGAGGTGATTAAGAACCGATTATTTTGAACTACCAGTTAGAATTAGAAATGAAATTAGAGCGTCGTCAAAATAAGCCTCTGTTAAAGTTTATGAGAAATTAATTTCTACAGATATAGCTGTTTTATTAATAGATAATATTTTTTTAATGAAAAACAGATGTATTCATATCTTAATATTTGTAAATATCAAATTTAGAAAATCGTGAGAGATTATTTTATACTTATGTATGATATAGAGATGAGGATATCAGATAAAAATTGCATATAGTACCTACATACATATGTAGGAATGAATATATTGCTATGTAGCAGAAAATTGGTTGGAATTGGTAGTTCAATATAGTCGCAATAAATATATGTTTTGAAAATCCTAATAAAAAATGGTAAAATTGAAAATTTTAAGACGACTTTATATACAAAAATGTTGATGAATCTTCACTGCTAACATTTCAAGCGAATTTGTAAAATCTTGAAAAAAGATCTCCCAAAATTGACTTCCAAAATTGATCTTGAATTAAAAGTATCTTTAAACTCGAGGCACGATTTCGACGTTAAAAATTCGCTATAAAATGCAGAGCAAATGAACGTTTCATGTCTATTTTGGGGAAAAACGATGATCTTACTGACCTCTCAATCAGTTTGCGCATTTCTTCATGTGTCATGCCATCCTTTGAGTTACCTCTCATTACTGAAAACAAATTACTCTTAACTACACGACCACGAGACGACGTACAGCTAATAGAAATTAATAAGAAACACGGGATAAAAATTTAGAAACCAAACTTTAAACCAAGTGGGTAAACAAATAAAGAGTAATTCATAGCAGGAAGCGCAAATCTTTTACGTTTATGTTTGATGCTGGAAGTTTCAAAAAATAATGATAAACCTTTGCAAAAACCCGAGTTAATAGGTTTTTAATTCAAATAATCATTTCTGGTATGAATTACTCGATAATGAATAAAATTTTGAAGGGGTCATTTAATCACAAATAAAAATTAATGCATATATGCATGTATGAAAGGACATACGTGATTCTAAAAAAAATGTACGATAAGTTGTGAAATAATCTTATAATTATAAAAAAATAGATAATTTTGAAATATGTCAAATAATTAGTGCCCCTTAAGTACATATGCGCGATGATAAAAAAAATGTAAAGTTGATATGCAAATGAATTAAAAAAACAAAAAAAATGTTAAAAACACACAAACAACATGCGATGGATTGAACTGATTTTCAGATAAAAAATATTGAATAAAAAAATATGCAAACAAGTAGTAATTATTTTACTAAACAAACATATTTAGCAAATTTTGGTTAATAATAATTATCTGAAAATTAGCCCTAAAGTAACAAACACCATGCATGGAAAATCCAGATGAAAACGTGTTATGTTAATGGATGATTTTATGACATGAGTTGAAGAACCTAATCTAATAGAAATAGATCACGCCTGCAACTCACTTACCCTGTTCATCTTCTGAAAAATATTAATAGTTTAAACGTTTAATCATTTAGAAGATTTAACTATTTTAAGGGCACATCAGGTTTTATTTCAACCATTGGCTAGCGAAAGTAAAATTCAGGAAGAATGTGTCCCAACGAAAATTCAAAATGCACTAAAGCATAATGACTATTATTAAAAATATAAAAATTACGAAAATAAAAATAAAATGTGCAGTAAAAATATTAATAACTACTTAATTCAATAATACGTAATCAATCATTCAAACGGTTCAAAATAAAACCTGATTCATGTCAATTGTATTGAATTTGTTCAGAATCGTTTGTTGTAGAGGGAAAATGTGGCAACAAGGTATGTAAAGCCCAACTTATAACCCCCGTTGTATAACGTAAAGCACTAGGCCTGCATCTACTAGAAAAAATTATTATCAATATCCTTATGTAAAAAAATACTTTACGTTACACCGAGCAGGTTAAAAATTCAGCCCTAACATAGCAAACTCACCGCCGTAGGTTCGGCTATTTATCAACTGGTCTCTGTCGCACTCAGCCTCGGATATCTCGTTGCTGTCCTTGGAATCGTTGAAGGAGGGATCGTGGTTCCTCGGCGGCGGCGGTGGCGGCTCCGGGCTACCGTTGTTCGGGGGAATTCTCAGGGAACCCAGCGAGCGACGACCGATCGAACCGCGGCTGCCGTATTGATCATATGGCGCTCCGTAACCTCCGTATTGGGATCCGTATTGCTCGTCCTCCGGTGCGCAGTTTGCCGGGTCGTCGTATTCCGGGCCGGGAGAATAGATGCTGCCGTTTCCTATATGAAACATAATCGTATTTATTACAAAGGGGATCCATAGAAATCGATTTAAAAAGTCGGTCAATGTGCTGAAAGTTATTTAGGAATCAGTTCCCAGAAGACTTGGTGACAATGGACAAGAACAAGCTAAATTTATGAGTGATACAAAATATTCAAAATAAGAGCAGGGTGGCATAGGCTATGCTGATTCTAGACCACTTTTAGCTGGTTCAAAGGTTGGTTTTTTAGTTTTAGTTGGTTCCAGACCACGTTTAGTTGGCCTAGAACCAGTCTAGGATTTGCATGATCTAAAACCTGCATAGGAATGGTGTGGTCTAGAAACGGCATAGGAATGGAGATGGTTTAGCATCAGCAAGAATGGATTGGTCTGGAATAGGCATAAGAATGGAGGTGGTTTAGAACCAGCATAGGAATTGGTTGGTCTAGAACCGGTATAGGATTTGAGTGGTCTAGAATTCTTGAGTGGTCTAGATTTCTTCATAAATCCTTTGGAAGCCATTATGGCACTGATACAAATTTACTAAAAAAGACAGTTTACAAACCTTGCGATCCAACTCTGTCGTATCTGTTCCTGTTTTGTCGCGGCATCGATTGGGAGCCGTTTCTCGAGTGCAGTCCGTGCGGAGTGGTCATTCCAGATGGTCCGATGGTGCCAGAATGAGGATGCGGGAACGTTTGGAATTGCAGTGCTTTGGATGGGTCCATTTCTTCTCTGAATCCAAGCAGATGGAACGTCGCGTACGGGCAAATTTCGTCGTCCATGCCTTGAAATAATCGTAAGCGGGTGTGTTTTATCGAACTGCGTAAATTTCCGATATAATCTGTTTTTTTTGGTTGATGCCCGATGATTCAATTTAATTATATCAGCATCAACCAAAAGAAGCTGTCCATGCGGTTGTGATAGCGTTTTCGCAAAAAAGCTCAGTCGACTAAACTTACTTGGGTTAGTAGAAGGATGCAAAACAATAATACACTCATTTGCTGTTAGTTTTCAAATATAAATTAGAGATACCTAAAAAGCTCAGTTTCAGCGAAACCGAACTTTTCGGAAGAATATTGCCACAAAAAATGCTGGATAAATTATAGCAAAGAATAGGAAAACATGAATTTCGAAATGAACAATGAATCATGAACGAAAACACAAAGAGTTTGAATACCATACCTTCTCGTTAACACCTTTCGTAGAATTATTTTAACAACATTTTTTGGTACAATAACGTAGCGAGTCATCTCCAGTTACCAAATTTCAGCCAACACACCAATCACTTATACGTGTACTATACTTTCAATTTTGTACATTTTTGTATTTGCAATCGCTTGTCTTAGAACAGTGAATACGAAGGTAAAATGAAAAATTAAATAGAACTTAAACAAAAATCGATTTTACCTTCGAGCACGCACGGAGTACAAGACCAATCGATTATCAAATACCTTTCGAAAAGCGCCAGGAAGCTCTTTGGAAAGTCAAATATTCATTCTACGATTGTTGTGAAATGTTTACCTCTGTGAGTATGAACAGTTTCATTAGAGCCTCTCCTACTTCTCAATTCCTCGTACAAATGGCGTCTGGGATCCCAAGTCGAATGAGAACGGTAATGTGCTCCTACATGTACAATTATAAAAAAAACAAAAAAAAAGTATGAACTATCGCAAAAGCGAGTTTCTTATGCCTTTACCCCACTGTTAATAAGGCCCTTGTATGAAACAATTAACAGCAAATTAAACAAAGGGTTTAAAGGGAGAGCACTACTACATAGATCTAACAATTAAGCATACGCATGATAATAGGAGTTTGACGTTATGGATTTAATTCTTTTGAGAGATTTCAAGAGATCCTACACCCCTGCTATTCCAAATTAGTCTCTAAACTGGTTTATTTTAATTCGCTTATTACCAACAATATCACAATCCCCAAAAGAATTGAACTCTATTATAACTCAAATGACAATGGCGCAGACAATAAGAATAGGGTAATGTAAAATAATAAGCATGCACATAAGAAGCAGCAATGATCTTACTTATTGTACCTCTTTTGATCCTATCGCAAGTGTTGTAGTTTGAGCCGGGTACCGGGGGCAGTTTCCTGTTTGGAGGGGCGATGTACCCTAATTCATCTCTAAGATCCGGGCGACGTTTGTCAAGAGTGTTGCTTGCGTTACACGATTGATTGTAGACCACATCGTCTAAATAAAAATTAGAATAATTATTAAAATATGCTGTACACAAATGAGAAACATTAAAATGGACAGTGCTTTCAAAAAAAAAAAAAATATATGAACTATTCTAGTTACAATGATTAGAGGGAATAGTCAATCTGATGTAAATTATTATTACTTCATAGTGTAATAGAACAGGATAAATCACCTTAGGTCAAGCTAAATTAACCCAAAATGATTCTCGCCCAACTTCTAATCTACATCTGACCTATAAAGAACTAACAATAATAACGAAAAATAAAAAAAAACGTTTAGATGAGATGAAGAATGGGCCATACACATACAGTCGCTCCGGAGCCTAGTCTGGAGAGGCCCGTGAGCTTTCCTGGAAAGCGCCACGCAAACGACAACAATACCAACTACAAGAACAACAACCGTCGCTGCAACGGGCACGGCTATGTTCCAATCGACCCAATCGGGAATCCAGGGGAAGAGCAACTTCATAGTCGGCATATCTCGGGCCGGTGCGATCGTACCTAAAATAAGGAACACACAATTACACTGTACCTTTATTATAGTTTCCTTTGCCACGCAATACACAGATCACAATTATGGCAACAATTATGACCAAGACGGCAGCCACTACGGGAACTACAAGGTTAAGGTTCGCAAGGATTATTTGTATGGTGTCCTCTTTGGGAATTTCACGAGCCGGGGCAATAGTACCTGAAACCAAAACACAGGGAGTGTGTCAAGGGGTTCCAGATAGGACGCTACATTGTGCTCAGGTTTTTTTTAATGACTATGTCATACATCTGTATAATGATACCGCAAACTTATTTAAATTCAAAAAGTTTATACGCGACTGTATTTATTTATTTGGAAATGGATTATAATTGAATGATAATAAGATGAATAAAATGAATAAAAATATCTAAAGTGCTTTTTCAGCGTTAATTAAAAAATTAATTATCAGATTGTTACTGATTTTATTCGAAACATTTGCTGCAGGATCCCCACATTTTAAATAATGTGATAACACCTTGTGACTATTAAAATTCATTATTGAATAAATATGTTTGAAGTATCATTCATCATACACTATTTATAAAACAATCCATTAAAATGTATGTTAAATTTTGTTAGTTATTATTAGACAAGTTACAAAAGAGAAATTAATTTTTACAGGTTCCAATACAAGCTCAACTTTGAAATTTTCTGCAAAAAAAATCTTAAATACGCTGAGCTTATTAACTAAATTAACAAAAAATAATTTTACTTAATGATCACTGATCAGTGTCAGTTTTAGTATCATTGATTAAAACATTTACCAAATCTTACAACACCTATACATTTATATTGCATACATAAATTAAAGAACTACCTACAGTTAACAGTAAAGGCAAAAATGATGAAGTACGTTAAAATATTTGTTACAGGTATAAAACTAAGAAATCTAGACAAATATAGAAATTAAACTACAGCTAAACTAAATTGGAGAATATTGCACAGTCTTGGTGGTCAAATCGTTATGACACAACGCCTCACGATTCTTTTAAATTGCATCCGGATCTCACATATACTTCATGTAGATACGCTAGACAGACTGTGTTCTTGTATAATTAAGTATGCTTTACTAATCAATGAATGCCAAATATTTCAAAATGAACTAATTTAAGTTAATTGAAAATGAGAATGCTTTGAAAAAATTTATGTTCGCGGAATTTTGGATTAGGTTCAATGAAATGTGGTTTTGATTTTTTTACACGTTAGTGAATATTTACTCCATAAAATTTAATGAATTTTATTTGGCGTCATAATTATTATTATTCAACATGCAAATTTACTAAAATTTACATGCAAATTAACAATTATATTTACGTATGCAACAATATGTATGTATGTTTAGGGGGAATATACAACGTTTTAGTAGAGGAACCCATATTATGTGAAATAAATATTTTAATGTCTTTCCAATTATAATTTATGTAAATAAATAATGTTATAAATAGTATATAAAATATTCAATATTGAATTAATTATTAGTACAGTAAATATTGAATAGAATTAATAAAAAAGATCGATTTGCAGCGCTATGTATTATATTCAGGTACTATTGCTATTTTCAAGCAGAGATTGTTTGATAAGCTCTTTACAAATAATTTATTATCCTTTAAACATGTGTACAAAACAGAGTCGGTTGTTTTTATAAAACATGTGCTGCAAACTTAACGAAATATGTGTTACATGCTATACTTTCCATTTTGTATCATGCCAACCATTTATCAATTTTAATTTTAACACATTCTTTTATCATAATTCCAACAAACTCAAAATAAAATATCAGACAAACGTGCAGTGGTATTCAGATAATCATACAGTTAATTCCAAAAGGAAATAATCTTCAAAATACTGAGTATGAATACCGCAGTACGTATCAAAGTATTAAGCCCGTATGTAGGTAACTGATTGAAGATATGAAAAAAAAAAACAACTAAGCAAGATTTACATAAACATTAAAAACCGACTTTTGTACATATATACAACAACAATCTTACCTCCAGTGACGGTGAGAGTGGCAAATTCGTATTCAGCAACGTTGAATCCAGCGTTGTTGTGAGCCGTAACTCTCAAGTGATACCACTGGGCAGGATCCAAATCTAGCAAAACAAAGTTTCCTCCTGGTTTGACGTGATTCGAAACTTGAATCCATTCAGTGCTGGTCCTAAGAAGAAATGTGTATACGTACTGTTATTTATTAAATGATTATTAATGTTAAGTGCTTTACTTTTTCTTCTGCTCAATGACGAAGTACAACATTGGACAGCCACCGTCCGACCATGCGCTCAAACGCAGCGTGATGCTATTGGAAGAGACTTCTATAAATTTATCGGCGCTGGGAATGATGGGTTTTTCGCCTTTCGTTTTAGGATTCAAGTTATCCGAAGGATCTCCGGTTCCAATGCTACGAATTCAACAATTTATAAGCAACGAATCGACGATTTCCTGTTAAATAACGAACCTGTTGTACGCAGTGACATACAATTGGTATCTGGTGCCGCACAACAACTTCTCGATAGTGTATTTGTCAATGTGAGGTCCAACTTGGATGGTTTCCCAATCACCGAACTCCGGTTTGTAGTGGATGGTATAACCGTGAATCGGTTCTCCGTCGGTTTCGTGGGGTTTGAGTTTGATCGTCAATGAGTTTGTAGTCGTCGTGGTAAGTTGAACTACGGGCGCGTTCGGTGGAGCGTTAACTATCAGATGATGGGTGACGAAATCTTGGCCGTAATCATTTTCAACCTGGAAATATTATTAGTGAATGTCATCGAAGCAAGAGTAGTTTCGCGATTAATTTAAACGTGGTGCTGCTATTAGTGTGATGTGAATTACCTTGCAGGAATATTCTCCGGCATCGCTGCGAGTAATGTCTCGAATGAAGAGAGATCCATCAGGATGTTGGCGCACCCTGTCGTTTGTGTTGGTGGAGAATTTGGTTCCTTTGATAGTCCAAGTGATCACCGGAGTCGGAACTCCCACTGCTAGACACGGCAGAGTTACATCTTCCTTGTAGGTCGTTGTAAATGTATCGTCGAATGAAGCTATTTTCGCTGGAACTGTAAATCATCGACAAGTTTAAATTAATCTGCGATTATTCGCGAATTAAACACTTTATAGTCTTACCGCTTGTACTTGGAGAAACGGTAACTTTCTTCGAAGCTTGTCCTTCGCCGATGGTGGTGGCAGCCGTCACCCAAAATTCGTATTTCAAATTGCTGTCGAGGTTTTTGGCTTGGTAGCTCAAATTTTGGTTACGCAAATTCGGTATGATTTTTTGGGATTTCGGCTTCTCCTCGGACGTTCCGGATTCTTTGTAGTAAACCATGTAGTATTCGATTATGCCGTTTGGTTCAGTCGGTGGTTTCCAGCTCACGAGAATCGAATCGGCGGACATAACTAGAGCTTTGACGGCCGTAGGTGCTTCAGGAGCTACAATCAAATAATATTAAATAATTTGCACAAATGAAGAAACGAATAAAGATTTATCTTACTATCTTGTTCAGTTTGACAGTGAATTGGAGTAGTACGTACACCGTCACCGCCTGAAGTGTAGGCCAATATTTCCATGCTGTAGTTCGTGTATTTGTTCAAACCGTGCAGAATAGTTTCACTTGAAGCAGTAATTTTGGTGTCTTTTGTTTTTTCATCTACAAAGAAACAATTCGTAAACGTGAAACAACCTGTTGTATGTATATTTACCAAACCAAGAGTCTGACGGTCCGTATATAACTTTGTAGCCTTTGATAACTCCATTTGCAGTTGTAAGCGGAGGGGAAACCCAAGAAACTCTGATCGTTTGTGCAGTTAGGGTGGTACAAGTTGCTTTTTCTGGCGGTTGTTCGGGCACACCTTCGGCGGTGTTTGCCTTGATTTCCTCTGAAGTTGGACCGGCTCCTACTTTGTTGAAAGCTTGCAGTACCACGGAGTATTGAGTGTACGTTTTCAAATTGGTAATTTTCAAAGTGTGCTCTTTAGCTTCATCTTCTCTTTGAATTTCCACAGTTTCGAATAAGTAAGGTTTGTCGGTGTTGGCCAGTTTGTAGCCGATGTAATACCCTTGGATGTCTCCGTTCCAGTGGTCTCTCATTGGAGGTTTCCAATAGATTATTATGGAATGCTGGTCTTCGGCCTCTACTTTGATATTAGTCGGCGGTCCGCTCGGCACTTCTTCTGCTGTAATTATGGTTACGGTATCGGAGGGATCGCTGGATCCTATATCATTTTCGGCGATTATTCTGATGTGATACGTAGTGGCAGGCCTTAGGGTGAATATTCCAGCCTCAGTTTGGTCACCGGGGATGAGGACCCTTTCGGAATTTTTGTCCCAGTTTCCTTTGCTCGGTTTGTACTCAATTAAGAATCTGAAATTAACATCGTTAAGTACAAGTGGATGAAAAGGGAAACTATGCAAAAAATTACTTTTTAATCGGCGAATTCCCGTCGTATGGTGATACCCAGGATAATTGAACTGTCTTGCCGGATTTGTCCAAAACTTTCAAACCGTACGGTACTTCAGGAACCTCTTGTATGATCATGTTAATGTTGGTATCGTCGCTTCCAAAAGCATTTGTAGCTACGCATGTAAATATAGCGGAGTCGCTTCTCTCAGTACGCTTGATGCTCAAATCAGACAAAACACCGTTCGGTAAAATTTGCTCTCTTATAGTGTATCTGTTATCGCCTTTGGGTTCTAATCGTTTGTTGTTGATGTTCCATATAATGCCGATCGGTTTTTCGCCTTTTGCCTCGCACTGGAGTACCGCGGGATCGCCTCTTCTCGAGGTCTGATTGCGGTACTTGACATCAAATTGCGGTGGAGCTAAAATGTTCAATTCTGAATTCTGTGTGTTATATTCCTAAATTACTTACCTTGTACGCTTATTAGTATGACAGCTGATAGTCCAGAACCTATACCATTTACAGCTTCGCATAAGTAATAACCTTCGTTGTTCTTTTGAATGTTATTAATAGTTAGAGTTCCATCTTCTACTTTGATATCGGGATTATTCGGTTTGAAATCTTTGTAATCTCCAGGTGATACGCCTAGAAAATTACGAGTATTTTAGAGAAAAGTGATATTAATTATGGGTTTTTTATAATTTACCTGTAGCTCTTTTCCATGTAACAATCGGTTTAGGAAAACCATCGGCTTTGCATTCGACAACTGCATCAGAACCTTGAGCAAAAGCTTTATCGGTTGGTTCTAATATCCATCTTGGTGGCACTAAAAATTTTATGGCCATTGAGTAAATTGATTTAAAATTAAATAATTGTCCATTTCAACCGCTTTTTGCATAATGAGAAGCTAGCTTTGCTATCATGTAAATGATGCAAAATGAGATTGATTGATACTTTATAAACGTTTTTAATGCAAAAGCAGTTGAATTGTTTCGGTTTATGAAGTTGAATGAGAGACTGACATTTACAAAATGTAATGCAAGTAGAAAATTGTGCATGTTAATTAATTATCGTTGAAAATTATGCAATGAATGTATTTTGATGAATAAAATAGTCACTCAATCAAATTCGTAGCATGCATCAAAATTTCATGAATGTTAGAAAGTGCATGTATTTTATTAATATCGTTAACATTAAGTTTTGTTTACAAAGAATGTTATAAGGAATGAAAATTATTTAATACATTTTTTATTTTAAAAACAAACTTTAAAGTATACACTTTCCAATTTTCTATAATGCGGTAATGAAGTAACTAATGCTGTAATCTCAATGGCGGGCATAAAATTTTTTTACGAATTCTTAATAGTCTTAATAGTTACTTTATTATCGCGCCTTTTTGTGAAATTAAACAAAAATTAGTGACAAATAAAACAAAAACATGCAATAGTTAAACAAAATGAGAGATAAAAAAAAGTGCATGGGATCGGGTTAAAAGGATGTCCCTATTATCCCAGCTTAGGTAGGATGTTGGGATGAGACGGGTTATCGCTGGGACAGTCCACCAAATGTCAATTTTGTTACGAATCAAGTGCGAAAAGATACGATTTTGTGAAATTAGATAACAGACAGTCGAGCATATCCTTGACATTTCCAGAGAAATTTAACGAATACCATAAACATTTAACGAAGCAGTATAGAACACAGATCCAGCTTTGTTGGTGGCAGTGCAAGTGTAGTTGCCTGCTTGAGCTTCTGTGACAGAGTCTATCAGTAATAAGTTAGCCTTTTGACCAATTTTCGTAGTACTAATCCTGTTTAAAGGATCTACGTAAGTTCCCTCAAAACTCCAGGTAATATTTAGCGGAGAATCCCCTTCAGAAACCAGGCATGTGACTTGAGTAGTTTGACCAGAATGAATAGCCGTTTCGCCAAAACTGAATGGAACGATATGTGGCAAGACTGGAAAAAGGAAATTGTTATAGAAAATCCTACGAAAAGAGATTTAATAATTGCCTTCGTTAATAAGAAAAACGCTAAATACGCAGTTTTAAGGAAACTAATGAAATTTTTGAGGATCCAATAAAAGAACAGATACGTCTCTACTATCTCTAACCATTAACTAAAAGTTCCGTCGTGTAAACATTGTCTCCTGCAGCATTTTTCGCGTGACAACTATAATTTCCTGCATTAGAATATGATACCGATTCAATGGTTACCATGGAACTTCTTCTGCCTCCTTTAGATATCGTAATTTCGGGATAATTATCGAGCATTTCTCCGTTCAATTTCCAATCAATCTCTATAGGCAAATCACCCACAGCCACTAAGCAATTAATTTGCGCGTATTCGCCCGAATGCAGCGGATTGTCTTCGAAATGAAATGGTGTGATACGTGGCGCAACTGGAGAAGAAACAAACAAATTTTAAAAATGCTTGAAATGATAAATTCGAACGCCAATGGTCGATGAGCAAAACAGAACAAAAGGAGATTATTTTTGCACAACTAACACATACCAAAAATTAAAATCTAACACAGAAACATTCATCTAAAACTAGTACATCTTCGAGTACCGTTAACGTGCAATGAAGCAGAATGTTTCGCTACCCCTGCTTGATTTTTAGCAGCGCAGGTATACACTCCGGTGTGAAATTCCTGCACCGAATCTATAGTTAGTTGAGTGATGCGCTTATTTGTTCGAGTTATAGACACTCCTTGCAAGTTATCAATGGGCTTGCTGTTGAAAGTCCATTTAATACCAATCGGAACGTCGCCCTTATTAACCGTACAAAACACGTTAACCATGTCCCCGGAATTCACGGGGTCACTACCAAAATCAAATGGCGTGATTTGCGGAGGAACTGTAAGTAAGGTAAAATTGATTTATTCAATATTTACGTACTTCGGTGTGAATTTGGATAATTTTAATAGATTCAAATTAAAAGGAGTTTAGAATTAGTGTTGTATTGGAGCGAAAGAAACAAAAAGGATGAATTCGAAGTTCCTGTTATCGAAAATACGTATGTACAGCAGTGTTTTAAAAAGATAGCGCAATTAAATAAGACAGCGGAAGAAACATCAACACAAAAAACCTTAGAAGCAACAAAACCTAATGAATGTGTTTATTAACCATTCACAAACAACTCCGAAGTGTAATGTTCTTTTCCCGCCTTGTTCGTGGCCGAACAAGTGTAATTTCCAGCGTGCTGATAGGAAACAGGATCTATCGCCAATATAGAAATCCTTTTGCCCAGGGAAGTAGTAGTAATATCGTGAAAAACTTCCAAAAGTTTCCCATTTAATTTCCATTCGATAGCGACAGGTAAATCCCCCTCGGTTACCGTACATGAAATTTGAACTAACTGTCCAGCATGCACAGCCGCTTCTCCGAAATCGAAAGGGACAATTTGCGGGGGAACTGTAAGGACAAATTGCAAATAATAGAAAAATAAATGTCTGAATAACCATTAACTAGTAATTGTGTTGTAAACACTGCTGATCCTGCTCGATTACTGGCCGTGCACGTGTAATTTCCCGAGTGTTTGTAGGTAACAGATTCGATTACCAACGTCGATGTTCTCTTTCCTACGGGCGTGACTGTGGTATCGGGGATATTGTTCAGCGCATCCCCGTTCAATTGCCACACTATGTTTATAGGAAAATCTCCTTCGGTCACAGAACAAGAAACTTGAGCGTACTGACCAGAGTGGACGGGATTGTCTTCAAAGTAGAACGGAGTTATTCTCGGCATAACTAACAACAATAGTGAATTTAAATTAATATTTTTAAAATGATAGTAGATCTTATTAGAAAAATGTTTGGACTATCCAAAAAAGACTCCTAAGCAAACCTAACCGACATAACTTTAAGGGTACCCTTAACGATCAATTCTGCTGTGTAATTCGAAATGCCTGCATTGTTTGACGCCAAACAAATGTAATTTCCCGAATATGTTTCTACTACTGAATCTATGCTCAAAACAGAGACCTTTTTACCGAAACTGCCAATGTTAAAACCGTCGTCTATACCGATAGGTTGTCCGTTTAACAACCACGAGAATTTGACGGGCAAATCGCCGGCATTAATGCTGCATTGTACCGTGGCGGATTCTCCCAAGAAAAGCGGTTCTTCTCCAAAAGAAAATGGCTAAACGCGAGGCAATACTGAGAAAACAACAAATAGTTTCAACTGGGATTGTAGAAATATTATAATAGTAGTAGGAACATTGGGAATGATAATGAAATTTGCTAAAAGGAAGATAACGTGTTTTTGGTTATTAAAAGCATACAAAACAACATAGTAATGTGTACCCTTAACCAATAGTTCTGCACTATGGGTTGAAATGCCCGCTCTGTTAGATACAATGCATGTGTAATTTCCCACATGGCGCCAATCGACTGAAGCGATACTCAGAAGTGACGTCTTAGTTCCAAACATATTTATAGCAATTCCCTTATCTTGCGGCTTAAGTACAACTCCGTCTTTCATCCAAGAAAACGTCATGGGAGTGTCTCCTTTGGTCGCGTAACACGAAATTTGCGCCATTTCGCCAGAATTGGCTTCCTCTTCAAATGTAAATGGTATTACGTGAGGCAGAACTGCGGACGATAAACACTGTTTGTAAGTAAGAAAGGAAAGGTTTGAATAGGATAAATTAGTGAGCAAACAAAACGGTATGAGAGAATAATTATACCCTTAACAAACAATTCTGAAGAGTGTGTCGATATTCCAGCTTTATTGGATACAAGACAAGTGTAATTCCCCGCGTGAGAACCTTCAACGTTATCTATATTCAAAACCGACGTTTTTTTCCCAAAAGGCCTAATATTAACTGGAGCACTATCTGATATTAATTTTCCGTTAAACATCCAAGAAAACGACAAGGGCAAATCTCCTTTGTTGACGTAACAAGATATCTGAACGCTCTCTCCGGCACTTGCTTCTTCGTCGATAGTAAACGGAGTTATGTGGGGTAAAACTACAGAAACAGAAAAGTACATTACATAACTATAGAAGCTACTTTGTACCATTAATGAACAACTCCGCGCTGTGCGAGACTTCGCCTCCTTTATTCGACGCCCGGCAAGTATAAATACCCGCGTGTTCGGGCTGAACAGCATTAATAGTCAAAAGGCTTGTTCTCGAACCGATAGCGATGGTGTTGATTCCCGAATCGGGATTAACTTCTCTCGTATTAAGCAACCAACTTATGTTCACGGGAACGTCACCTTTGGCCACGTAGCAATTCAATTGAACATTATCCCCTGTGTTCACCTCACCATCGAACTCAAACGGAGTTATATGCGGAAGAACTGAGGACAATTTTGAAATATTTACAGACGTACAAACTAATTAGAATTCGTCAATTGATTTTGAAGTTTTTAAAGTATTTGATAATAAAGTTGTAGTAAACAATGAAAGACAATGGGTTGTTCCTTATAGATCGGTACGAAATTGAGGTAGGAATTGTGCATTAAGGAAAGACATTTAAGCGCAATTAAAACATTCGATTTAATTTCACTCTACCATTAACAAGTAATTGCGTAGTATGCGAGGCTTCTCCGCCGCTATTGGACGCTTTGCAAGTGTAATTTCCAGCGTGATCCGGTTGGACAGAATTAATGGTCAACAAATTCGTTTTGCTTCCGATAAAAATAGTGTTTATTCCTAACTCGCTTTTTACTGCTTCGCCATTATGCGACCACGTTATATTCAAAGGCAAATCTCCTTTAGCAACGTAACAAGTGAGCTGAACACTATCGCCAGTATTCGATTCTTCCTCGAATTCAAACGGTGTTATATGGGGTAATACTGCAGCAAAAGTATGAGAAAACTTAGTAGTCGATTAAGTCAAATTAAGAAAGGAAAATATTGGGGTACTTAGGAAAAATTTTAAAATATCTTGGTGCATTTTGCATTCACTAAATCATAGCAATACCATTCACATGTAATTCAGCAGAATAGGACGAAGTTCCAGCCAAGTTTTCAGCTATACACGTGTAAATTCCGCGATGCTGTGATTGCACCGAATCGATACTAATCGTACTTATTTTTTTGCCCGCTTTCGTGACCAGAATTCCATCGTCATAGTTAACGGTTTTATTGTTATGGGTCCAAGATATGTTTACTGGCAAATCGCCCTTATGTACGTTGCACGTCGTGGAGGCAGAATCCCCAGAATTAACGGACGTTTCCCCAAAATCGAAATGAAGAATTTGGGGAATAACTAGAAAATATTTATTCACATTTAAAGTAATTGAAAGAACAATACTGTAGAAAGAATCATGTAGTGAAGCTCGAGCTGGGAGAATATTCAAGGGGCCTCAGGCAAATTCAAAGTAGGAAAAAAATAGGTGAGGAATGTTTATGTGCTTCTTCGATACCTATATACACGAGTAAATAACAAAACTACGATGATTTTGCTAGTACCATTGACACTAAGTACAGCTGAATATCGAGAAAATCCAGCTTCGTTTTTAGCTTCGCAGCTGTAAACTCCTGAATGTTCTTCTTTAACGGAATCGATAGTAAGCGAGCTTGCTTTACTTCCGACTTTTGTAATCGAAATTCCATCATCGTGAATGCGATTTAAACTATCGTTATTGTGAAACCAGGATATAAGTAAAGGTAAATCTCCTTTGTGTACGGAGCATTGTATTGAGGCGTAATCTCCAGTATTTATGGATTCGTCACCGAAATCGAATGGAGATATGATTGGTGGGACTATAACCAAAATATTTTGTTAATGTTTAATAACAATATTTTAAAATAAATAATACTCTCGCTAAAATACTCCATTCATCAAACAAAACCCTAGAAGTGATTGATAAGAAGAGACGTTTGGTTAAGTGTAGGAATGCAAAAGGATAAATCAGAAATTAACAGTATTATTAAGATACAAAAGCACGATATAATATAAATACCGCAATTTTAAATACCATTAACGTTCAAGTAGGCAGCGTGCTTAGCTAGACCGGCGTTATTTTCGACAATACAAATGTATTCTCCAGAATGCTGAGCAGCGGCCGATTCAATCGTAAGTTGACTAACTTTTCTGTTAGTATTCGCAGCTGCTATCCCGTTAATATTATCAATGTCACGGCCATTAAGAGTCCACTTAATTTTTATCGGAAAATCCCCTTTAGACACTGCACATGTCGCCGTTACTAATTCACCGGAATTGACGGCTTCATCTCCGAAATTAAACGGATGAATTTGAGGAGGAACTGTAATACATACATTTAACAATTTACTCGAATTGACTAAATGATTATTGGTAGGGACAAGAGAAGAAAATGTCCGTACAATTTAGCAGCAACCGTATTTGTCTATACGCCAGAAGAATTTGTGAACTAAGAAAATTGGTTCCAAATCTATAGGTAAAATGTAGGTATAAACAGTGGTAAAAGTTGATAGATAACAACCTAGTGTTAGATTACAATAAATAAGGAAGACTCTGAAATTGTTATTAATACCGTTAACATTCAAATATGCGGACTGTTTAGCCAAACCAGCCTTGTTTTCGGCCACGCAAACATATTCCCCGGAGTGATGAGCTTGCGCCGATTCTATGGTCAACTGGCTAACTTTCCTATTAGTATTTGCAGTAACGATTCCGTCGAAATGAGTGGTAGGTTGGCCGTTTAAAGTCCAAGTAATAGTAAGCGGAAAGTCTCCTTTAGAGACGGCGCAATTAATTGTGACCAATTCGCCCGAATTAATTGCATCGTCGCCGAAATTAAACGGATGGATAATGGGAGGGACTGAAAATGAGTAAAATATTCGAGGTGTAGTTGGTCGCTAAAAAATCGCAATTCTACTATAAATGTGAGTGTACCGTTAACATTTAATTGGGAAGAATATTTAGATACCCCGGCTTTGTTTTCTGCTATGCAAGTGTAAACTCCGGCGTGTTTCTCTTGCACCGAATCTATGGTGATGGAACTGACTTTTCTTCCTGCTTTGGTTATTAACACACCATCCATGTATCCTAAACTAATATTGTTGTGCAGCCAGGATATGTTTATAGGTAAATCTCCTTTATGAACGGAGCATTGAAGGGAAGCCAATTCACCAGAGTTTACAGATTCTTCGCCGAAATCGAACGGCAATATTTGGGGGGGAACTGAAATTCATGTATGTTGTAAAGAAATCATTTATGTCAATAGATTAATTATGTGCGAACGATTATCATATTTGGGCATAGCCAAGATCAAATTTTTGAAACCATGAAACTCTCCTATACTCCAATTCTCTGAGGTAATGTAGGTGCAAAATGGATTGAACGAAGGGATAACACTAATATAGAAAAAAGAAACAATATTTCTACTACCGTTAACGTTCAAACGTGAGGTATATTTAGCAATGCCAGCTTTGTTTTCAGCAATGCAAGAATAATCTCCAGCGTGTTCTGCTTGCACGGAATCGATAGTAACAGTGCTGAGTTTTTTTCCAACTTTCGTCACCACCACACCTTCCATGTATCCCATACTAATATTATTGTGCAACCAAGAAAAATTTATCGGTAAATCTCCCTTGTGAATCGAACAAGAAATTGAAGTAGAATCGCCAGTATTGATAGATTCGTCTCCGAAATCAAAAGGAGCTATTTGAGGGGCAACTGTAATATTCAAACAAATTTAATTTTAAAGTTGAAAGTGGATAGAATTTTTACTACTAGGTTAATTCGTGAATGTGGATGTGAAAAAACATTCAGCATTTTAAATACCGTTAACGTTCAACCAAACTGAGTAGCTGGCAGATCCGGCTTTGTTTTCCGCCAAGCAGGTGTATTTACCGGCGTGTTTTGCTTGGACAGAATCGATCGTAACAGTACTAACTTTCTTTCCTGCTTTAGTTACTAGAACTCCATCCATATAGCCCAGGCTAATATTATTATGCAACCAAGAGATGTTTATGGGCAAATCTCCCTTATGAATTGAACACGATGCGGACGTGGAATCTCCTGTATTAATAGTGTCGTCACCGAAATCAAACGGAGCTATTTGAGGAACGACTAGAATGTAAAACAATTCAATTCGATACCGGTCAAATATTTGAAGAGGTGCAAAGTGGGGTTGGGATGTAATTTCTCAAAATGCAAAACACTAAAGAAACAAATAAAGAAACGATTCTTGTACCATTAACGTATAATAAAGCGGTATATCTCGTTACTCCTGCTTTGTTTTCTGCTATACAAGTGTATTCTCCAGCGTGTTCCGCTTGAACGGAATCTATAATTACATTGCTAACCTTCTTTCCACCTTTATTTACAACAATCCCATCGATATATCCCAAACTTATGTTATTATGAAGCCAAGAGATATTAATCGGCAAATCTCCTTTGTGAATTGAACACGAAGCAGAAGTAGAGTCTCCTGTATTAATCGGGTCCTCGCCAAAACCAAAAGGGGTTATCTGAGGTGTGACTAAAATATGAAAATAATTTGTTGAAGAAGGGATATTTAGAGATCGAACCATAGGGAAAAATAACAGGTTTAACAGGTGCATCAACAGAATACCAGAAGAATCATAAAAGTACCGTTCACGTTCAATATGGTGGAATATCTGGCAACTCCTGCTTTGTTCTCTGCAATGCAAGTGTACTCTCCAGCGTGAATCGCTTGAACCGAATCTATGATGATTGTGCTAACTTTCTTGCCACCTTTCATTACAGTCACACCGTCCATGTAACCTAGACTTACGTTATTGTGCAACCACGAGATGTTTATGGGCAAATCTCCTTTATGGATTGAACAACCGGCCGAAGTAGAATCTCCGGTGTTAACAGATTCGTCTCCGAAACCGAAAGGAGTGATTTGAGGTACAACTGGAAAATAATATCGTGGAACTCGTTTAAAAGGACTCTTGTACTTATGTGAAGCATGAGGTATGATGAACAATCGGATAATGGTAATTGTGCTAAAGCGAATAAATCATCAACGAAAATATACCGTTCACGTTCAATATGGTCGAATATCTCGCCATTCCAGCCTTATTATTTGCAATGCAAGTGTATTCACCAGCGTGAATAGCTTGTACTGAATCGATTATGACAGTACTGACTTTTTTGCCGTTCCTGGTTACAGAAACACCATCCATGTATCCTAAACTGACATTGTTGTGCAACCAAGAAATGTTTATGGGCAAATCTCCCTTGTGAATCGAACAAGCAACAGAAGTGGAATCGCCGGTGTTTATCGATTCATCGCCGAAATCAAACGGAGCTATTTGAGGCATGACTAAAATTCAAACCATATAATGCAACAATACTATAGACTGAAAAGTATTAGGGTGGCACCTGTACCGATTCATAAAGTAATTTTACGATATTAAACCACCAAATTTATTCAAAGAAGAAAATTATCACCATACTTTCGATTATATTTTGGGATTCGGTGTATCAAACCTACGTATGAACAAATTTAACAAAACTGGGGATAATGAGGACAGTCTGAAGCAGATTCAATAAAAGTATAAAGCGAACAACAGTGAAGGGAATAGATTAAAGCTTATTATTTCGAATGATGTTTTATGGAAAGAATAACCTAGGTGGTTATATGTCAAATACATTGCAGGGAATCTTGGTGAAGGTAAAATGAGGTGCAATAATCGAGTTAAGTACCATTAATGTTTAGGTAAGCAGAATAACTGGCGTTTCCGGCTGAATTTTCCGCAACGCAGGTGTATTTCCCCGTATGACTTGCCTGGGCGGACTCTATTGTAAGCTGACTCACCCTTTTATTGGTATTAGCGACGGTTACGCCGTCTATCGGATTGATATTATTATCGTTTAACATCCAAGATATTTTAATCGGATAATCGCCTTTAGATATAGTACAAAGGACTACAACAATTTCTCCTGCATTGATGGGCTCGTCGCCGAAATCGAAGGGATGAATTTGAGGGGGCACTAAAATGCATATTTCGGAATTACACAATAATCCAATTTATTATGTACACCACAAAGTTGGAGCTGAATATTGAACCAGAACTTCAACCTTCTGATTGTGCTCGAAAAAAGATTTATCTTTATCTCCTTTCTATTTTATACCTATAGTAGGTAAAGTAAAGGAATTGGAAATATGAATTAACATAATGTAGTTCTGATATACTGCAATAATAATACCATAAACCTGCTGAAAGATGTTAATAATTATATTCCCACGAATGGATAAGATATGAATGATAATAAGAACAATGATTTACCTACGAGAGAAAAGAGGTATTGTGTGAGGAAGGTAAAGGTACAATATACTACCCAACCTCGAAAAATTGATAAGGTTTCATCGTAACGTCACTATCCTGAAAAATAAAAGCATCAGGCTTGGGTTGAGGTCAAGAGAGGTAAAATAATAAAACACCTAAATTAATTTTTCGGTACAGCTGATCTACCGTTAACGTAAAGATTGGCGATAAATTTCGATTTGCCCGCTGCGTTCGTAACAATGCAGGCGTACTCTCCTCGATGGTGCGGTTCAACGGAATTTATGTTCAAAATGCTGGCCTGACTTCCGAAGCCAGAAGTTGAAATGCCTTTCGAATGATGTGTTATGTGATGACCGTTATGAAACCACTTGATTTTCAACGGGCGATCACCTTGGGGGACGTAACACGTCAAAATAGCGCTGTCTCCAGCATTTAAGGGGCCGTCAAATTGAAAGGGACTTATTACAGGTGCCACTGCAAATAGCGTTAAATATAATGAGGACGGACATAACGCACGGGGCCTCCCCTTAAGCTATGACCAAGTATGATAAAAATAAAATCACGAACTGGTTATGATGTGTATCGTATAAGTTATAAGTGGTTGTTCAACGAAAGCCTGGTACATCGCAAACATAAATCTTACCTTAGTATTCTTATACATATTTGTATTAGATGCTGAAAGAGATTATGGTATAAACTAGCCGAATAATATTTTAATTGTTAGCTAAATAATTGTTCAACTTTTCAGTAAATCTAGACATTATTTCATCATAATTACTATGTAAAACAATAGAAAAGTTAATAGTATAAATAATGCGAAAAGTATATGTGATATCAGGAATATTATAAATTCATAAAGAATTGATGGCACTAATTTTCTAAGACCATCAATAATATAAATTATTATTTAAATAGATAAAATTAGAGAACTTGTAAATTCTAAAATATTCAGATTAACCAAAAAGTTGTAATTAAATAGATAAATAGTTCTATAATCACTGCCAATTTTTTATATAAATATTCATAAATAAGCTGTAAAAATAAGAATTTTCATAATGTAACGAAAATAAAGAGTAGAACATTGAAATTTATTCTATCCTAGTACGAATACAAGTACCTATAATGAAAGTATTAAAAACAAATAATTGCATTTTTATGAAGTTCTGAGAATATTTCCTTCCTTTGTTTGATGACTAACATGTAATTGAAAATTTAATTTTAAACCAGATTTACTAATTAGATTGTTAAACAGCAGCTAAATAACCATTGTTCGATTCATTATTATGAACTATAAAACTTCTGTAAAATCTCTTTATTTCCATTACACTGAATAAATTGCGAAACTTACCCATAACTTGAACTTCCAACGATCCGCGAGCGGTGTAGCCCTGAGAATTTTTCGCCACGCAAAAGTAAGTCGCCTGATCGGATGCTCTTTCGACGTTTTCTATGATCAAAGTTCCATTCGGAAACACCTTCTGCTTTCGGTTGATCGGCAGCAATCGACCATCTTTTAAAAGAAAGCCAATTGAATAAATAAATTCATATTGAATATTACGCACGCATACCTCGTTCCCAAACAACAGTTTCAACAGGATGTCCAGCAAAAGGACAATGAACGATGAGTGTTCCTCCAGCAACGATAGCCTGCTTCTCCATGGACCTGACAAAAGGCAGCCCGTAGACGTTGATCCTTGCAGAATGATCGGCCGAACCGACTTTACTGCTGGCTACACATCTGTACAAACCGCCGTCGTTGGTGTGAATAGCGCTGATGTTCAAATGGGACACCACGTCTCCGTTGACAGTTACATACTGGCCGATTTGGTAGACGTCGCTGTTGGCCAGTCTTCTCCCGTACAGTTCCCACGTTATTTCCGGAGTAGGATTGCCCGAAGCTATGCATTTCATGAACACGGAGTTGCCCGGCTGGACCGTTTCTTCGTTGAAAGCGTGGCGAATTTGAGGCGGTTCGAATCGACCGCCCAGTTTTAATTCTCCTGTCGCTTCAGCGTTTTCTTGGTCGTTTCGTACGAAGCATTGGTACATTCCCTTATCTTCTTTTCGAACGGCTTCTATTTTTAGAACGGGGTCGCTGTGGTCTATTGGATTACCGTCTTTCAACCAGCTGATAGTTTTTATGGGATTTCCTAAAAAATAATAATGATTAATACAAGCAAGCTTTTTCAATTCCGTTGTTTTACCTTCAAACTTGCAAGTAAAAACAGCAGGTCTGCCGAAATCGATAGTTTGCACAGGAGGATCGATTTTGGCCTTCAAAGGAGCGGTAACAGTTAAGACGGTCTCCACGCTTTCGCCTCCGACAGAGTTATTAACGACGCACAGATATTTACCGGAATCTTCCACTTTGGCTTCGCGGATGATCAGAGTTCCTGCTACTTGCTTCACGCGATCGTTCAAAGCGACGGCCTGCTTCCTGTTGGTGCCCTCCACGAATTTGTACCATCTGCAACAAAGAGAATTTCGCTTGTAGTTATTTATAGAAATCGATGCAGTTTTTCGTTGTTTCGCGAAACTTAGCGGTTTGGTTTACCTAAAAAACGGAACGGGAAAAGCTTGCGCCGGACAAAGAGCTACTGCCGAAAAGCCGGATTCGATAAATTTTATGTTTATTGTTCTTGAATTTAGTTGCGGCCCAACTGACCCTGTAGGCTCTATAAGTAGAATAACACATAGTTATAAGCTTGTCTACAGAAATGGGATATTTGAGAAGTGGTAATTGGAATATTGTGGAGACTTAGAATAACATTTAAGGTTTTGATTGAATGGTGGCATGATAATATTTGGAGGAAAAAAGTGTCATGAAATTTGGAGGTCTGTATAAACCACACAAACGCGTGCCTCGGAAATACTAAGTAATTATCAACGCCGGTCGTGAGTGAATTAATAATAGATGTATTTCTTCCGGTTTCACAGTACAATGTACCCATGTTTTTTCACAATGCTTCTGTTGCGCGGGTATTGTATACTTCATAAAATATCCTCGACGCAAAAAACACACAACATACCTAAATTTTTGCCATTCAATGCTTCCCAATGTGGCTAAATGACTTACATTATTAAAAACTTCATGCAATACTACCTTTTTCTCGGAGTAGGAAAAGCCTGCGCTTCGCACAACAACCCAATTTCAGAACCGTTTTTACCAGTTTGTCGAGTCAGGCCGTCGCCCGACAATTTGGGGGCTGTTTGACCGGTGGGTTCTAAATTAAATAAAAATAATTCGTGCGATAGACCTACTTGTATCTAGGGACAGGGTAACCGCTAACATCACACGTTAAAATGGCATCACCTTCAGCCGAGCACTCTTGGACGATACTGCCTTCGATACGTCTACCGGCGTTTTTAGGCGCTACATTATTCGTAGGCTCTAAATAAAAGCAATTTTAAACGGGCGTTTCTAAGTACCTGAATTTTGGAGCGGGGTATCCCGAGACTTCGCAAGTCATGATAGCGTCTTCTTTAATTCTAGAGTGGAGGAATATATTGCCATATTTTTCCGAAGAAGACTTTGGTGGAACGTTACTAGTGGGTTCTAAAATCCGTAAATTTGGAAATTGACCTTAAATTCTATAAAACTCGACACCACATCAAACATTTTTTCAATAGATAAATGCACTTACTTGAAGTTGGGATAAGGGAAACCCACAACGGAACAAATCAATGCAATGCTACTTCGTTGAGAATACGACAATATCTTCCCCAACGTTCTTTCGCCAACTAGCTTTGGAGAAATATTATTGGAAGGTTCTGAAAATAATGCAGAAACTCCGTTAATAATATTTCTTCAAAACTATTCTTGCAAATATGCTATTAGCGCTTAATGCTTGGAAATGAGCCTAAATGTACTTGTACTTACAGGAATCTTGGTACAGGGTAACCTGAGACTTGACAAGATAACCAGGCGGTTCGTTTTTCGGGGATTAAAAGATCTTTCCAACCAGTATACTTTTCCCCATCTTTTTTTGGAGGTACATTATTGGTTGGTTCTAGAAATTCAAAGTTGGCAGAAAGGACAAGACCAAAGATTTTTACTCTAAATGTTGAGATTTGGGCAAGAAATTTATTCGATTGTACTGGGCCATGTGCGGTGGGTACTTACAAAAATCTTGGTACTGGATAACCCGAAACCTGACAAGTCAACCACGCCGTTTGATTCATAGACAATAAGATATCCTTCCAACCAGTAAATTTATCCCATTCTTTTTTGGGTGGTACATTATTTGTAGGTTCTAGAATATTGTTAATAGCATTTATTGTTATTCTAATTTAGAAATGTACTAAATGTTGGAATAAGGTACCACCAAAAGGTACTTACAAGTATCTAGGCACAGGGTAACCAGTAACTTGACAAGACAACCAAGCCGTATTTCCCTGTCTAACGAGCAGTACCTTCCACCCTTCATATTTTTCGCCGTCCTTTTTAGGTGCAACATTATTAGTCGGTTCTACAGAAGAAAATAAGATATTTAAGTAAATAGACTTACAAATAACGCGGTACTGGGAAACCAGTAACTTGACAAGTCAGCCATGCAGTGCCGTTTTGACGGAGAAAAATCTCCTCCCAACCCACGAAATTTTTTCCTATTTTCTTTGGGGGAACGTTACTGGTTGGCTCTGGAAATGGTATTCAATACGTCAATCTATTATTTAATATTTGACTACAGTACCGAATGGAAATTGGTTTCAAATTGCTGGATTAATTTGGGCAAGAACATCTGAAGAAGTATTTCTATGTTTGGTAACTGCTCAGTAAGGAATCCAGAATTCACTTACCAAAAAACAATTTAGAGGAATGATAATTGTCAACATGCAAATTAAGGCAATCAAAAATGCATACAAAAATACCTCCATACATTTCAGGAAACGAACTAATGAAGACTCACAAACCACACTTACAAGAATCTAGGTACAGGATATCCAGTAACTTGACATGTTAACCAAGCAACCGAATCTAAATTAACATTAACAACTCTCCAACCCCCAAATTCGGCGCCTACTTTCTTAGGAGGAACATTATTAGTAGGTTCTAAAATAGGAAAGAAATTGAAAGTTACTGAACTGAAAACCCCTACCTGAACATTGGCACGGGATACGCTACGACGGGACACATAACGAACACGTCGTTGCCATCGTCAACAATAAGCAACGTAAATCGAACTTTATTGTCAATAACTTTCGGGGGAAGGTTATTGGTCGGTTCTAAAATGGAAATAGTTGTATCAATTGATGTAATTACCTGAATATGGGTACAGGGTAACCTACAACGTCGCAAGTGAGTACGGCGGAGGTGTTCTTGGGGTAAATATAAATTTTTCCCCCTTCGTATTTCTGTCCAGGAATTTTGGGCATAATTTTACCAGTGGGTTCTATAAAACACTACACAATTAACCTAACAACAACCTAATAAATCCTTCATCATATACAAAAATATATTACCTAAACTTAGGTGATGGGTATCCTTGCGCATTGCACATTAAATGTATCACATTGTTAACTGGAACCTCTTTCTTCAAACTACCTACGTCCATATCTTTTACTTTCGGAGCGACACCTGTTATGGGTTCTGCCGGAACGTGAACAAGTAAAATAACAAACCGAAATTTTCCTACCTGAAAGTTGGCGTGGGTAAACCCTGAGCTTGGCATAACAGAGCGAAACTTTGCCCGCGGTGTTTGAAAAAAGTCGAGCTCTTTGATTCCGAGGGAAAAGTCGGGGCTTTGGAGCCGATGGGTTCTATGGAGATAATAGGATGCAAAAAGTGCGTTAAAAATGAATATACCTGAATGTGGGTGCCGGTAGTCCTTGGGCCTGACACAACAACGCGAAACTTTGACCCACTAGTCTAACGAACATTGAAATTTTGGAATCGGACGAGAAAGTAGGCGCCTTTGAACCAATTGGTTCTAAGAATAAAATCGTTTTAGAATCGAGGCGATTAGTCGTACCTGAATGTTGGAGTTGGCAGGCCTTGGGCTTGACACAGCAATCCGAAACCTTGACTTTCACGTTTGACAAAAATTGAACCTTTCGATTCGGAGGAAAACGTGGGAGCTTTGGATCCTATAGGTTCTATACAAGACAAATTACCAATTACAAAATATTAATATCTTACTTGAATGATGGTGGAGGTTGACCTTGCGCTGGGCATAGAAGTGCAAGGCTTTTTCCATTGAACCGGTTTAAGGTAAATATTTTGGATTCAGAAGAAAATGCCGGCGCTTTTGATCCGATAGGTTCTAATAAAAATTTTTACAGAAATAAACTGATTAGGAGGAGATAGAAAAACTAACCTGAATTTGGGAATAGGACTAGCTTGCGCGTCACATATCAAAACAACATCTTCCTCGACCTTTCCTACTACTGCATCAAGTTTAGGTTTACGAGGAAGCCTAGGCGGTGTGGATCCGATTGGTTCTAATATAAATAACGTTTATAAACGAAGGTAAAAAACTAACCTGAATTTGGGTAAAGGAATAGCCTGAGCGTCACACGGTAATACTAAATCATCACTAGCTTTTCCCGTAATAGCATCAAGTTTTGATTTCGGAGGCAATTTAGGCGGCGTTGAACCAATAGGTTCTAATAAATAACCAACATGTTACTATTCTGATTGAAAACCTACCTGTAATTTGGCGCTGGGTACCCTTGAGCTAAGCATAATAATCCGAAACCGTGACCAATAGAGCGAGTGTACGAAATACTTGTAGCGTCATTCGAAAATGAAGGAGCTTTGTACCCGATAGGTTCTAAACAAAACAGAAACCACGGTATTACCTGAACTTCGGAACCGGTAATGCCTGAGCCGGGCAAAGCAGTACAAATCCTTGCTCCTCCTTAGCATCAAACGAAAATATTTTCGAGGCGGAAGAAAAAGTGGGCGCTTTAAGACCGACAGGTTCTACGAGTAAATCAGAAACGAAAAGATTACTTAATTACCTGAATTTTGGAACGGGTAAAGCTTGTGCAGGACATAGCAAGACAAACCCTATGCCCCCTTTGGTCTCGTACGTGAAACTCTTAGATGTCGAAGAAAACGAAGGTGCTTTGAAGCCGATCGGTTCTAACAGGCACACAAAAAGAAAATTGAAGAAACGAATTACCTGAAGAAAGGAGCAGGATACCCTTGAGCCGGGCACAGCATAGATACAGTGCTACTATGTTCTTTGGAATACCCTAACAATTTAATATCACTGGAAAAACTGGGTCCTTTCGTACCAACCGGTTCTAAAAGCGAATTTAAGAGTAAGCACAATCAACTTGTAATTACCTGAATGCAGGAACAGGGTAAGCCTGCGCTTGACAGAAAATAGGAATGTTGGTTCCTGCCGCCTTTTCGGTTCGTTTGTACTTTAAATCATCTACAACATTTGGCGCTCGAGTACCAAGAGGTTCTAAAGAGAGACGAATAACTATTTAACAAATTGCCAAATTTGATCCAGAATAAGAGTAACCAAGAAAAAACAGGAATCCTAACTAGTATATAGAGTATTTTTCGATATTTACCTGAAGTAAGGAACAGGAAAACCTTGCGCTTGACATAATAAAGAAATCCCGTTACCGGAATGCTTTTCAATAGTTATTCCTTTAAGGTCGGAAATCAAACTTGGTCCTCGAGTGCCAATGGGTTCTGTTCGAGCAAAACGAAGCAAAAATGAGCATAAGCATTCCAAAATAAACACTTACATGAATCTGGGAACGGGAAAACCTTGCGCCGGACAAAGAAGCGTTAGTGTCGAGTTCAATTTGTAATCAACTACATCGTACTTAGATTTAGAAGAGACTTTCGGCAATGTACTACTTACAGGTTCTGTCGAAAGAGAGTTAATGTTAATTACCTTATCATGGGGACAGGGTAGGCTTGTGCTGGACACATAATCGTGACGCTACCAGAAGCCATTGTTTCGAAAGCGTGGCTTTTATCCAATGAAGGAAATTTTGGCTTTACAAAACCGACCGGTTCTACAAGAAATACATAGTAAATATTACAACTGTAAACGAAACAAATAAAGTGATAATGTACCTGTAACTTGGAACAGGGAAAGATTGCGCAGGACACATCAATGTCAAGCTGAAGCCACGACGGGAGTCTGTCGTTTGGATTTTTGAGGTTCCGGCTGACAGCCTGGGCGCCACACTCCCGACCGGTTCTAGCAAATAAAAAAGAAAATTCAGTCTTACCTGAATTTAGGAATTGGAAATGCTTGTGACGGACACAGCATGGTTGAGGTAGAATGTTCTTTAGTGTATACCACTCTGCTTTCATCGCCAGATGTTAATTTCGGAGCAACGGTACCAATGGGTTCTGGATTACAAAATTTAAGATTAGGAGGAACGTCGATCGGAGAGATAGTTAGATAATTCAGCCAATTTAGTAATTTCAACAGATCATAATTTTAAGGAGAAATGCATGGAGATGTAAGATGACGATAAATAAAAAAATATAGTTTTAATTAATATGTATGTTATTACGAGTAATAATTATGGAACAGATCGCCCTTTTTGTAATTAGTTTTATTTATGAGATTAATTAAAAAAATTTAGAACACCTAAATGAAGTTGATTCATATTCATATCACAGTAAACCGAATGTGATAAACAAAGTAAATTTGTTTAAAAATTGTTGATTACAAATCAACCGAACGTTGCTTATAAAGAAAGAACACTTACCTCAAGAAAAGCTCCTATGCCCAAAACAAAGTCTTGGGCAAGGGTACCCAAACCGAATTTGTACAATGCATTATCGAATATCATGCCACCCTAATCGAAGAAAATACAATGCGACAGGACGTGGATAGTGGATAAAAGGACAGGTACTATCGTCAACTGATATTTCAATGAATATGTCCAGTTTTAAATTTTGAAAAATTTCGAGAGTGCCCGTTCGAGAAGCAAGGGTACCCTATCCCAACATTCAGGTAAATTTCGATACTTTGATTAAAGATATCTCTCGTATCTTTTATCATAGTTCGTGTATATTTGTAATGATTAAAATTCATAAAAATCACACATTTACTCTAGTAGGAATGCTTTAATTAGGTATTGTTAATTTTGAGAATCATTGCCAATGAGAATAAATAGTGATTTTTAGTGACATTATTACTAAAGCCTTTCAAAAATATAATCAAGTGAATACACAAAAAAATAACTTTAGATAGTAATAATGTCGTTAACATTTATCCTCTGCTGTTCATCCTTTTAGCAAAATTAATTCTTCACTTCAATAAAAATAAATAGTTATGAATAATAGTAATAAACGTAATGAAAATTTGATCAACTAATTAATCTTAGAACGGCAGAGATAAAAAAAACAAAGTAAGATCTAGATACTCGAATTAATTTTAATTCTCTATTAACTAAGTTAAACTAATTGAGAATATAAGCTCATCATTCGGCAACACCCTGTATTGAAAAATGAAGCAGACAGTTCATTTTTAGCGTGGGAATTAATTCGAGTAGCCAAATCGTATCAAGAATAATAAACGAATAGTCCATGCAAATTACTGAAATAAGCCGGTGTGGTGTGAACGATCTGATTCAATAATGCTTCGTCGACTGGAATATCAAACAAAGCATTCGGTTTGGCAAAAATGAAGCTGCCGTGACTCAGTTTCAGTAATTTGCAATGAACTTCCTGTCACCAAGTTCAAACATGTTAGCGTTAAAATCAACAAAATCTCTAATTAAAGTAACCAAAACAAATTGAAAGTTCAATGAATGCAATAATGAAATTATCACCAGCGAATATGCGTTACCTACTAGTTAAATTGTTCGAAATTTTTTACACATAAAGGAACCCTCCAGAAATGTGTTAGGTTGAGAGAAAGTCGACGGCATTAAAAGGTCTTTAAACTTTACACATGATGTCAAACATTTAGGGCCTGACGTGCATGACAATTCATAATTCTTTTATGAACCAGAAAAATGGTATTTTGTAACACGTACCTCCAGATAGTTCTCACGATTTTTATAATTTCTAACAAGACTTGTCGGAATTTCTGATGTTCTAAGAAGTTTCCAAAATTTATTATCGCTTGTTTTTGGTAACATGAGAATGAATTAATTAATTTATTTCAATAAATACCAGATAATTTAATAATCTTATAAATTTTCTGTTTCGTTAAACAATTACTTCATCATTTCGAACAAATATGAAGATCATAATTGCAGCTGCACGTTCCTTGACGGGATTGTAAACAACTGATAAAAGTTAAAAATTTGAGTATCATTTAAAAAGCCTATAAAAATATGTACAAAATAAACATATACCGGAATGAAAAATGGTGCAATAAATACCTATCTCATTAACTGGTGTTTTATATTAAACATGTTTGAACTCGTTTAATGCCAATACCACGAACATCACTCACCAGTTATCACTAGCCTTCCTTTCGTAGCGCTGAGCTTAGTTTCTCCGGTCAGCCTGTGTTTCGTCCTGCATTGGTACGATTTGTATCCATCTTCAGGACCGACGTCCTTAATATGTAGCTCTCCAGAGGGAAGAACCAAATATTTGCTGTCTGTCAGAACATAAAAGTTTATTAATTTCTAGTTAAAAAAACTGAAATAATATTAATCAATTTCTGCAATTAGAGCTGCAATTATCATGTGGTAATTATTTTTAAAAAGTGGTTCTCAGTGAATTTACTGATAATTACATGAAATTTGTTTTAATTTGCAGGATAGTGTTTTTCATCGTCATTGATTAATATTACGCTTGATTTTTTTCTTATTATACGTATACCTATTTTTATGTAAACATGATTAGGATGATAAATATTTTCGTTAAATTGTTATTAATAATTTTTCTTTATTTTTCATTTACATAAAAATGGTTATCAAAAATAAACAGTAGATATCCAGTAATTTGAATAGGTAATAAAATATGTAAAATGGACATATTTCCTGAGGATTTTTTGATTTCACTACTGGTTATTTTTGAATTAATCTACTACTACTGTTATTAAAAAGCACACAAAGGAGTGGTAAACATTTGGAAGTTGGATTAAAGGATGTTTGGGGAGTTCCAGATGTCCAAACTTTCAGTTTTATTCTATTCTTTAATGGAATTTCCAATAAAATCTCTACCGACAGGAAATAGATGAACCCTAACGAAAATTTTATCATTCTCAGAGATCGACTTCAAAAACACAACGTAATCTCGCTTTCGATTTTTCAACAGTTAGTTTCAAAATAATTCGAACCCTTATCTTATTTTTGTAACTGTATTAGCTGTATCTACTTTCCAATAATCACTTTATACATACATTCTTATGCATATGAATACAACAATGTTAATGTATTTCCTATGAGAGAAATAAAAATAGGAATACAATAGGAATACAATTCCTACCATTAGCGATGCTATTGAACGGCAAGTGAGCCCAGAAATAATTTGATAATGATATAGTATAGTGTGTTGATCTTTCGGCTACAAGGGGCAAATTATCTAAAAAGTGTATAAAATTATAGAGTAATTTTAACGGATGAATTACGATGGTCAAAAAAAAATCTGGGATTTAACAATTGTGAACATTAACATTCGGTGAATATCCTCCATGTTCCTTGTTCGTTATTTTTGAGTATATATTTAGTTTTGTACAAACAAGAAATTTCGGAATTTTTAATTAAGATATAAAATATTTTGATTATAAATTATTTACATTTTTGCTTATTTTTACGCTATACCGCTTCCTAAAATAAATATTTTACTATCAGTGGGTTATTGACCGTGTATTTTAAGATCGATTTAAAAAATATCGATTTTATTAGATGATCGTAAACAAACATTACCACTAAACATTAAAAATTTAATTTTATCTCTCATCACGCTATTAAACTTTTTGTGCAATAAACGAAATGGATTAATCAAATGAAGTAGCGCTAATAAAACGATGTTGGTTTATTTTGAAAATTTTTAAAGTGTACCTACTTATACTGAATACATTCATTCAGGTGGATCTCATATGGATCTCATTGGATCTATCAACAATGCAACATACAAAATCACACCGCTTGTAATAAAATAATAATTTAATTAACAATAATTAGGTACAAAACAATTACTGCAATGCTTTTAAGTAACTTTTAATAGCACCGAAAGTTTCAAAATATCACTTTCCACGGACCTATATAACACCACCGGATGTATCTGCAAACGCCCAAACACAGTTGGATGAGCTCGACATTCGAAACAAGCAATAAAATTCAAGGATTGCACAGTTTCGGGTTTTTCATATTAAACGCACCGTATGATCCGAGATCCGTCCTAATTTCCTGGCTGTTCCGTCCGTCCTCCTGCATCAGCCAAGACGTCACGAACACGTAGTCACTGACAAAACTCGGAATGTGACACTTAAAAATCGCAGTGTTACCTTTGAGAACGCTCTCTTCCATCACGTTAGACTTATACGCTTGCGATACCACTGAAAGCAAACGAAGGCGGTAATAACGAATTTGTCATTTAGAGATCTGATTGAAAATTTACTGCTCGACATATCTGAGCAAAGAATCTAATTTATTGAATGTCTGTTGGCTTCTATCCAAGTCCAAATAACTGCGGCTTCTGCATTATGAACGTCTTAAGAAGCAAAATGAGTTTACTTGCTCTCTAGAATGTGAGTAAGTCCTCAGATAGGTTTTAAATGGAATTATTCTATCATATTTCTTTATAAATTAAGACTATACATTTATAGTAACTACAAAGATTCTCGAGATAAAAGAAATCCCTTAATTTCACACTTCTAGTTCTTATGACTTTAGCTGGCCAGTGGATCATTCACTCAGTCAGGACATCTGTTGTTACAAAAATGACACAGGAAAAAGGAATACAAAAAAGCGCAAGAATCAATTTTCCAATTTAGGACGAACCGAAGGATTCCCGCGAAGTTGCTAAGACTTCGTGCCCGTCGTCTTGTAACCAGGAAGTAACGTATACGAAGTCACTCACGAAGCTGGGAATGTGGCACTTGAAAATCGCGGTGTTGCCCTTGAGGACGCTTTCATCCATCACGTTCGCAACGTATACTTGAGAAACGACTGCAAGATCAAAAAGATCAGGCGTGAGCTCTCGCAAAACTAGAAGATAGCTTTTTTTCATCGCCTATTCGAGAACACTTCATACTAAAACCTCTATTGTTATGCTTCCTATAGTACCTACTAATTTTATTAAGGCGATTATTTCAGGGCATCAACCTGTTTATCATTTTAACGCGATTAATCACTCAATAGATTTTCCCTATTAATAGGTAATCATCAAAATAAATTACCGTACACGCCCAATCCCGTATACCGTTCCTAAAGCCATCAATTGTAGGTTAGTCACTTTGTTACTATTATGAGAACAAATGTTTCCGTATTTATCAAATTAAATCTCACAGTCGGACAGTTTCGTGTTTTTTCAATATATCTTTTCTAAAAAAAGAAGATAATTATAATACCGTTGAGTGAATTAATTAAACCATTTCAATAGGGTAATTTATAAGGAGAAATGGACATCAAAATATGAAGGCCAGAAGGGAATAATTAATTATTCCTTGTGCAGAACAAGCATTGATTTTTAAAAGAATTCGTACCATATAATCCATATATCTTTATTCCTACCAACATCTTAAATTTTTATTAGGTGTAACCTACGCTTTATTTAGCAGCAATAGCTCCTCTTTGATTAATTTTATTTATATCTATACAACAGCATAACATGATGAATATCGCAATTCAAAAGTCGGTAACTATAACTTAAATGAGGTCACATCGAGATTCTCAACCCATAAAAATTAATAACAGAAACATAAACTTTTGGTGTTGCAATGAACAGATTGTTGGGATAAAAGTACGTTTTATTTCACTTAGAGAAAATTTTGCACTAGACACTTAATATCAACGAAACATCCTTTGTTTCCTCTATAAGCTCGATTATTATTATTAATATTAAGTAGCAGGTTCTTCTTCTATAAATAGATCAAATAAAGTTGTTATCACAGTCTTGATAGGCACTGTGGTCAATAAAATTAATGTGACCAAAGGGGGACCGAGGATTATCAGTAAATTGTTTTAATGCTATATTACGCCTTATGAATAATAAAAGACGAGATTACGTTTATAGTTGGCGCGGAATAGAAGCATTACTCAAGTCAAGGTAATACATTAAAGACAAACACATTATTGTCAGTCAAATATTTTTTCTTAGCCAATTAAATGTATATTTCGTTCGATTGTAGTGCTTTACAGTTATTCACGTCATTACATGACATTATAAGGAAATCGAAACGTTCACACCTGCTTATTATGAAACCGAAAAGGCATAACTGAACAAAATATCCGGTGAATGCATCCGGTGAAGCAGAAGCAATCAAAGCAAATGGAGACATTTAGAGAATTTTATATAGCGGCGAAAAATTAACAAACAAAGCTCGGGCGTGATGATTTTCCCTTGACGAATACAACTGAAAGTAATAGAATCGAAAAACGTTTCTGATAGACGTCTATTTATTTTCCGCACTTTGGCTTCGAATCAGGCAGACGTAGAGTGTCAATGAACGGAAAAATCAAGGCCTAAGGGTATCGGAATGAAAAAGGGCGAAGGACGGTGTATTGATGACGGGCTTAACGGATCGGAAATTGTGTTGTTCGGTTTTAGGAGCGGTGCATCAACTACTCAGGTTGGTTGGAATTTGGAATAATTGGAATCAACAAGTTACATAGTAACGACCGGTAATGCGATAATACGACAGGTTGTTTCATTTATTCTTTTTCATTAATTAAATTGCTGAATTTTACCAAAGGACCGATTTCGTTATAAATTAAACACACTTTATCTAATTACTAAATGACGTGTTTACTTTATAATTTAATTTCGAAAATCAGCCCTAACTTCGTAAATTTCGCTTGTGCATATTGCATTACGAATTCGATTAACACGAGTTGTAGCCGCAGTTTTCAGCCAGAAAGTAGGACATTTGAATTATATATTAATATGATGTAACTACCTCATTTGCTACGAATATCGAGAATTTAGGTCGAACCTTAATTGGCCCTTCGCTACAACGTCGCTGTGCGAAATTTTCATTTCCTAACCACAACTAAATTAATTATTCTGAAAAACAGCATACAATTTACATTCACTAAGAGTTCTGGAAGCAATCTATTGAGGCTTTTATTAATTAATATATGTACAATTTATATTTTGCAAACCATATTCTGATGAGTAGCAGCTTACGAATCAGCAATCTCATTATTCCTATTGCCGGCTTTATTTGCAACCTGTTCATTATTACTGCACATACCAAATCATCACTGTTTATATAAACATATACCGTAATCGCTCTTTGGTGGTAGATAACTATTATTTGCCGTATCTTGCCAAGAAGTGATTTCCACATGATCTGATACGAACGATGGTATTTGGCATTTAAAAACAGCCGTATTTCCTTTTATCACGAACACGTCGTATACCTGAGCCTCATAGTATTGACTGACAACTGAAAGAAAGGCGTAGATAGAAAAAATATATAACAAATCATTTTCTAAGAAGCTTATTATTCAAATGTCGGTTAACCGCATTGATGGTTTCGGTCGAATTTGCATTTATAAAAGTTCGTAGAACTACCAGCAAAACTTTGCTCTATGAATAAATTGTTAGTGCAAGCTAGTTGCAAGTTCAGATATCTGGAACAATAAAGATTTCGCTAGGGTATGTGGCGCTTTACAATTTCATTTCAAAGAAATCGATCGATTTACCGAAATCATTTCCGTCTTTTTGATATTTGTACACTACATCGTCATCGGCCACCCAAGCTTCGATTTGGATAAAGTCGGTGATGAAACTGGGCACTAAGCATTTCAATATGCCCGTGTTTCCTTTCAAAACGAATTCGTCGATCACGCGACTCTGATAAAATTGTTGGACAACTGCAACCAAAAACAACGAAAGGGAAGATAAATTCGTGTAGAAAACGGTCGGGTAGCATGTTTAAAGAAACCTCGTTACGATTTTCTTTAACAATACGAGTAGTTTATAGGGGTTCGATCGGCGTTGCTTTAACAAATTGTACCGTAATCGTCGCTCCCTGGAAGATATACGTTTCCTTGGGAATCTCTCCAATTTTCCACCGAGACGAAATCCGAGATGAAGGAAGGCACTTCGCACTTCATCACCGCTGAATTGCCGCGAATTACGTATTCGTTATCGGCTTCCACTTCATAGGTCTGGGTAACAACTATCAAAATAACGATTGTTTAGGTAAGAATCTATACGTCTACCTCACTACTCTTTCATTACGTGTAAATTATTTATCGACCACAATTTTTGTTTATTCATAAATCTAATTGCTAGTTCAGAGCAAATAAAAGTGGTGCACTGATACGTGGTACATTGCGAATTCTTTTACATAATGCATGAAATCCAATTTATACCATCTTTTTGATGATTTTTCTCGTACACGTTTATAATACGGAGAAATGATTATAGGTACTTTCATTTGCTTTCCGAATTCCCCATTTACAAAATAATCCAATTAAGAGGTCTAACGCTAATTGTAAGCTCTTCGAAATAATAAGATTAAAGCAAGCGAAATCGAAGAGTATGTAAAGGTTGTAGGTATAAAATTAATAAAGCCTCCAAGTTTCGACGAGCAGCTTAAAGAAACGCATATAAATCAATTATGCCCGGCATATGGCGAGCACATCGCGTGATAATGAACCTGACTTAACCTAAGCTCAAGATATTCCGGATTACGCTAGGAGTTTGTAAGATTAAAACCTGTTGCAATTAAAATAATTTTTTCATTAAAGTCGTTTCAAATGATTTGTCGTTTCTTTTCAACTCAACGTAACGTAAAATTTTCCCAAGAGTATATACGATAGTTAAGACTGGAAATTCCACTACAGCTTGATGAGAGTTATTGTAGAAGAAATGATTAATTTCTAGTCCCGACTGAATTGGATTATGGAAAGGTAAAAGAAGTGATACATAGGATGTTAAAGGTAGTGGATTTTCTTATGAAAATATTTACCACCCCTTTGTTACCCGAAAGGTTTAAACTAGGTAACTACCGTAATCGGCATTGTCGTTGTACTTTTGTACATGACCGTCGTCCGAAATCCACGAATCGATTTGGACAAAATCGGCCACGAAACTGGGTATCTTGCATTTCATGACGGCCGAATTTCCCCGAATGACGTATTCGTTTTCGGCCTCGGTCACGTAGTACTGGGACACAACTAGAACGGAAGAAAACTTGAATTTTTCTGTTACAATTACCATAATCGTCGGACGCCTTCATGGCATTCCCTTGATCGTCGATCCACGAATCGACGTACACAAAATCAGCAACAAACGATGGTATGCTGCATTTTAAAACCGCCGTGTTGCCGCGTATTACATATTCCGTAAGAATTTCCGCTTTGTAAAATTGGTTAACAACTGAAAAGATAACACAATCGAAATGGTAGACGATTATTTTAATTGGTAATTGTTATAGAAGAAATATATTGCAAATTTTACTGTTCAAATGCATGTTGGTTAACAAAACTGTGTAATAGAGAAACTCCAATAAAAAAACCATCTAATATTTCCAAGAATGCAGCATCACACTTTTCACGCTCTCTTCGCAGCGAGCAATAATTTCTAAAGAAGCTAAAAATAGCTACCATACAGCTTTTGTGGGTCGTTGTTTATCGAAACTTGTTAAGTTTATTTCCAACTGGAAACCGACGCCACGCAGAGGATATCGCGCTCATTTTCCGGAAGTAGCAAATAGAAAATATTCAATACGTCAGTGTAAAAGTTAAATTTAGGTGCATGTATTGCATTTACTCTAAAATACGGTAAACATGCTATATTAATTAAATAGAGTTTCAAAATTTTCATGGTGAGTAAATCGCCACAGGGGAGAAGCGGATACGTAAAAGTCGCGTGAGATTTCCATCACACATCTGAATGGAGATACTGGGTTATAGCCGTGTACTAGGGCACAAAAACAAATCGATAGAACTTCAAAATCCGTAGTGGAGGAGGAGACGAATTCAATGCCGAATAAAGAAGCCCGCTTTCATGGAGTAGAAGAGTGATAAGCAACATCTGGAGTGCGAGGGATCGCGTTTTTAGTTCCTTCACCTTTGCTTCTTTTTAAAAGTTAATCCTTGGCTTAAGTGCACGACGGCGTTGCGAGTCAGAAGGACAATTTATTTCATTAACGAAGCTTTATTTGAAACGATAATGGAAAATATAAGACTCCCGATAATTTGATCAAAAATTTTATAGCGTGAACGGAGGTTAAGAACCTATACAGCAATTTGAATTCAGCACTAACATTATTATCCATTATTTTTATTAAAATATTAATACCCTAAGAAGCACGCGAACGTGTTTGTAATAAAAATATATTTACTTATAGTTAGGACATCCATCAACTTTCATAAAGGAAAAAAGGAAAATTGGTAGTTAGACCCAAAAGTTTCCTACATTGTATGCAAATTGTTACCCTATGTGTTTGTAAATAAATTTTCCTAGGTATAAAATGAGGTCTAATTTCTTCACGCTGAAATTGAACAAAAATTTAAATTTGTGAAAGGGCAGTAATGCTACAATTAACTAATCAACGTTTCAATTATTCCGCGCAAACTTTTTCAAAATGCTTAATTGGCACATCCGTCGCCGACTAATTTTGTAATGACCGCCCTCATCTAGATTGTTCTTCATTAAAATGGAATTGAAGACACATCTCGAATAAAACATCTCTTCGAAAGGGAAATGTTAATCAACGCCGAATATTCACCCTTTCTATTGTAACAGTTTTCAAGTCTCCACTTACAAGAGTTAACAAGACGTTCAACAAAGTTTCGCCCGAGTTAAACGTAACAATTATTTCAAAAGAAAATAATAGATACCTGTTTATTGCATAAAATGTAGGAAACGAAGAACGCGTTATCTACGAAAGAATTACCGTAATTGCTATTAAAATTATACGTTGTTCCATCCGATCCTACCCAAGCTTCTACTCTTACAAAATCGGACACGAAAGACGGTATATTACATTTCAATACAGCTGTATTGCCACGAATAACATACTCCGACACAACCTCCGCTTCGTAGTATTGATTGACAACTAAAAATTTTACAAAACAAAAATTTTAAATTGAACATTCGTTTCAAATACTCGCCTACAGAAAATTCCATTTATGGAGTAATTGAATAAATAACACTCAACTAAATTTGAAATCGTAGTAAATAAAGTACCAAAGTGCTCTTATCAATTGCAATCAAAACCCTATAATAGCCCAAACCACATGCAAATAAAATTCGTTTTGATAGACGATAATTTCAGAGGTTTGGATTTAGCGGCAATTTTTTGAGCTTTTCCAAATGCGGTGATTGGCATGATTCGGAGAACACGGGCTCAATGAAAGTAAATTACGGACCAATTCAAAAAGTAAACATTAGAAATCAACCGGAGGTTTCAGGATTAGTGTCGAGAACGGCACTTTTGTTATTAGGGGGTTAAAAATAGTTTCGACTGAATTGAAAATAAAACACCGGATGGAGGAATTGTGTTCACTTTCAGAGGTTTACGTTGTTAACGTTTCCATTATCTTTTATTATAGGACTATTTGTACCATAAAATTTTACCTCAAACGCCTAATTAAAAATTACCTATAAATAACTGTATATTACATTTTTTTCAAATTTCATCTACTCTACAGTGCTTTCGAAAAGTAAGGAATAAATTCATTATTTCTGAAATTAGGAGTTTTTCGAAAAAATCCTCTGACACGTCGATTTTGTTTTAAACAAATGCACTTTTTGATATACGATCCAAATTTGTGACGTAATCGTTATTCGAGATATGACGTCATCGACAATTTTTTTAAATGGAAACCCCCAATTTGGACCATGCCAATTGAAAGAGCGTGTCATTCTACGTACATATCGCCAAAAATATTTTTAAATTAGCCTATGTAGGTTAGATAAAAAACGAAAAAACATTATTTTAAGTTTTACCAAATTTAATGGCAATGGTTAAATTAAATGTTCAAATTGTGCACCGTTGGCTACCTGACAGTAACCAAGACGATTAATGAACTCTTGTTGAACGTTTTCAATAACTTCAGGAGGTGTACGATGTATCTCCTGACGGATTCTTGCCTGCAATTCTTCCAAATTCGCCGGTCTAGTAACGTACACTTTACTTTTTAAGTACCCCCACAAAAAGTAATCGAGGGGTGTCAAATCTGGTGATCTGGCTGGCCACTCAATGGGCCCTCTTCTTCCTATCCAACGATTCGGGAACACCTCATCCAAATAAGCACGTACAGGTGCTGCATAATGTGGAGGTGCACCATCTTGTTGAAAATACATGTAATTTCTCGGAAGATCTCGTTCCTCATTTGGATACAAATGTAATAATTCCGGAATAAGGTCGCCTCGAAGAAATTCCAAATATCTTGCGCCAGTTAGATTATCGTCAAAAAAATAGAGACCTAGAATTCTTCCGTCGACTATGCCGCACCAGACATTTATTTTTTGAGGATGTTGAGTGAGATACTCCATCATCCATCGAGGATTTTCGGTAGCCCAATAACGGCAGTTTTGCCTGTTGACATTGCCGTTCAAAACAAACGTAGCCTCGTCAGAAAAAATGATGTTTTTTACGAAATTATGATTATTCGTGTATAGCTCTTGCATTTGCTCGCAGAATTGAATTCGCCGATCAAAGTCGTCTTCAGATAGTTCATGAACAAGGCATATCTTGTAAGGATGGTATTTTGCTTTCTTTGCAATTTTGTGCGCTGTGGAAATAGCCATATTGAAATAAGAAGCCACTTGGTTAAGCGTTGAGTGAGGATTGTCTTCTATTGCTTACATAGGCTAATTTAAAAATATTTTTGGCGATATGTACGTAGATTGACACGCTCTTTCAATTGGCATGGTCCAAATTGGGGGTTTCCATTTAAAAAAAATTGTCGATGACGTCATATCTCGAATAACGATTATGTCACAAATATGGGTTGTATGTCAAAAAGTGCCTTTGTTTAAAACAAAATCGACGTGTCAAAGGAAGTTTTCGAAAAACTCTCAACTTCAGAAATAATGAATTTATTCGTTACTTTTCGAAAGCACTGTATATTTAGCTATCAATTGCAATACGAATAGAATTAATTCGGATAAATCAGACTCGAGCGAGTAATTACAAAACTTCTATTTTTGTAACGACAACTTGTTATTCTAGCGTTGAAATATTTCCGGTTTTAACGAAAGCGATATAAATCGGACGATGCCGAAATAGGTGATGATTACTTTTTTGATAAAATTAATAATTCGAACTGGAACTGTGTGGAAAAATGGGGAAAGCAATGGCAGAATGGGCAAAATTGTCCGTAGAAATAATACCGTAATTGTCGTCATTTAAGCCATATTGATGACCATCGTTATCAGTCCAAGATGTAACGGTGACAAAATCTGCTATGAACGACGGAATGGAACATTTTAACACTGCAGAATTTCCACGGATGACATACTCGTTATTAACTTCTGTTTGATAGAACTGTTGGACCACTGGAAACAGATCAGGATTGATTGATATACCAATGAGGATTATTTTAAGGAGGTAAAGCAAATCCTGTAACAAATCGTATAGCAAATCCTATAGCAAAATTGACTCAGATAAAAACTAACCAAAAAAATAACATAAGATAGTAAGTACAGTCAATGATTATTAAAGAAACAATGAACACAGTAAAAACTGTGGATAGATAATAGATCAGTAATAGATCAGAAAATATTAAAATACTTGTTTCCGTATTTTCTTCGCGCATAGACGAATTAAGAATCTAATGGAAATGGACTTATTTATTTTTAGATGCATTTCCCAACTTAACCAAGTCAGTGAAAGACTGTTAAAATAATTAACACGATGATTTTACATTTACAGCTTAAATCAATTTAAATCATTTGAATAACATTTCCACGACAACTATTCAGATAACGTTAATTTGAATTAGCATGAAAAGAAAGTGATGAATGAAAAACAATGATTTGTTTCAGGATGCGCTTGTTGCTAATTAGGGGAACAATTAACGAGTATCTAGATTTTAATTTGTGTACCCTTCGGCTCAGTCGGGTAAAAATCTTCGTTTTGATCCGTATGCCAAGATATGACGGTCAAAAAATCAGCCACGAACGAAGGAATTTGGCATTTCAAAATTGCGGAGTTACCACGTATGGCGTACTCTTTATTAACATCGATATCGTAAAATTGGGCAACAACTGAAAGATAGAATTTTAGCATCAATTACATATCAATGGTAATTGTAGAATTTCCCTCGATGAAGTTTATTTAAAACCGTTCCCAAGGAAGCATATAAAAACGGCTTTAAAATAATCTAGATTAATAACGCATTAACCAGCAGTAATTAATGATAATGATTATTTCCAAAGTTGCAATCGTAATTTTCCTTAATTCATTAAATTCATATTTTCGAGTCTGGAAGTTTTCATACGATTTCCTTCTGCAAACTGCAGACTGCTATTTCGAATAAATAAAATAAACTCCTTGTTCATCCGTTGGAATTTCAACCAACCGAATAAAACAAAGAGAAAACATCGTCTCGCCATTCAGAAAATTTAAAATTGCGAATCGTCTATTTCGTTTGTCCTAGGAATTTTATTCCGACCACTTATTTATTTTATTTAACAGCCACAATTTACACCACTTGATTATAATCTACTGGTTTTTTATCGATTTTTTTCATCACGTCAAGTTGAAAAGTATGGTTTAGGGCGCGACTCGTGCCACCCCTATGACATTTAAATATTTATGTAATTATGCTAGAATTGGAAAAAAGGTCGATTTGATTGAATAACCAAATGGAAGTTTACTCGCAAACCAAACAAATTAGACAAATTTGATCAAAACGGCTAAAATTTCATAATGTCTGGATTTGTGTCGTAACTGTTTATTTCGTTATTCTAAACCCACTGACTACCTACTACAATTTACTGAACTCGTTAAAATTATAACGCACTTCTGTGTTTATTAATACGTCGAGTAGATAGTAAAATGCAATAAAATAAAAAAAAACATCTGCATTCATAATAAAAATACAGAGTAGTACCAGTATTGTCAGCAATTATTTATGAACGCATTTACAGAAAAATTTCAAAATTTCCCAACAAATCTCTACTAAGTAAACCGTATTTCTTCCAGGCTTCTTGTTTTGCTCGAATGACTCCAACAATTCTGACGGTGTAAAATTATTTTTAATGTGTTCTTATTCTTCAAGGCTGCTATTCTCTTCCTTTTCATTGCCGCAACCGATTTATTTTTGGAACGACTGAATTCATCGTCTCGCCAAATATATTCCTATATTGCAGATTATAATTGCTGCCGTGTAAATGATAAAAACGGGTAAACCCATCAACACCTACCTGCTCGGACGTTGACATCCCTCGAATGAATGGATCCTTCGGTGTTTTTGGCCAAGCAAGCGTACACTTGAGCGTGGACCTCTTGTCTGTAATCTTCGGCCCTAAACGGCGGAAAAACTAGATTTCCATTAGCCAAAACTTGTCGCAAACCGGGGACATCGCCGACGGCCGTTCCATCGGCTCGCACCCAAATTATATCGGGCGGGGGGTTCCCGCGAGCGCTGCATTCGACGACGGCGCCGGTTGTATTGGAGAAATCGACGCGATTCGGGGGTTCCTTGAGGAAAACGGGCCCGGCTGTGGTATCATCATCAGCCCTGGCGCCCAGCGCTAGAAGCACGAAGCACAGGGATCTTAGAAGCATGGCCGCTGGTGCGGGGATCCGAAGGGACCTGGAAGACGACGTCGTGGCTTTAGTTTCTTTTTTCGATTGACAACCAAATATTGGAGTAATTGGGGTATATTGGTAGAGGTCAAACTCGGGGTTATCTACTGGTCTTAAACGAGAAATTCGTGGGATTATATTAGTATCCCAAAAAATCGTAAGTCCACATTAACACCTTCTTTTACAACATTCTCGTAAATTAATAACTGTCCACAATAGACAAGAAACGATATTCGGAGGTTCTGTAAGACGGATTAAGAGTCTCATTCTAGGGTTTATTGAAAAACGCTATTTACTCTATTTTTCATCAATAAAATTCCAAAAAAATATGCTTCCTGAATTATAATTATTTTAGATACGTTCTGTAATCTATGCAGCAAGCATTTGCATTCGAGTGGAATTGATGAGTAAAACCGTATTTCGTTGAATTATTCACATATTTTTATAAGTTTTATTTCTATAGATGATCTAATATTGAAATAAAAACTCCATAATGATTTCTTTTAAAGCATGTCGCAAGATTGGGTAAATAGGGGACATTGAGTTTCAGTTTGTTTGTTTTATTTAATGACCCCGCTATCAAATAATGTGTACTCTCTATAATGTTTTGATAAATTTATTTTAATGGAGAATGCTTTTCGCTAAAATACCACATGGAAATCATGTGTTTGCGAACGGAACTAAACTAGAAAGTTTGATTAGTTTTAACCGCATAAAAGAGGATGCACAATACACATAGGGCTTTCGAAGGGATGTTACTGATTTGAATGAGTTACAAAAGGCGTAATGAAAACTCATGCAAAGTAAACTAACATGTGTGGATGTTCCTTTTTTTAAGGGATAACGGGGGATGACCGAGAGTAAAATTTATTATGGAACATTATAAAGGAAGAGACATTTATACTCAAAATTTATTAGGGTGTTATGAACAAATAGTAATTAATTATTTACAGATAGAAATACGATTAGGATGCTCAGTTTTTGTGGGTGCAAAATTGCAAGTGGTCTCGTGCCGTAATACTTTCACTCGTGTATTTAACATTTAAAGTTCTTTATTTTGGTTAAAAATGTATTTTTTATTTCGAAATCTTCTCGAATCTCAAGTGGTTTTTCAAGCTAATAGGTCCGTATTCGAGCCAGCACTAAACACCTGGTCTTATTTTTATAGAAATCCCACAGGCAGGTGGTGGATTCGAGCCTCCGGTCGCATCTAACCTAAGAAGGACAGCAGCTGCTGTACCATTTTCGAGTTTTTGATTACCTACACCGAATGAGATATAACACGAACCACATGTCTTTCTACACACAAGTGCGTTTAATATTAAGCATCTTTCGAGAAACACAATGGACACTTCCTTAGGGGATTCGGATTCAAAACAATAATTCCATTCTGACTCGCATATTAATCGGAGGAAGTAACAAAACATTAGAACAATATTTATTCGACAACGAATTTCGACCTTCGCATCCAAGACATATCGAAATAAATTAATCCTTTCGATTAATTGTCCCGTTTCACTTTCACGTATTATAGGTGCATTAAAGGGCTCTTGATACCCCAAATATTGACAACCCCGAGCGACCGGCGTGGGAGGTAAATAAGCAGGAAATCCCTTCGATAAATTCATTTTCTAACTTAAACACCACCTCAAATGGCTCACCTAGAGGGATCACTACGAAACTGGCGCACTAGTATCACTAATTTCAGCAAAAACACCAACAATCACTACACTTGACAAATGCCGGGAGGATTTATACGTACGCCCGCACCACACGCACACTGACTAAACGCAGAAAATCATGACAAAACAGGACACTACGCCTTTTCCGAAGACCGCCGAACGAGCGGGGGAACGTGGACGAGCGGACTCGGTCTTGTAGCATGGGCGATACGAAGAAATTACTCGAATCCCAACTTACGGCTTCCGCAGTGTAGGGTTGTTTCCAGTTTGTTGTTTCGTTGCATATCGCTGTAGCTATCTTCCTTGTACCGGGGTTGCCTATTCGCTTGTGCTTCGACATTCTGGAAGCACAAAAAGAAAAATCAATTTCACCAGGAACCATTTACGGGGATATTTTAGACACATGAGTACAGGAGCAGCTGGCTGAATGGCGCCAATGCCAATACTTCTATGAAAATTAAAGAGTTTTTTGATAAGCAAATTATTAAATTGTTTTTATTTATTGCTCAAAAGTTTAGTAGGTATTTTGTTTCTTTTAAATTAGCTTTAAAAATGCGAATAAAATGACATTAAAGTGGTAAAATGACAATTTATAATCGTATGCAAAAGTCAAATTAAAAACAGTTTTCTAAAAAATCAAAATTAAAAGTTTGGATATGGGGTAAATACATATAATAATGAGCAATGATACAGAAGTTACCGAAGTTAGTAATAATTCACAATTACGCGTGAGTCATAATTTTAAAATTCGAAACTCACTTTGAATAGCAAAAATAAAGAGGATATGATTTTTTAGAAATTTTCATCGCTGAAAGTTATAATGGCTGGAGCAATTTCCGGGATACTTTCAGCCGTTCTTCTGCAACCGTTTAATGTAATGAAAACGCGTTTGCAAAATCCTCAAATTTCTTTAAAAGAGTAAGTAAGTACCTGTGCTGCAACGAATATAATATCTGGTCGAGGAAATACCGCGTTTCTCGACTAATTGCAAAGCTTCTTTTTTAGCAACAAGCAGAATCGCCACCGATTAATCAAACTTCTTTTGCACATACGAAAGCACGAGCATATTTCAGTTTTATGGGCTGGAACTGCACCCGTAAGTTTAATTTCTTTAAAACTAGAGTTCAGCACTTTGAATATGTGTGTAAAAATGCTGAAATATCCGCAACGTTTTAAGGGCGTATTTTAAAAGATGGGTCGCACTTTATAGAATACATGTTTACTTGGATGACGGTATGAAACCCTTTTTAAAAATCTTTTTGTTTTGACATAATTAAAATGTTGAACTTGATGGCGGTACGAAAAACTCTCTCGGCGTTTTTTAAAAAACTTTTGAAAAAAACAGTTATAACAGTTATAAAACCAATAAGAAAATTGTTAAAAGTAAAGAGAAAATTTTGTACATAATAGAGAGAGAAAATTTTGTGCATAACAGTAGAGAAAATATTGTTCTTGAAAGTAGAGAGAAAATTTTATGTCTAAAAGTAGCGAGAAAATGTTCATGAAAGTAGAGAAAATGTTCATGAAAGTTGGGAGAGAAAAAATTGTTTACAAAAGTTGTAAGAAAATTTTGTTGTTTCGTGAGATTGTTTTTAAAATATTTTGAATTGTGGTTAAAAGTAGAGGTATTGCAAAGGAGGTTGTCTATTCCCGAAAAAATATTTTTTCAGTACTGAACTCTAGCTTCTATGCACAGAAAATTAATTATTTTTGGTATATTTCTTCTTGTATGTTGCTTTTGTAGACTGTTATGAGAAGTATTCCCGGTAGTGGCATATATTTTTACATATATGATAACATCAAGGTGAATTTCTTTTCAACACGTTCCCCAAGTAATGCGGAATCTTTAGCGATAGGCATGCTGACGCGTGCTCTTACGGATATTTGTGTTATACCTTTAACAGTAATCAAAACTAGGTAAATAAGAATGTAATTGTGTAATAATAATGTAATGATCAAAAACATTAATAGAGCTGAAAGCGGCGTTTACAAATACAGCGGTGTGTTAACAGCAATTAAAAATATTTACAAAAATGAGGGGCTGAAAGGATTGAAATCTGGCCTGCTGCCGGTCCTTCTAAGGGATTGTCCGATGTCTGGAATGTACGTAATGTTTTATAATCAAACGCAAAAATTAGTATTGCAAGGTAAAGAAGAAGTACAATTCGAATGGATGAATTTAAAATAGAGTTTACCGCTTTTTTTAGATGTTAATCAGCAGCAACCGTTCTACGTGAATTCGGGCTGTGCCGCCTTTTCGGGAGTCCTGGCGACGATAATGACGCATCCACTGGACGTGCTCAAGACGCAAATGCAGTTGTTCCCGAATAAATATTCTGGCATCAAATCCGCGATCACCTACATTTATCTGAAGCATGGGATGCGAGGATATATTCAGGGGATCGTTCCGAGATTGTTGAAGAGGGCAGTTTTCGCGGCGATATCTTGGCCTCTCTACGAAAAAGTGTCCATGAATAATAACATTTCATCGTTAACGTAATTTAGTTAGTTAATTTATACTATGGTTTAAAATAATAAAACGTGAAAAAGGAAAATACTGGAATTGAGCCATGAAAATTGGTCTTGCTGTAATTAAATTTCGTAATTTATAATCGTATGCAAAAGTCAAATTAAAAACAGTTTTCTAAAAAATCAAAATTAAAAGTTTGGATATGGGGTAAATACATATAATAATGAGCAATGATACAGAAGTTACCGAAGTTAGTAATAATTCACAATTACGCGTGAGTCATAATTTTAAAATTCGAAACTCACTTTGAATAGCAAAAATAAAGAGGATATGATTTTTTAGAAATTTTCATCGCTGAAAGTTATAATGGCTGGAGCAATTTCCGGGATACTTTCAGCCGTTCTTTTGCAACCGTTTAATGTAATGAAAACGCGTTTGCAAAATCCTCAAATTTCTTTAAAAGAGTAAGTAAGTACCTGTGCTGCAACGAATATAATATCTGGTCGAGGAAGTCTGCAGTCTGCAGTTGCTGTAAATAATTGGTACCCTGTTAAAATATTGTCCAGCCATTTTTAGGACAATCAGCCGTTATTTTATCAGGCATCAGGATTAAAATTAAACGGATTATAGAATAAAAAGACAATGATGACAATATACAAAACCATCTACAGATCGATAGACAGATGGAACATTTCTTAAGTTTTTTTAATAATTTTTTAGAAAAATATTTGAATGTATAATCTATATCTCTATTAATGGTAATGCAACTAGAAGTTTGTTATTGGATTAAATAAAATGAAATTATACCATATAATAACGGTATGAAAAAATGTCTTATGTCTGGTTTGTCAACCTTTCGCGTTTAACTATCGCTTACTATTGAGAAGTTAACTGAACTGAAGGGCTTGAAGTTATAGTTGTTGCATACTTAAACTTGGATTTCGAGTCGAGAAATCCGATTCCGAAGGTTAACTGGAGTTTATTGAAGAGTTAACTTACAAGGTAAGATAACTTTTAGTTATCGCAGAGTCGAGAAACCGGGCATTAGAAACTCTGTAAATTAAATAATTAATGCTTGCTTTTAATCTGCTTTGCTTTTAATTTTAACCGGAACTGTTTTATCTCTGGCTATTTTGTGTTTGGGGTGTATTGTCTTGAGCGATGTTGTCTTGGGCTATTTTGACGGAATAATTAATATTTATAATCGAAAATTTGTTCTATCTAAGAATGAATTATACAGGGTGAATCGACCAAGGGTTGAATCAAACTTGTTAGTTTTAAAATAATTCCGTTAGTTTGGTTTGAACTACTGACAGAATGTTTTTCGAGATAGAGTTACAGATAAACGCAATATACACTTCAGTTAAATTGACTGACGTTATAGAGACAAAAAAATTCATTTGAACATACGAGTACCTATTCAAATTCAACATCAAACAGTAAAATTTTTGACATTTTTTTTAAAGTCGAATTATCCATCGTATTGATCCGCAATGTTCTAAAACGATACGTTTACGTTTACAGCAAAAAAAAATAAAGTAGAATGGTAAAGTACAACCTATTTTTATATGGATGAAAGAATTAAGAACGTAAATAACAGTGATTCGTCGGAAGAAGGTGAAAAAAAATTGGTAAGTACCTAAAAGTTGATGCATATCATATTCATATAATAAACTTTAAATTATTGTAGCATTTTCCATCGGTAACCGTTTTCCTTACTGGCTCTCTGGGTGCTGTTGTATGTTCCGTATTGTTACAGCCGTTTGATGTTATAAAAACCCGTTTGCAAAATCCAGATACACCTCTCAAAGGGTAAATTGTCACCGTAATTCTTGTTCGATATCTGAAAACATGTATTACTTTTTAGAAGCAAAATTAGATTTCGTATTTTTAACATACTTTACAATATCTATAAGCACGAGCACATCACTGCCTTATGGTATGGAACCTCCGCCGTAAGTTTTCCCTAATTATTTCTAGTAAAAGAAATAATATAATATTTTTAGACTATTTTACGAGGTCTGCCCGCAGGAGGCATTTATTTTTGTACATACGATTGGATGAGAGGGTGCTTTTACAGAAACCAATGGTTCACGCCTTTTCAACACACTGTAGCAGCGATGACTGCTCGAGCTGTAACAGATATAGCAGTGATACCTTTCTCGGTTGTTAAAACAAGGTAAAGGCGTGAATAATTCCCTTTGGAACCCGCACGTAGCAAAATAACATAAAGTTCATTTTTTTAGGATAGAAAGTGGCATTTTTCGTTACAGTAACCCTGTTGTAGGGCTAACGCACATTTACCGCAAGGAAGGATTTGGAGGAATGACGTCTGGTTTGCTTCCGATTTTGGCAAGAGACCTCCCCATGTCCGGAATATACATATTTTTTTACAAGCAGGCAAAATCGGCCATACCTTATAGTAAGATCTGGTACATGTTTATGCAAGCTTACCTTTTCGGTTTCGAAATGATTTCAGATTTTCGAAAGAGCAACGAGACTTTGGCGAATTCGATTTCTGCGGGAATAGGCGCAACATTGTCTTCATTCGTAACCCACCCCCCTGATGTTTTAAAGACCCAAATGCAGTTATATCCTAATAAAAATCCGACTTTAGTTTCCGTGGTAAAAAACGTTTACAAGGAGCACGGTTTAAAAGGATTCTATCAAGGCATAGTACCGAGAATCATGAAACGTGCAGTATTTGCGGCTGTAGCTTGGACCCTTTATGAAAGAGTAAAAACAAATAAAAAGGGATAAGTTTTGTATTATTTAGATATACAGTAAATTTATGGGTAAATGCAAAGGTTGTGTTTCAATGGCAAATTTGTTTTTCAACATACTGGGTTATTTTTTGAAAAATTTCCTTCGTACATTTTTTCTTGCAAAGAAGCCAAAACACCTTAATTTTTTTGAGGGGGACATCTAACCAGCAATTTTTTATTATTGCTGTTTCAACCTCCTAGGTATTAGACGAACCTCTTAAAAATATTTTGACAGTCATACTTCTTATAGTTATACTTCACTTCCGGTCCAAAAGTAGACATCAACTTTGTTAATTCAAATGAAACACCCTGTATATTGATGTATTTTTGAAAACAACGTCAAATTTCAGGATACTTTTTGATACATACTTTTTGATTTAAATTTTTTTTTGAAAAGTTTGACCGATGCAGGCTTTTAAAAATATTTTTTATGAGGATCCCCTTAAAGATATGGAAACGGTTTATGTAGGGTGGCCACTAGAAAGATCAAAGGTATATGAACCTGCGTTGAAAAACTTTTTATTTTATACAGGGTGTGTATAAAAATTGTACAAAACATCAAAAATATCAAATTTCATTTTTTCTTAAATAGAGCCACCCAGTCTTTTTTTCTATTTTAATGAAATCAGTGGTCAAAAATAAAGGATTTTCATGTATACTTCCCTATACCCAAACCTAAGAGTTTTGAAGACATTAAAATTTTTGCGTCACACTTACTTTTCTGTCTTATTCCTAAATAATTCGGTTTCTCCAGATAGAACATGAAAAAATAAGATGAAAAGATTCCATAAATTTTTTCCTTGCAGGCCCTCCTTGCGTCCCTGGAAATAGGTATTCCTTAAATATCTTCTAAAGTACTTGATATAATTTTACAAAAATCTAATATGATGGACACTAGTAAGGACTAGTTAAGGATTACACCTTAATGCCTAAATTTTCAAGACCCTATATATGATAAATATCTTGAGAGCTTCAACCTTAAACTAAAAAAAGGTACTCCTCTCGATTGTCAATAAATTGAACTGTTTACAAAATAAACGAATTCATGTTTAATTTTGCCATATTTAATTCTTCGATAAGAATCTTAAATAAACGACAGTAAACAAAATGCAGTATCAAATGTAACTCTTTATTAACAATACGAACAGGGATAAAAATATTTGCGTTTTTACTTTTAAAACAAAAATTGATATTTACAAAACAAACTGCCAAATGTGTAACGATATCAACGAAAATTAAGTAAGTATCCTAACGATCACAATATAGAATGGTACTTTCAAAGGCTAACAATTTCTACTAAAATCTAGTAACACTTAAGTACAAAAATAGAAAATATAGGAATACACTTTGCATGACAAGTTATAGATGGCTAGCCTTAGGAGGTGGGCATCTTTACAATATCGAAACCTTGCAAGAGTGATGTTTCAGTGATGTTAATTTAAGAAAATAATACAGAATGTTTTAAGAGAAGTTAAAGAAAGCCAATAGTAGTAAGAAGGCACTTATTGAGGTCTACGTTCGAAAAAAAAAACATTAAAAAAATCTTAAATATAATACCTACACACTAAAGTAAATAACTACGTTTAAAATTCTTTATGGACTAATTTATTTTAAAAGACTAGCCTCTATAATATACAAACAAATTACGTCTTAAATGACGTATTGGCATATTATTTTTTTTTCAAAAAACACCTTCACTCAACGCATCAAGCTAATCCTGTATCTCTAGACATACTATAGAATATCGAATTTTCATTCGCCAATAAGTTAGCAGGCGAATCGAATTCCGCAATTTCTCCTTTATCCAAAACTATAACGCGATCCGAATCCATAATAGTATTCAATCTGTGAGCTATGGTAAGTACTGTGCACTCCTTAAATTCGGTTCTGATTGTTTTTTGTATAAGATCATCGGTTTCGAGATCGACAGCTGCGGTTGCCTCATCTAATACAAGTATCTTGGTCTTTCTAAGCAGGGCTCTAGCAAGACAAATTAACTGTCTTTGCCCCACCGATAAATTTTCACCACCTTCTGTTATCTCGTGATTCAATCCAGCGCTTAAACCTACAAGAATCATTAGTTAACAACTATCTTTGGATGAATAAAATATGGTAGAATCGGGAAGCTTTAGGAAGGTTAAGGAAGGTTTGAAAAGGTTAGGAAAGCTTACCTTTTACGAATGTTTTAAGATGAGCGTGCTCCAACGACCGCCAAACTTCCTCGTCGCTATGAGAGTCGAAGGGATCTAAATTCATGCGTAAAGAGCCGGAAAATAGCACGGCATCCTGAGGTATAATGGTCAGCTTCGATCTTAAAGCGTGCAAACCCAATTCATCGATTCTCACGCCGTCTATAAATATGTTTCCCTGAGCTGCTTCAATGATTCTGAAATTGAATTAAAACCGACAAGAAGTACAAGCCAAATGGATGGATTAATTATCTAATGTCCGGTTTCACCAACGAAAAATAAGACCTTAGTCGATGAATAAATTTAACTGCCCAATAAAAATACACAATTTTGTTCCACCAACAAATAGCGTTTTTCGACGATTTACTATTTAAATTACCCAACGAAATTTGGACAGTTAAAGTATTTGATGTCGATCCTCAAACCTCAAATAATATTAATTTGTAATATCTTTGCAAGTGTTTTTCTGATTATGAATTTTTATTTTAATTTATTGTTTGTATTTTATACAAATTGCTTCAATTCAGACCGCAACATGGTCGTTTGTATGAGTTGAACAAAGAAAGATTTATAAAATAACAGTTGTCAGAGTGAAATGTTGAAATGACACAAATGTGACTCTTTCTTTTTCCTTTATAAGTGTCTAATGGAAGTTGTCTTCATCGCACCTATAGCCTGTATAACCTATGTTGCGAACTGGAATGAAGCAAAGTATATGTATTTTTAGTTTGTTTAAGAATAATGGATATTATGTACTTTTTAAGTAATATTTCAAAATTATTTATCTATTAGATTTTTAGCATCATCTTCAACCTCATCTGTTGAGGATTTTCATTATAGACGTCCTCGAATTGTTTTATAGAAAGAAGGATCGTTATTAAATTTTCCTTCTCCTCCTCCAAGTAATTTTTTGCGTCTTTCCCTTTTTCGATCCATTTCAAAATCAAGTACTCTCAAACTCAAACTCCAAATATAAATAAAATATTAGGTTTGTTCCTACAACAGTAAGAAATAGCCGACGGTCGTCAGGAATCTGCTCAGTCATAATTTAGGCATCCAACAAACTCTACAGACATCTCTGATTCTGACTTGGTTAACATTTCATTGTTCCAACAGTTCAAGGGACTGGTTTTGTGATAGTCAGAAAAAGTTGCTGATAGTACAGAGATTTAGAATTCGGCGCAAGCGCATTTTCAATTCGGGTTTAATTTGTATTTCCGCATATAGGTTAATTATTAGGTCATGTTGTTTGTTGTTTTTGTTTGATATTTGGTGAATATGTAATAAATGTAAAGACTGTTAAATAAAGAAATCGGAAATTTGATTACACCATTCAATCATAAATCGCGCATGCGAAATAGAAGAGTCAGAAACTTATTAGTAACAAATCAGTGACTTTTTGTAGGAACAAACCTAACACTCACTCAATAAAACAATACTCACACGTCACAGTGACAAAAACCAAAAAAATAACCTGAACAAATTAGTTCGAAATCTTCTTTTTTTTGCAAAGATTTGAAGAGCCAGGGGGAATAACGATGATAGTCCATCAAACATAAAATCGATAAATCGATAAAATTAAGTTTGAAACCATTCTATATTTAGCGTAAAAACTATTCACTGAATAAAAAAGTACTAGTAGGTAGTTCTACGGTATTACTACCCGAAAAAAAATTGTAATTCCCTAGAACAATGAAAAACAAAAAATTCTAGCAAAGTTCACAAAAAACTAAGAAAGAAAGTACATCTAATTTTATTTCGGTTATAACTTTGGACTGTCAACTTTGTTTCCCCTTATACTGTAACATAACAAAGTGGAGGCTATAAGCTTCGTTTTGCCTTGAATACATTTTATGTTAAATGTGGACTTTCATCGTTATTCCCCTTACTCTTCATTTGAATTCTAAAGGTTGATTTATCAGAAATATTTGTTTAAACTGTTAAATAGCAAACTAAAGATTAAAAATGGTCAAACGTCAAAATATTCAACTGGAATTAAAAATGATTCAAGGAATAACTATTTATAGATTTATTTGTCGTTGGTGAAACCGAGCGTAAATTATCTAAAAAGGTAAGTACCTGAATAGGGCCAAAGTTAAACTGGATTTCCCGGCTCCCGTTCGTCCGACAATTCCGACCTTTTCGCCGCCGTTAATTTCGAAATCGACGTTTCTCAAAACGAGATCCAAGCCCTCCCTGTATCTCACCGAATAGTTTTTGAACGATACGGTTCCGCTCGTCGGCCATTTCGGCGACGGGTTCTTGCTGGGTATGTCCCAAGCCGCTTCCTGCTGCGCCTCCGCGTACTCCTTGATACGCTCCACAGCCACAATGTTCGTCTCCACATCGGACGTCATCCTGACCAGCCAATTGAGAATTTGGGTGATCTGCAAAGTAAATTTCACGACGATTAATTTCGAGCGGCAATTCCAACGAATCGTTCGTACTTGCAACGAGTAGGTGACCGATAAACCGACCAAACCGGCGTCGCTGCTTCCACCGACGACTGCGAACAACGCGGCAAAGAATATGATCAAATTTCCGAGCATTTCCAATCGGACGGCCAGCCATCGGTTGGATATGATGCCGGGGTAGTAGCATTTCTGGTTCAAATCGACTCGGTACTCCGATTCCTTTATGAATCTTTCTTGTTGATTGTACGCTCTGATGGCGTGTGCGCCCGACACCGTTTCGCTAAAGTGCGAATAGATCGGAGATCTCGAAACGGATTCCAAACGTTTCACTTGCCTGGACGTGGCTACGTAAAATCTTTGAATGAAGCCGTATATTAAGCATATCGGCACGATCGCGGCAAGGAACAAAGGTGTCGTGTAACTGATTACGCATAATGTACCAATAACCTGGAAAATTCCGTTTTAGAAATGCCTGCATTTAAATATATCGAATACGTTATGTCGAATTAAGAGCAGTTATATTTAAATTAAAACGTCTAATCAAATTTAGAAATGCGTAATAGCAGAAGTATGTTATTAAAGAAATTATGAAATAATACGAAACTTGAATTTTTGGTCAGTATCGTTAGCAAGAAACTAATTTATAGTATTGAAACAATATTGATTAATTTTGAAAAAAAATACTGATTATTACACCTTACATAAAATTAAAAAATAATTTTGTAAATAAACATCATTTTAAACAAATCAAAGCAGGTAAGGTTTTCATTTTCTCTGAACCAAACAAAAACAAAGACAAAATGAGCAACAATAAGGTCTTGTACCTCGAATAAACACATAAATCCGTCACCAAAGCTCCACGGTAACTTTTCATCAAGAACCTCAACGTCTTTCGAAAATCGGGACAATATGCGCCCCAAAGGATTCGTATCGTAAAAAGATAAAGGCAATCTTAAACTACCGGTGAGTAACTTGCGATGTAATGCTATGCTCCCTGCGAGAGTTCCTAGACGTAACGCTAACTGTGCAAAAACGGCGGGTATGGCTAAAATTATTTGAAAACAATTCGTTCAACACAGTGTTCGTAAGTACCAATTGAAACAACACAATTTCGACTCAAAACCGATCGATATTTACAAATGAATTGTTAATATATTCTACTAAATAGCACAAGTTAAGACCATAAAGTGTCTGTAATAATTTAGTTATGTATGGATTTAATTAGTGTCCATTACAAAAAAAAAAACAAAATATTTCTTAATGTTAGTAAGCTTCTAAAATAAGACTATATTAAACACGTAAATGTTAGGAAAGTTAGGAAAGGTGTTGTAATTGTAAGGTATAAACGCTTTTCGATCTCTTCTTGTCACAGAAATTTGCAACATTTTGAAGATAAATGGAACATTATCTTTTTAACCGTTGAATATTTCGATTACTATTTGTCTTTTCATTAATTAAATTAGGTATATTAGTGTATTAAGTATAAGGTATATTAAATTGTTATTAGACATTTGAACTTTTACTACAAAAATTCAATATTAGATATGCCTTGGCATCAATTTAGATACTGCTATTTTTCACATTTGTTTAGTAACAGATATAATCATAATTCTAAGCAATTGGCAAGTAGAATAACAGTAAGTTGAAATTACCTAAATTGGTACTCACAACAATGAACCAAAATCATCAGAAATTGAATCCAAAAATCGCTACAATCCGCAGAAAATACGACCCTATATACGTACTAAAAGAACCTTGATATTGAACAAGAGAAACCAATGAAGTATACATATACATAAATCAAGCAAATACATCTATTCCGCGAGAATAAAGGGAGGAAAAGGAAAAAAATAATAAACGTAATAAAAATTTGTACCTCGAGAACACAGTATATTTCATTGGAAACGTACCAGGGTAATTCGTCATCGACTATTTCAACGTCTTTCGAAAACCGGGCCATTATACGTCCCAGTGGATTAGTATCGAAAAAAGTCATGGGTGTCTTTAAAATTCTTTGCAACAAGTTTCGGTGAATTTCAGCGGCCGCTTTAAGAGCTCCCAGCATCAACACTAAATCAACAGCGAACGCTGGTATCGCTGAAATTATCAGAAAAAAACGTTAATTTTATCGAAAAAAGGCAACCCTCTTTTGCACTTTGGTTTTATTTAGAAGCTCCAAGCCTCTATTTTAGAAGCTTTTCAATTATTTTATAAATTTTTGTGTAATATAATTGTTAATTGTAATTAACCCAATACCGTCTGTTCAATTCATTTGTTAATAATATTGTACTATTACTCAGCGTGTGTCTCAAATAGCTTGTATTTGAATAGGTGTTGGTGCATAACTTTAAAGCAGCTTTAAAATAAAAACAAGTTAAATCAAATTGTGATATCGTAAGAATGCCTTTGGAATTGCACTTTTAATACAAACACCACCTTTTTGCGAAAACCGTAAAGCAGTGTAGACAAGAAATATATAAAACAATTACTCTTAGTAAGGGGAACTTTCTGGTTACAAACAAATTTTATACTTAACGAAGTCAGTTCAACAAAACTTATACCTACACAACATCTTTACATAAAACATCGTTTTATAAAACAAAGAAATTAAAAAGCAATAACCTCAATTAATATGAACTAGATCGAACAATATTAAAGCTCTACCAGATATTTTAACTTTTTGGTTCAAACCAATTTTACACTTAACGAAGCCAGTTCAACAAAAACCTACACAACATCGTTATAAGACAAAAACGAAAACGCAAAACGGAAAAAATATATAAAACAAGGAATTAAAAAAAGAATAACCTCACGTAATATGAACCGGAGACAACAATATTAAAGCTTTACCGGAACTTTTACCTGTTCCAAACATTTTCCATACTTAACGAAACCAATTCGACAAATATGTACGAGCACCTACATAACAACGAAAATATTGTAATTTTCATGTTCCAAACAAAATCCACACGAAATCAATTCGGCAAATATCTACACAACAACGAAAATATTTTAGAAGACATCAAACGACAAAAAAAAGGAATAGAAAATGTATACCTCCAGGAAATAGTAGATTAATTCGCTAATGTTATATGGCAATTGGTTATCAACGACATCAACATCTTTCGAAAAACGAGCTATAATGCGTCCTAATGGAATCGTATCGAAAAAGTACATTGGTGCTCTCATCACGCCTATTATCAAATGTTGATGCAATCGCCTAGCTCCTTCAAGCAGTCCTAAACTTACCGATAATGCCGCAATAGCGGAAGGTGCCACTAAAATTATTAATAAACGTTATTTATACACTACCCTTACAATTATGGCCGCTTGATAATAATTTATTTATAATACTAGCTGTAGGGCAAATACATTTAAAAAATCTATTTTAAATACGTTACGGGCAGAGTTAGATAAACCACTAAACCTAGGTTTACCCGGGTAAAGTGCGAAAAGCGGGTAAGGTAGGGTAGCGGTTAAGGTCAATTTCGGGAACCCAAGAAACCCAAAAAACCTACCCATGCTTCTTGGGTTTTCGCACTTTACCGGGGTAAACCTAGGTTTTGTTGTTTATCTAACTTTATCCATAACATATTAGAAAATTAATTGTTTTAACAAATAGGGTCTGTATTAGGCTAGGTAGGTAACCCATCTCATAGATATTAACAGTTTTTACGAAACGTGTAGTATTTTAGAAGTTCGGAGAAAATTTATTTACCTGTTTTTATTTATTGGGAGGAAAGCGGAATTCAATCGATCCCAATCTATATATCATTATCAAATTTAATTAGTTTATAGAAATTATTAGCTCACAATTTATTTGGCATAGAAAATTTGTTGTATTTCTCGACTAAATTTTATTCAACAAGTAAGCATGTTGTTTTTATGAATTAGTAAAATTAATTAATTAAGAATCAATATAAACTGTAATTGAACTCAATTACAAAGGCTAGAAAAGTTATCAAACCTTAAAGAAATATTTGCAAAATGTAGAATCAGTTCAACACACTTTTCTAAAATTATTGCTTTAAACTTCAACATAAAAATCACATTTTATCACATAATGTGGCATATTTGTTACAATGATGCACAGACAAATCATGAAAGAACATCAACATAACGTAACATAATTAAGCGTTATTGTGGAACTTTAACGACGCAACATGTATACATTTGTACGACATTTCTAAGACCTGTTTCGCAACTTTTTTATAATTAAAAAGTCAGGTAACAGAAAGAATTACTCGTAAATCTTTGTACCTCGATGGCGCACTCTAACAGATTTAACAAGTCCCAGGGCAATTCGTCGTCGACGATTTCAACGTCGTTCGAAAATCTAGATATTATGCGTCCCATGGGATTCGTGTCGAAGAAGCTCAAAGGAGCCGTGAAAATGCCCCTTAAAAGATTTTGGTGTAAGAAAACAGCTGCCCTAAGACATCCTAGCAGCATCACTAAATCTGTAGCGATGGCTGGAAATGCTAAAATTTTTTCAAATTAAAAAAACATGGGTATAGGCATGTGATAAATATTGCACTGTTGTAATGCAATACTTTTTAAAGGTTATTTAGATTTTTATTATCTATGGTTTGACTGCTCTTAATCTTTGCCGTTGCCCTTGTTTTTACGAGAAATTAATTTTGTTTTATGTAATTTTCAATAAGATAAAATTTTAAAATTTCGCTGAGTAAATTGCGAAAAAAAAAAATCGAAAAAATGATGAAAATCAAACGCGATGATGATAAATGATAAAGGAAGAAATGCCAAGCTGAAATGATTTTTGATTAAAGTTCTAGAAGGTGCTTGAATAAAGAGTATGAACGAAAAACGACCTTCCTATACCTGATATGAAAGATATATAAATCTAATAAGTATATGCCTCAACGTTTCATCCACATCGAAAACATCTTTAGAAACGCGAGACACGATTCTGCCTACAGGAATCGTATCGAACGTTGACATCGGCATACGTAAAATTCCAATTAGTAAAATATCATGCATCGCTATTGCGGCACGAAGCATACCGATATCCGGAATTAGAATCGTTACGATATTGATAAGACCTGAAATAATACGAAAAGAAACTGGGAACAATTTCGAAGAATAGCTATAGGTATGTTCCATAATCAGCGTTAAACTATAAGCAAAAAAATGTTATGACGGAACTATTTAACTGTAATAACATTAGTCAAGTGCATACACTAATTGCATTGTATGGGAAAAGATTTATAAACGCGGTTTTTATGTTGTGCTAGCATGTTGAGGTTCCCATCGATCGGTGTGATAAAACGGTGCTACCTTATAAAACAGCTACTATTCGATTCAAATTAAAAAAAAAAAACTTCAAATAATCTCTTTGAAAAATTTGAAAAACCAGACCCACAAGTATATACAGGTCGTACGAACTGATCCGCTGCAAGCATTAGAATTAGAATCTCAATCAATACTATAAGATAGTAAAGAACAGAAACTTGTTTATCGGTTGCCGGCCGATATTAGAATTCGTCAATTCGCTTCGCTTCGTCCACTAGCGAATAGCGGGGATAGCGGGCGTGATTATTTTGTATGCTCTCTTTATTCCTTACATAGCAAAAGTTCAATTAGCTATCTCATAATTCTCATTGTATGCTTGCAGCGGATCAGTTCGTACGACCTGTATATTCATTTTTGGCTTTATTAAAGTTTAATTGTTTCCAAATTTTTGCGTGCAATAGAAAAATTTGCTGTGCAACAAAGAGCGAAGAGAGACATTTATGCCAAATTTAAAGAGTAAGAATCGGAAAGAACACTTTGAAATCGTCATATGTCGTTAAAAGAATGAAATAAATTAAATACATATTTCAAAGGGATCAAGATTAAATCGCAAATCTCTAGCGGCATTTTCAATTAATCATTTTTAAAACAAATTTCAATGCAGGTCACCTATGATTTACTAACAAACGTTGAATTTTGATATTATATATCTTTTTGGATGATTTAATTCTGCTTTTTAACATTTTCTATCATCCCTTGTTAACACTAATTAAATTCTGCAGGTATTGAGCTAAATCTATTTTGTGTATTTATTGTTAAAAGTTGGGCACAATGCTTGGCAAGTATGGCGACAGTAGTGATGTGCATTGATATTTGTTTTGCACCAACTGTACGTAATTAGACAACATAATAAATTAATTACCGCAGTTAATTCGATACGTCTCCTATAAAATTAACTTCCCGGCTTTGACGTTAAAATAATGCTTTGTATAGTTTCATGTAATGATTACCAAATAAATGTATTTGTGACTCAAATTAAAAATTGATTAAGGTAAAACGATCGATTTTTAGTTAATATCGAAAGAAATGAAGCGTTTTCATACCCTAAACGAGCAATTCAAAAGTTGAATAATCGTGGGTGATAAAATCGAATCGACAATTTCAATATCGGACGATGTTACTCCGAGAATTCGTCCGACCGGCGTGGTGTCGAAATAAGAAGCCGGATACCTAAGTATGTTACGTATTAAACCTTTATGAAGCCGTTTACCAGCGACTATAGCTCCTGTCGTAACTAAATAACCCGAACCGGACAATCCAATTACTGCAAACAAAATTTAATGTTTTAAATTTCGAACACCCGATCAGTAAAATTTCCCAAAGAAAAAAAATTCTACAAATTCTTTTCATAAAATAAAAAAATAAAAAAAATTCTATTTATAAAGAACATATTCGAAAATGTTTATTGTGCACAAAATAAGTTTGAATCTTCGCAAAAACCCAGAAAAAATCAACCAAATTAAAAATCACCAATTTTAACTCATACCCGCTAATCAAAAGAAACATAAAACATTATCCGGCATACTTCTTGATGCATTTAAATATAACTGCCAAACAAATAGTTAAAACGATGCAATCACTCACAATGAAGCCGCTTTCGATAACCTCGTAGCAATTAAACGGCAAATCGATATCGATATCGGTAAGGTCTTTGGAAAATCGGCTGAGTATCCGACCGAGCGGATAAATTTCGAAAAAAAGCATCGGCTGACGCAAGACGTTGTAGAGAAGACCTCTGTGAATTTCGTTAGTTGCGTTTAAAGACGCTATCGTTAAATTTACCTCTGAAGAACAAACGAAAAATGCTACAAATGATGGTACTGTCAACAATTGATCGTTCGGTGTACGGATTTTTTTTAACAAAATACACTAATCTACGAATTTTTCGATGGAAAAGAACAGAACATCTATCGCTACAGTTAAATAACCATATTTGCTAAATTGATTTTAATTTATTCGAATAATTGCCAATCAATTATCATTCAGTTATTTCAAAGAATGTATAGAGAACTAATATGAAATAACATAAATCATTGAATTAGTGGAAGTTTAACTTTAAAAATATTTAATCAATAATATAATTAGAAAATATGGATTAACTGTTGCACGTACGTAAAGGGAGATTAAAAGAAACACTAAATTTAGAAACATTCAAAACAGCTACGCTAAATGCTAACGAAAAAGCGAAATAAAAAATTCGAAGCCAAATTTAGAAATATTTGAAAATTGGGTCGTTCAAACATACATGTATAAACTTGACGAAACCATAAATTCCTTTGTTTCCTGAGAAGGACACACAATGAAATCGAAATAATGACGAATTAAATGACAATCCAGATATTTAAGAAGTACCTTGAAAACAAACGATATCTTGAATAAAGCCTGTTATGAATACCTATTGTTTCACCAACAATAATTTAGGTTTTGTCAAATTTATTGTTACCTAAAAAATATATATTTACTTACATTGAAGAGGTAATTATTGTAAAACGAATACTTTATGTACATTTAACGTTGTATGTATTTAAGTGTGTATAATTTACGTATAGTAAATTTAGTGAAGAAACGCGAATAGTAATATCGCACCTATTTTCTTCATTACATCGTCATCAAGAAATACTTTGAAATTCCTTAAATATTAGAAACCGATTCAAACTTATCCTTGTACAAAATTCGTATTGCGCCCTATCCCATTTCCTCGATTAAGGAAGATATTGACCGTTTAGTAAATATAACTGCACTTGTAATATTAAAACTATGATAAAATCGTAAATCGAATTTTCACTAACCGAATAAAAACAATTCACCCAGCCTCGTAAGGTCATGGGTAGAACATTGTCCAGCGTATCGACGTCCTTTCCGAATCTATTCAATATTCGTCCTAAAGGGGTAACATCGAAAAACGTGGTACACGGAGTTCTCAATACATTGTCGAGCATTAAGTTATGCATGAGTTTAGCAGCCCTTAACGTACCAATGTATAACGCCAACGAAGCGAACAAAACAGTTATAACTGAAAACCGAAAATTGGTATAATTACCTAAGTAACAATAAATTCTAATAATTACAATTCAAGGAATGACAAATTGAAATATCGCTGGATTAAATAAATATTAATTGTAAGGGAACGAAAACAGAATTGACAAAAAAAAAAAACCAAAGCCAACAATAATTAAAAGCTTAAATATTAATAATAGTAAAAATCAAATAAGGAAGCGGAAAGGCAAAAGCTCATCTGAATAAATCGTAAAGAATATTACAATTAGACTTCAATTTTAAAACAATGATTCCCTAACCCCGTGTAGGCATTTTGCAAATATTTTACATGTGTTTAAAATATTATTCATTAGGATCAATATTCATCCACTGAAAAAATATAAATCAGCAATGAATTATTGTTTATTACTATTTAATATTAATGTTATTAGAAATAATCAGTGTAAACTTTAGTGTAATTACTCTAAATAATACAGGGTGTCTTTAATAGATTGGGGACATGGGACTTTACTGTAGACTTCTGGGACGAAAATAAGATGCTTTAATCAATTTACCTAAAAATATAAAAAGAGAATTTTTGATATTGTGCCAGAATGGCTGAAGGCTTTTTTATGAAAATATGTACATAGTAACTTTATTTAGTGATAATTTTCTGTAAAACTCACATTTTTGGAGATAAATCTCATTTTTTTGGAATTTTACGATTTTTAAATCCCCATAGTTATGAAAATTTTTAGGCAGTTATTCATAATAAAATTATTTTCGTAGCACCTTTTAGAGACACCCTGTATGTTTGGATCTGGAATGTTCGGTCAATTAAACGTATAGTATTATCCCTTATTTACCCAAATAGTGTAGTGTTTCTAAATTGGTAAATTATTGCTACGTGAGCTCAATAGTGTATTGTGTTAACTCCATTTGTTTATGTTTTAAAATTGCAAGTCTATAAAACAGCATATTAGAATTAGAATACGTTTAAAATTATGGAGGCTAATAGTCTTAACCGTAAAGCCAAATAAGTTAAATCGCACTATTAGATATTTGTAATACGAGTGTATTATTTAATTAAAATTTCTAGGCCATATTATAAAAACGATTCACATTGAATCTAGTCTTTAGTAAATACATCTTTATGAGGATTGTGATGAATACATTTTAGTTTACTTTATGACTTTCTACTATCTAAATTAAAAATCAACAAGAAACACAAAATGGTTCAAAATGCAATCTGATCAACAGGAATCCTAAATTATCCTAAATTATGTCCAGTCTTTTACATTACGTGAATGCAGTTCGTTCTAGTCAAGATTGATTGTAAATATCCACAAAATACGTAGTAAAAACCAAATTTATGTTTTAGTTATTTTTGAAGACACTTTGTTTAATACCCCCTCCTTTGTATAATAAAGTAGTTTATTTTAACTTTCGTATCAACAAATAATTTAACTCGACGATTATAAAAGAACAAGTAAAAATGTAATACATGCATTGAAATTATTTTGTAGATTTCTAAAAAATACTTAGTAATATTAAGTTTGCGGCATTCAGAAGTTGCTAGTTATCCAGAATTGCAAGTAAATATTCGTAAGGCATTTCAGACTCCCACAGCCTAGACAAAGTTCGTTACTACGTAACGTTCGAAATAAGAAATTCGGCCGAGATTAAACGAAAATCGCAAGTTATTTTTTCTCCAAGGCGATCGCGGTAATGGTATAAGGTCATTTAGGTTAATACGTTTCTTGTCCAGTGTTAGTGGGTATTTAAAATCAATGATATTATAGAAAGCATGCCAATGTAAAAAAGTAAAGCAATATATCAATCAATAACCCTAGAGCAGCCAAGGCTAAAAAAAGATGCAAATTAAAAGATACATGCACATAAATTATTTAAATAATCTCATATTGTAAGTACGTACAGTGCCCTAAAGTTAATGCATCAAAATTCTGTCTAAGTATGTACAAAAAGGCTGATGTCGATTATAATACAAACTTAACAAACTGAGATTATCTATTCAACAATCAGCTTTTTTACTGTTAATAGTATAGGCTGTTCCATAAGGAATGGTCAATTCTAGGTTCAAAACCTTCAAATATTCATATTTTACTGTAAGTAAATAAACAGTAGAAAAACTGATACCCTTCATATACAGAGTGTTAGTTAATTAAGTGCCGATACTTCAGGATGTGAATATTTGGATGATTTTAAGAAGAAAAGTTTATATCAATATATGTCCTAAATCTCTTAGTTCTAGAGATAGTTAAAATTTTAGACAAAAATTATGATAGACAAAAAACTTTGCTCATCATAATTCTAGGATTTTTTCTTAATATTTTGCCTCAAAAAATGCACCTTAATAATTAAAAAGTGTGAACAAAATTCATTAAAAACATTTGGAGTAATAAGAAAATGATGATAAAAAAGTTATTTTTTTCTAAAACTGTAACACTGTAGCTCGAAATCCGAAGAGGTTTAGGACATATGTATATTGATATAAACTTTTCTTCTTAAAACCATCTAAATATTCACATCCTGAAGTATCAGCACACGATTAACACCCTGCATATAATAATAATACTATAAAAATCATGCAAATTGAATAAACGGAGAACTGACCTTGGCCCAATCCAAGGGCACCATATACACCAAGATACATGTCCCTTTTTCCCGTATCAGTGGTCGTGCCATTTGATACAAGCTTATCATCGTCGGCCCAAATACCCAACCAAACGTTCGAGCCGATTTGGAAACCTTGGTAGATCAAATTGAATATTAACGTCGATAACATAAACATTATTCCAATCGATTTGAGGTAATGCTTGTAAACGGCCCAACGCACGTTGCCGGTTTCGGCCTTTTCCACTTCTATCAATTTCTCGCCCTTTTGCGGCAGCTTTTTCGAATCCACGGACGCCTTTCTTCCGCTTTTATCCATGCTGTTCAATCTCTGTATCGAACCGTTGCCGAAATGGTCCGAACCGGTATCCGAATGCGATTCAGAAATTCGCGACCTGTGCCTGATTAGTTTCTTGTTCAATTCTTCGGGCAGGTGTCCCTCGCTTATTTGGTCTTTGAGCTCGTCGAATTCTACAAACAGATATAAACTAACTTCCTGATTCGTATACGTTTTTCTTGTGTAATTGCTAATACATGCTTAAAAAACAAGCTGAAATTGCGGTTGAATTGATTGATTTGGAACATGAGAACATAAAGAAGAAAGGTATTTCTGAGGGAGTATTTCTAAAAGTACCTACTAGGTTTATTTTCTATGGGTCAAATTCATGCAAATGAAAATTCCCAAAGGAACAATTGAAGAAAATGATTCTAAGTAAATCTAGTAGAAATAAATAAATTATGAAAATATGTATATGAAAAATTGAAATCCAGAAACCTCCAGAAAAAATGCAGAAAGCAAGAACAAAAAAAAATCTATTGAGCAAAGGATCAGTAGAACTCGAAATTTAAATGTTCGTACTGTACGTACTGATCTAGCCCTTAGGCACTAAACATGTTCCATTAAAAACACATCCATTCTACTGACCCTATCCTAATGCAAAAATTATAAAAAAAAATCTTGAGAATAGACACAAATAAAAATATTAGTGAAAAATAAAAGCCACTAATATTAGATAGCAGACAACATACCCTCTGATTTAACCTTAGAACCTATAAAAATGGAAAACCGTTACTAGTTTATTAACGTACTTTTGGAAACAAAATGTGATATTACACCTAATAATAAGTAAGCAAAAGATTCTTATTGATTGTTAAACTTATGAAGCATTCTTATTGAAATGCTAATTCATTTTGTTTCCATCCATTCAGAGAAAAATTATTGAAACGTAGAAAATGGAATTGAAACATTGTAGTAGTGTTATAGACGGTGGCACATTAATATTGAAAAGCTCAATATATCTGGTATTGCAGAAGATATCAAAAAAACTTCATTACAAAAGTTGTAGATCTTTTTAAGTTTCATATTTTAAAAGTAGTTACATTTATAAGGAGTGTCCCGTTTTTCCGTGGTACACCAAACTTACACTTTTTTGAATGGACAAACAGTTTTAAAAAGTATTGAATTTAGGTATAGGGAATGTTTAATAAGAATAAAAGTATATACTTCAAACATACTTTCTGGTAATGATATGAAATACAGGATGGTCCATTTAAAGTAATTGTGAAATGTTACTTTTGCGTTTGGATCCACCCTGTAAGCAGTATGATTAAAATTGACGAAACATCTTCTTTGGTAGAATAACATGTACAAATAATACATTTTTGAAAAGTAGAACCCTTGCTCCATTTCCGATTGCAATATGGTCATTTCTATGAGTTGAACAAAGAAAGGTTATTAAAATGACAGTTGTCAGAGTGAAAAGTTGCAATGACATAATATCACTCTTTCTTTTTCCTTTATAAGTGTCTAATTGAAGTTGACTTTGTTGCACCCATAGCCCATGTTGCAGTGAACAATGGAGCAATCTGTATACGAGGTGTTCTATTTAAAAAAATGGTTACTGTGAATTTAAAAAGAGATTTTGATGCTACTTTTCATTGGGACACCCTGTATTAAGAATTCGCTGCGAAAACCAGATCGTCTTTTGACACACACACGTTTCAAATAATTTTCCTAAAAAAATGTTCAGTTATTTTTATATATTAATTTACCTTCCACCGTTTCAGCTTCCTCGGTGATGTGCTGTATCAAGAAATCGGCAAACGCTCCTTTCTTATCCATCAATTCCTGGTAGGTGCCGGTTTCCGAAACTTCACCGTTCTTCAGCACGATGATTTTGTCAGTTTGCGGCAGATAAGTGATACCGTGAGTGACGAGCATTCTCGTCTTGTTCTTCAGCAACCCCGTCGGGCCTATGACCTTCTCGAAGATGTGCTTCCCAACGTGACTGTCCACGGCGCTCAGAGGATCGTCCATAAAGTAAATGTCCGCGTTCGAGTACACCGCCCTGGCCAAGCTAACACGCTGCTTCTGTCCGCCCGAAAGATTGATACCTTTAAATCACAATAATGGACTTTAAGGAAGCCACTTCGGGGTAATTTTTATTGGGAAAACATTGGTTTAGTAATTCTAGTAAAATTTAAATTTGGCTTGATCAATTGATTTGAATCTTTTTTGTATCTAATATACATAGAGACTCCAAGAAATGATAGCGCCTATTTTAAATCTCACCTACTTCTTTGTATGTTTAAGAAAATTGAAATCAAAAACGGCCATTTATTTTCACAATTTTGCCAATTTGACTAGCAACAGCTAAGCCATTGATAACCGTTTTTCAAATATTTTTCAATAATTTGCCCTTTTTTGAAGGACAGGTAAGAGGATATTTCCAGTGCGCCGAGATAGTTTACGAGCACCTTAATGACTACATATTTGTCAACCCTGCTTTTTTAAATCGCAGGGAATAGAATTAAATTTGAAGAATTCTAAAAAGGATTTCGTATTTTACTGTTATACAATTGGTTGTACATTGGCATACAATTTTTTGAACAAACCCTCCTCGGAAAAGTTATACCCCTCTGAAGATTGAGAAAAAAAAATGATTTTTATATTAAGCTAAAGACACGAAACTTGGGTAATATTATTTACCCAAACTATTAATTTAATATTATTTACCCAAATTTATTAGATCAAACAAACATTTCGAAATTTTTTCAATCCTGAACTATTGAAATAGTCAATCCCTGAGATTTTTTTATAATAAAATATTTCTTAAAATAATAAATATATTGCAAGCTCATGTTAAATAGCATTTAACATGAAAAGAGCTAACCAAAAAAAATGTTTTTTTTATAAAAATTTTATATTTACACGTACCCGCCTTAATTTTCATCACAGAATCACCCCTTAAATTTTTTTAGTGTTATTTAGATACGCCCTGTATATGTATCCTGAACTTTACAATACTAGAATATAGGACAAATCAATGGAACTTTGTTGAATAATTTAGTTCAACTAACAGAGTTTCGTGTACTTTTTCCCACAGCGCTTCAACTAATCTATTTTTACATTCCTTCATACACAACACATACCTTTTTCTCCTATTTCAGTTTGATCACCAGCTGGTAACATATCGAAATCCGGTTTAAGGGCGCACGCTTCGATAACGTCGTTGTATACAGATTTATTGTAGGGTTTTCCGAACAGGACGTTGTCTCGAAGGGTGGCGTTTTGGATCCAAGCTTGCTGCGAAACGTAGGCGATGTTTCCATATGTATTGACGGTGCCCGAGATCTTGTCCATTTCTCCCAGAAAAGCGGACACCAAACTCGATTTGCCCGATCCCACTGTACCCACGACGGCCGTCAGGGTTTTCTTTTTGATTCTGATGTTGATGTTTTTGAGCACCGGCTCGCTTCCCCATGAGAAGTTTCCGTTTTGGATGAGCAAAGGTTCTGTAAATGAGTACAAATTTATTCAGTGTGTTCGAAATAATTGCATCAAATTCAACTGACCTTCAGTAGGTTCGTGATGCACATTGTCAGGATCCAGTTCTTCGGCATTCATGAAATTGTTTATCCTTTTAACAGATACCCATGTCTATTTTTTAAATAAAAAATTCGTTAATGTTTATGCGAAAATTAATAGACCGCAACCTTAAGGCAAGCTTTTAGGAAACACTAGCGAGCTAGCATACCCTGTGACAAAAAAAGTATCCGGAATTTCTGATTTAAATTACCTCCACTTAATATTTTTAATTATTTTAAGTATCTGTATGTAGGTAACACTTTCGCGAAAAGAGCTAAAATCCGTACCAAAAAGCGCCTACAAAAATGTTTCGATGATTGGAAAAGGCGTCTAGCTGGCTATGTGTATCGCTTCAAAAAGAGCATATTTTGAATGAGATTCGAGAAAAATTAAAGATTAGGAATTTTGCATTTTATTCCAATTTTCCGGGTACTTTTTCGTCACTATGTATATCCTAATTTACAGGTAGAACGATTTAATATCAAGTTTACAGTGTAATAAAAATCATACAGTACTTTGTAACTTAATATTAAAATCGTATCTAACCAAGTAAGAACCAGAAACCATAAATTTATAATAAATACCTAATGATAATTTAATTAATATAACAATTAACAAATTTCCTTATTTCTATTAAAAGCAAGTAAAAAATTCAGTAAACAATATAATCTAATTTACATAATTGAAATATGGAAAAATGTATCATTCTAGTAGTTAATTTATGAAATGGGTAAGTAAATAATTGCTTACTTGAATTAATTGCGATAACATCATGGGTAACATGCTCAGCGGAAATCTTATGATATTGAAGAGAGAAATAGAAACATAGGCTTTATTGGCGTCTAATATGTTTTTTTCATCAACCAAAACGAAGGTAGCAAAAGTGACTAGCGATACCTAAGAAATTGTTAAATTTTAATTAGAGATAATAGTTGAATCCCACACCACCTCGTTACATATGTATGTATTTAACAAATTCATCAATTTGATCAAATTTAAAAAACGATAATATTAAACACAAATTGTTACTAAGAAGAAGAAGATTCATCAAATTGACCAATCATATTTTAATAAGAAGATCCTCGAAAAAGGCTCAAATCAAGATCAACATAAGGCAGCCATTTCAGGCAAACGACCTGAGAAAATTGTTACATATTATCTGGACGGTTATCTCAAATTTAAAAGAATCGAAAGCCTGGAGCACCATTTTGTTTTGTAGCTAAAATGTAGATGAATACCGTAGATTCATGCTTTTCATTCAAAATTCTTTACCTCTACACAATATACCAATAGCATCGGTAGAAGAGCCATGGGCAATCCGATTATAGAAAATAAAGCCATCGATTTAAATACTTTCTCGGACGTTATAACATTATTTACCGGATCGCTGAAGACGTAGGTGGCAAATGTAACCAATGTTACCTATATTAATGTGCAAATAAATAAAATAAAAAACACTGTTCATACTTTACGCAAGTAAAATAAACACCTGATTAAACCTGGATAAAATGTAGTATAATTGATAAATTGTATAAAAAATAAATAGATTAATAATAGTCACTTACCAAGAATGGAGCACAAGACCATATAAATGAAGTACCAGCATTCAAATAAGCTGCCTGCCTGAGAACTTTAATTTCCTTGTTTCGAATCTTCAATACTTGCTCTTCGAAACTGTGCTCCCACGCGTACAGTTTCAAAACCTTGATGCCGTTCAAAATTTCGTTCATCAATTTAACACGTTCGTCTTTGTTTTTCATTTGCTTGACTTGCAGAGTTTTCGCCTTGTTGGCTATGAATCCGTTGACGGGAATTAAAATGATCATGACCGCCAGACCGGCCAGCACGGACGGACCCAATTCGTTCCAGAGGAAATACAACGACAGGCAGATTTGCAGCGGCGCCGACCAAATCATGTTCAAGTAACTGATCAAATCCATGAATTTCTGCGCATCGACGGCCATCAGATTGACTATTTCACCCACGGTGCTTTCCTTACGAGCGCTGTTGGAAATCCTGAGGGCCTTTCTGTAGATCGCTGAAACCAGGACCGTGCGAATTCTCATTCCGACGAGGAACATGCGGTTGAAATATTGGGCCAACAACAGAGTTTGAATTGTAACCACCACAAATAGCAAACCCGCGTACGAATAACCCTTCCATAACGGTTCCTTGTTTTTAATGTACGAAATCAGCAATCTATAAAATGTGAGTTCAGGAATTAATTCAACAACTACTAATGAAAAATTATACAGGGCGTTAATAAATTGACTGCCGATACTTCAGGATGTAAATATTGTGTAAATATGTTGTATGTCTAAATTAATTTTCGAGCTACAGGGTGTTACAGTTTTAGAAAAAAATAACTTTTCTAACATAATTTTCTTATTACTTCCGATATTTTTATAAAATTTTGTACACTTTTTAATTATCAAGGAGCATTTTTGAATATTTTTTTTTATTTTTACCAGTGATTCCGTATGGGGTTTGAAGAATATATCCGAAAAATATTCAATTATATATTCGAATTAAACTGAATATGTTTGAAGAAAAAATGGTATGCCACTGATTTTTCTAAAAACTAAAATTATTTTTAAAATCTTTCGTAAGACGCTGATCTTTCGTAAATACTTTCGTATAACGCTACATTTTCGCATAAAAAATATAAAAACCAAAACTATTTTTTCCCAAATTTATTGAGACAGTTTTTGACATTTTGTTGAAATTTGATAGGCGCCCACCATGCAAGAAAATACTTTTTTTGGCTAAATATTAATTTTCTACTATTACCACGTCTGAAATTTCATAAAAACATCTGGAGTAATAAGAAAATTATAATAGTAGTTTTTTTTCTAAAACTGTAACACTCTGTAGCTCGAAAATTAAGAGGTTTAGGACATATATTGATATAAACTTTTCTCCTTAAAATCATCCAAATATTCACATCCTGAAGTATCGGTACTCAATTAGTTAACACTCTGTATATTATATGTAGATTTAGTTATTTTTTATATGAAACTTACCCCAAAACTTGTGGAGATACAAATACTAAAAGGTCCTGACATAATTTTAGAAATGCTCCAAAGAAAAAGACCGGACCAAAACACTTGACCAAAGCTGGTAGTACTGACGCCTGTTTTTTCGGTTTGCTATTGAGAAAATCCACATGATCTGAGTCAGATTTAAATTTCACTTGACCCGCAGGGTTGGAAGAGGAACTGTAATTATTTAATATTTTGTCTATAGCTAAGTGTTCTTAAAAATACGCTCAAAGCTCTACGGAAACTACAAAGCATTTTTTATTAAACAGCAGGTTACGATAAGCTCCTCAACCAAAGCCACAAGCGCTACTAAATAAAGTCCAATTACGCAATCAATTTCTAGTGCTAAATAAAAATAATAGACCATATAGTAAAAATGACCATCTACAATAAATTATTAGATCGACAACACGTCATAGCATAACTAATCGAAGCAACTAGAACAGTGACAAAATGATTCAACTAAATACCTTTCAGCTTTCAGTAAGGTTTCCTTCCAAGCTGTTTCGAATTTGGGCACTAATTCTCTGGAACTATCTTCAATGTTCATATCCCAAAGATCTTCGGTGGTTAAAGGTTTTCTGAAACCCTTCCATGCAAGAGCATCGAACCAAGAAAACAGAATACGCGACAAAAAACCGGCTCCTTCTTCTGGACATGGTTTCTGTGAATAATAATAATGATAAACAAATAAACGTAATTAAACAAAACTGTTACCTCTGCTACGGGATACTTCCTTTCTCTTGGCGTTTGATCTGCCACACAATTAAGTAAAAACATTACACAAACCAATGGGTAATAAATTAAATAGCTGGTATAGAAGTAATATTGTGAGGGAAGGATTTCATTTCTTTGGGCCTTTCGTATTTCGGATCGCAGTTGGGGAATACCACAAACCGCTAAAATTAACCAAAAGAGGAATAATAATCCTGACGTTTGTTGACCATATTTTCTGTTAAAAATCGTTATGACCCCAGCGAGAATCTAAAAATTGAAATACAAAGTTATTATCGTTTATTGCAACATAGAGGTATGTATTTGCTACATTGTTTGCAATATATGCTACAGGTGCAACAGAGATAACTTCCATTAGTCTCAAATAAAGGAAAAGAAAGAGTGATATTGTGGTATTGAAGCCTTCTTCATTTCAATTACAATCTTTGTTCAACTCATAGATATGACCACATATTGCAAACAGTTTTGCATCTAAATGATGTTAATATGAAGATGATTTGACAAAAATTGGGATAAGAATTAAATTTATCTAAATATTTGGCAATGATTAGAATAAATTGCAAGTGTAATTTAATTTCAAACGTCATTTTTTACCAAATCATCTAAATAAAACCAAGTACACTTACAAATGAAAATATTTTGAGTAAAGGAGAATAGATATCCACATTAAAAACTTTACTATTCTCTTCTGCTGCTCTTTTAAATGTAGTAACTATGTCGCTGACTGTTAAAACTATAAGGGTTGCTGTGATTCCCAATTTTAACAAATTCAGCCAATTCCATGGTATATTCCACTTTTTACTAGAATAGATGTAGTAGCATTCTAAACCTACGAAAAGCCACAAAAAGATGCACGGGATCCACACTAAGAAGGTTTTTTCTAAGCAAGGGGTAAACTCCGGATCTGTTGTATTCCATGTTAATTTGACATCCTAAAAATTAACAAAATAACGATAATTCTAAAAAATAATGCAATTAATGTCCTACCCAAAAGGGAGATCCGCAGAATTTATTTAAAGCAGCAAATGCTTCCGATGAATTGGCATCTACATTTTTAAAATTTGACGAGTTTAAAAAATCAGATCCAGTTACATCCAATTCAAATGGAGTTTGAATTTCTGGAGTAATAGTACTCAATTCAGTTAAGTTTTCCATATTCAAACAGAAACTAGAAGAAAGTAAAAAGTTAATACATAAATGTAATATTAAAAAGTAGATAGCATTATTAAAAAATGATAAGCACTACTACTTTCTAATATTTATATATTTTGTATAATTTTTTATTGAAAAAATCCTTAAGTTGCTGTAAAAGTCAATAAAATTAATATATTGTTATATACCTAAAAACAATCTAATGCTATTATAATTTAAAGCTAAATAATAAGTATGTTTAAGTATGTTTAAGTCTGTTTAGTACATTTTAGAACCTATTAAAAAACGTTATGATAAAACCAAAAGTAGTATTTTAACATATTTAATTAAGTTTTTTTAATTCAAATACAGTATGCAGCAAGACATTATCAATAATAACTAGAAAATAAATACTAATACTTAGTTATCTAAACGATCCTAGCACAATCTGTTATTTAAAAGCAATTATTTGTAGGTATTAGTGTTAATTTCATAAGATCCAATAGTGTTAAAATAGATAGTATGCCAAACAAACCATATCGTGAATAGGCACTTCTAAATCAATGAGTAATTGCAGAAGTATCATAAATAATAAAGCAAATCATTGTAACATTTTCAATCGATAATTATCATTTTTTTATTAAACCAGCACAGAACACTAAAGAGTATCAATTAAAGTGTGATTTTTTTAATGAGATGACCTCTAAATTTTAGCACACAAGTAAAATGCATTTCTTTCTAATTATAATAGAACTAAACTATTGTTGTTCAGATTACTGCCTCACCTCTTTAATTCTCTTCTGTCACAAATAGCACATGTCACTTAATATTGCAATTTCTTCAATCAATGATGAATGAATGAATATTCAATGATGAATACACTATTTTCACTTTATATTAATAAAGATACTGACAAAAGTATTAATGATAACAAACAAGAGATTACCCACGTGCCTCACTATTAAATAACGGTAAAGTGACCCTGCTCAAACTCGACAAAAAAAGAATATTAATAAGAAGATAGGCATACGAGCAAATCTTGTTGATTAGACCCACACCAACTCTCGATAGCAAATGACGATGACGAAATTAGCGAATGAAGTAAATGAAGTTAGTTAAAAAACAGACAAGTGACATTGACGACTAAATTCTGATATCTGATTGGTAGAATCTCTAGACCCCCCCCTAATCAGAAAATACAGTAGAAGGGAAAAAGTGGACCTCTTGGTATGCTATTACCCTGAATGGTAAAAGACCTACAGTTTAATTATAAAGAAGCTTTGAGTGTATTATTCATCCAATGCCAATTTTATGTTCAATCAAGTTATTAGCAAAATAATAGATGTATTCGTATTTAATTATTGTTCAAAATCAATTAATTGAATTTATTAAAATAAATTAAGAAAAGAGAAGAGGAAAAGTGACATAAGCCTTGACAAGTTTGACAATTGATTTTTAGTGACAGTGACATGTGTTTTCAAAAGTTTTATCAATAATTCAATTTTTCCAAATAAACAAACTTAACGGCAAAGAGTCGGAAGGATTCTAGAATTTGCGACTGAAATTAAGATGTCGAAACCCGTATTTTTGGATGTTGATTCCAGCATAGTTGAACAGAACCTTCGAATAAACGTAAGAGTTCTTAAATAAAATAATTTGCTCATATATTTGAAATCGTATTATTATTTATAATTGCAGAAAAATTCAGAGGAGGATGACCTAGCTAAGCTGTTTGATCAGAAAAATTTCCCTTCTAAGTTAGTAAAACCATCACCAGGTAAGCAAAAATTATTATTGAGAAATTGAGACCCTTAACATTGTGTGAATTATAACGAAGAGAAATTGAGCTCAAATAGTTTGTTATACCGTCTTTAAAATTATTTTTCTCTCTATTTTTTTTGATCAGTATTTATCTTTTTAATATGCCTTTTTAATAATAACCTCTAACAGCCGGATTCACGAATGATTCAAATAATTTATCAGTTGTGCTTGTAATATCAAATAAATATAGAATGAGTGTTCCTTAAATTATATCTAGAACATGCTTTAATACTAATAGTAGATCAGTAATAGATTTTTTTGCTTAATATACGGAATTTTTACTTAAGATATAGATATTTGCTATTTTATTCGTATCATTAAATGATTGAATTCTCTATTTTATTTTAATAGAAACAGCTCTTTAATGTGAATTTTATTAACTAATCCAAATTCCACAGACAACTGAACTACACATGCATATTGAATGTGTGACAGTAACGTTTTGAATCCATAAAGAAAATTAAACAACTTTCAGCAACTCATTGTGTCTGTTTGTTACTTGTGCTTAATTGTCTTGTTATTGATTTAAATGAATGCTCAGAGTTGAAAGAATCTGTTAATAACCTTTTTCATAGAAGTACCAACAGACTTATAAAAAAAGCAATCAACCTAATTATGTACACACAACACAATTTGTACAGTAAAAACATTTGCTAGTACTTATAATTATACCAGTAATATGTTAAGTTGTTTCAAAATAACAAATTGTTTCACTTTATTTACTTTAGTATGCCGCTAGAAATGTATTATAATCAAGTAATTATAAAGAAAATAGTTTCATTGAAAATAATTTCCAATTCAAATGTTATATTAAAATAACATCACCACATTTAAATATACTAATACTATCTTAAAAACTACCTACTATTTTAATTGTAGATATAATTAACTTTTTTTCTCAATGAGTTGTGAAGTATACAAAAAATTTACTCACTGTATTACAAAAAAATCACAGTATCCGCAATTGTATATCAAATTTTAGAGAACAATTATCAACATTTATCACATTATGCAAATTTTATTAATATTGTTTTTTAACAAGTTCACAGCACCGCGACCACTGTAAGAATGAATAGTACATCCCGTCAAATAACGGCGCTCAGCTAGTTTTTCTATATTTGTAGTAATTCAAGGCATTACTCTCTTTATTTTAATTATAACAACTTATCATTTTCAGCCTATCAAATCCTTTTATGGGATATTTCAAGAGGTTTTGCAATAATGAGAAATGATTTTTTTTCATTTACCTAATGGCATTAAAAACGTTAAAATTGTTCAAGGTTAACTATAGGTAAAATAGGTACCTAACTATTTATTTTCCGGTGATTATGTAAACATTGCAATTTTATCTGGGATTGATGGGTACTCCCCACATTCTTTTTATCATACCGCACGATGTAATAGAAAGAATTCTTGCATCCTATTGGATATTTATGCAAATTTCTTCGTTTTTTAATTCATTTGAATTGTGCATTGAAGGATTCGTGTGTTTTTATCCAATCGATTTGAGGAGCATATTCAAAATCTTGTTGTTATACTCAAGGATATCATGATTTACTATTTTCTAAATCGAAACTAGTAATTTTTTATTTTTAAGTATTCATCATTCTTGCATGAAGACATGACTTGAAATTAATTTCGAAAAATAGATTGTTCTAAAAGCATTAAAATCTCCTTTTTTTGGAAATTTGTTTTTACCTATGTATTTTATATAATAATAAGTAAACACTTATATCATGCAAGACTAATTTCTATAGTAATAAACATCAACTGGTACGCAATTTATTAAATAGCAACATATAATTTGCTCTTTTAATACCTACATTTTACCTTTGGCTATAAATAAATTAATGGGTTAATTTTGCAGTGATTATTTTACAAATTTATTTGTTAATTGATTTACGAATGCGATACGAACTTTTAAGATATGTAGGTAATATTAAATAATAAGTCCAACAAAGTTTTTATTGACAACTTCTCACAATATTACTTACTTTTAGTGCCTAAGTATTATATTTTTTATTTTACAGCTATTATTTCAAAAAATGAAGGTTAAATTCATTTTTAATCAGAATTGTATTTCAATAAAATTATGTGTGTACTTACATAGTATACAAACTATAATAACCGTAGAATGTGTCAATGACATAATAATTACTAAGAACAAACGTGGAAATAAAGTTACATTAATTTAGCTCTACAGATATAGCACTATTAACTCTCTGAATTAAATTAAACTAAGTTGTAAAAGGAATTATTTAAATTTAAACTTATTTTGGAAAATGTTGGGAAACAATTTTGGTTTCAAGTTGAAAATTTCCTTATGATAAAGCTACACACTCAATGTTTTGCATATTATACCGAGCGGTCACCTTGGAACCCTGCATTCATCCGCCGATTCATCGCGCCGAAGCCCTACCTTTCCTCAGTTCGACTGATTCTCTCTTTCTAATGCTTGAACCGCTCGAACTGGGACGATCGGTATATGAAGTTGAAATGCCACTGGCCATTTATTATTTGAAATGTCTTTTGTTAAATTGTTTTTATCATATTATGATTTCTCATGCATTGAAACAACTGTCTTCAAATTTTCACTTCTGTACATCCAAAATCTTTCAAATTGCTGCGAAAAATCATTTTTTTGATTTCAACTTCGACATTCTCTACCTTTTTCATTTTAAATATTTTACTAAAGCAAATTTGGTTCAGTTCGTAATATTTTGAGGCTAAGAATCTTCCCCTTCACTTTTGGACCATTACTTACGGACCACCCTGTATACACTCTCAAAAATGTTTTGCAAAAAAGAATAAACATTTAATAAAACGAATTATTTCTGAAATAACTCATCAAAATTAGTTTCCAAAAGGCAACAACAGACCGTAGGCCCCCAAATACATATCCGAATGTAATTAAAAAAAAATACATTTGAGGGTTGTTTAGACAACAATGACTTATAAATAATGACTAATTAAATGACAAAAAAGCCAAATGCAGTACTTATTGCTATTTTCTCTAGCTTGATTTTTAGAATATTTGGTTAACAACGTTTGTAGTCGGTCTCACAGACCGGGCGCGACTATTGGAGGCTTAAATAATAAATGGGCAGTCGCATTTCAACTATATAATATGCAAAACATTTTTGAGTATGTGTATTTGTAATTAGGAGTTGTTGACTTCGGTTACTGTTAACTCATAGGTTTTAGTAATAGATTTTTGTTGAAGAAATTATAGTTTTTAATAAGTGTGTTTAAATATTGTTATCAAGCAATTGAGAGATAATTGCGTGAGGTTACATAACATTATGTCAAGTTGTGATAGGATTATTATGTGTGACGAAGCATTTTGTCCATTTAATTGAATGCCAAACGTTTTATCAAAATTTTTATTAATGCAGCGATGAAAATGACTCGACAAATATATGTACATATGTTTCCAAACAGATATTTTTTACATCAATGTTCAATTTATAATTATTCCAATTGCGGTTAACAATACTAATACTTCACAAAGCTTTATAAACAGAAACTGGTGCCAAGGATAAAATTCCGTATTTATAGCAACATCCTACTTATACTGATTATTTTCTTGAGTTATAAACACAATAATTTATATTAGGTTTGGGAGAAAGAATATTTTAAATAACAAGCAATCTTGATATCCTTGAGAGAGCGATTTGATGAAGAATACCTCGTCTAATCATTAAAAAAACTGTAGGATGTTCTAATCTTAGGTAGTCATTTTATTTTAATGTGAGCAGAAATTATGTAACCATTGTTGTTTCGAATTAAAATTCGATATGAACTTTATAAGAACTTAAAGGTCGAGAAAACTCGACTTTTTTACCAAAAATAACTACTCGTTATTACCAGTCATAAAAATATGCAGTGGGTATATTAATTTGAATGCGAAACAATTTTTGGTTTGTTAAAAAATCTGTAAAATGTTACGAATTTATTTACCAGAATCCGCCCATTAAAATAATCTATACGGTTAATAATATGAACTCGTTTTGTTATATGCTTTGTCATTCTTACATACTTATCAGATAAAATCAACAGAATAATATTTGATATAAGAGCTGAACAATGCAAGATGTACATTAAATCTTAGTAAAAATGACGATTGCCTTAAAATTAATTAATAAGCAGAACTATCTCCTCGGCTTTATTTTACAAACCTATTAAGCGAATGAACTAAATTTTCTTATCAACATCCATTTAAAATAATTAGATATTGTCCCAATTATCCTTGGAATTACTAAATTTGAACGATTGCAAAATGCTGGAAGTTAACCTTTTTTTCTATCTCAAAGTATTTCTAATTTTACTTTCCCTTGTGGCAATGTCCTTGCGCTAATTTGTCAATTGCCTCAATGGTTCATAAGAAGTATAAATTAAAACAAAAAATTGACGAGATAACTAACAATTACTTACATCTTAATTTGTTAAGCTATAGAATTTCTCATTGCTGTCTGTTACTTTGTCGACTAATTAAGTTATAGGGGAGATATTGTATTTTGCAAAAGTCGTAAGAGTTTCTATATGCAAGTATTTTGAGTATATTAATGAAAAGATTAAATGAGGTCATGGTTAAGAAACACAAAAAACTAAAAAAAGTCTGTAATTATTAGGGGAATTTCAAACAAAAACGGTAACTACTGAAATAACAAAAAAGCTAACAGTGTCAAGGATCTTACAAATAAAGCTAATAATAATAGTAGAGAATTTACAATCATTAGTTTAAATGTCCAAAACACCATCTTTTAGAGTCGATACATATCTTGATGTTTACCAAATATCAAAAGCTAAGATATGTACATATAAGTATTTATTTGTCTAATAAAATTTGTAATTTCAAGGTTTTTGTATCAAAACCAAAGAGCTTACCGATAAAGGAAAAGTATTCGTTAACATATGTCAGACTGACGCCATTCCCCCTCCGAAGGACATTACGACCAAAGAACTTCAAGAAATCCTCGAATCCGATGAACCGGGGGACTACAGGGTACCGATGAGCATCGGAGAAATTAGAACGGAAAACGACAAGAAAGGAGAGAAAGCTAAAGTCTGCGATGTCGCTGTGAATCCCTCGTTCTTCAAGAAAGTTACCAACATTCCGGAATTCAAGAATTTCTTCTTGGCAATCGTGTTCCACGGTTTGCAAGACAAGTACAACTTGGAGTTCGTCGACGAGAAGATCATTTTGCAAAATCGCAAAGTATTTGGTACACTTCAGACGCACAGGATACAACAAAGGGAAATTGAACAGAAAATGGGCGCAGGCGACAGCAATCCGCTATTATCAGCTTTAGGTGATAAAACACATGCACCTTCGAAGAAACCTCTCATAGAGACTATTTCAAGCGTCGATTCGATTACTAAAGAACCCCCTTACAGACTCTATAAAATGAAGGATGGACAAAATTGTTTGTATGGCGAATTTCAATTGCCAGGCGTGGTAAATATAAAATCTTGAAAGTTCTTATTATATTTTACAAGACGACAATTATAGTTTTTGGACACTAATTTTTTTGTTATAGATCTCAACTAAAGAAATTACTCTCGATATTGGTGAAGACAGAATTCTCTTGGAATCAAAATTAAGAGGATACCTTTTAGATATCTTTGTACCTTATATTATCAAGCAAAGAAATTGCGCGTCCACTTTTGATAAAACATCCAAGGTAATTATAAAAATACATTTAAGAAATTTGTTTATTGAATAATTTCGTTTTTTTTTAGGTTTTAAAAGTTACAATGCCTCTTGTTGGCGGTTAAATATTTTGTAATATGCTTTGGAAATTGTGGTTGGATACGTTTTTGATAATTTACACCAGATGATTTGTACAGTTTCAACAGTTTGTTCTAGTCGATTTTGCATTTCATTGCTGTTACGCGTGTAAACTTATTACAGATAAACTTCATATGTTTCGATGCATATATTTATTTATACAAACCTCATACCTAATCCATTTATCTTACTTTTGGCAATTTTTATTATTGAAAATTAAACTGCCAATAAATGATCTCAGATTTCCCAATCAGTTATATAAACGATTTCCTGCAAAGTAGAATGAAATAAAAAGTACTGATTGATTTAACATTAAAATATCTATTTCAGAAATAAACTATTTTATCCATAACTTCTTCCTACATTAGCGTACATGCATATTAATTAGGTGATCAGCAATTACTTTAAAACCTATTTTATAAGCTGATATTACTTATTATTATAATACAGGTCTCCATGTAAACTCGATAATATCTTAAAACTATTGAGCATCATTTTTGCGAGCAATTCCAAGTTTATACATCGCTTTGTAAAAGTTACAAATAGTATATTCATTTTTATCACAGTTAGTAAAACAGTGAAGATTTTTTTTGTATTTGGAAGAATCAATAAAATTGAAAATAAAACTTTCAATTTTACTTACTCATATATGCAAATAAGTACGCAATATGGTCTATGGGTTCAACAAAGACAATTTTCATTAGTATCATATGAAGGAAAAAAGAACGAGTCATATTGTAGGATTGTAACTTCTTCATTCTAACCAATGTTATTTTAATAATCTTTCTTTGTTCAACTCATAGAATCCACCATATTGAAAACAAATCTGCACTGATGCCTGTATTGCTATAATACTATAGATGCTTCGGCGATTTATTTCCTTAATACATGAATGGAATTTGAATTCTATAACAAGAATTGATTATTTTTAAACTAGTAAAGCAATGTTTTCAAATGTTTACATAATAGAAAACATTTTTTGACAAATTTGGGCTCTTTTTATATGGCATTTTCCAATTCTACTGTTCATTTGTGCAATGTATGGATATCTATAAAAGTTGAATGGTTATCCCTTCACCGCAACAAATTGATAAAATTGCCATTAAATTACTATTTTATTGTGCCTTATTTGATATGTTCACTTAGATATAATATCAGCCTTTCAAAATAATCCTAAAATATTGCTTAAATAACAGAGAAAAGCAATATATTGGACGGAAAATCAATTTTAAAATTGCTCTATATTGATTTCTAATTATTGAGTTGTTTGGCTAGATTAGAAATTTTACACAATATTTGCCTGTTAATTTAAAATGAATAAAGCCAATAATTGTTATTGATATCAAAACGAAAATAGTTCTAACCTAATAAACAAAATTTAAGAAATTTGAAAAGTTTATAATTAGGTTAATAGATAAATGTGCGGATATAATATAGAGTAGTCAATATGAAATCGAAACGAGATGTTTCCTTTGGTAATATATTTTCAATTGAATGATTGAGTCGTTTCAGGAATATCCAAATATTTTTTACTACGCCAAAAGTCTATGGGTGCAATGTGATTACTATAATTTCTTAAGCATATGTATGTTTTCAAGACTGTTTTATATCTTTTGCACTTGAAACGAGTCCGTCCCAATCAGAAAATCGACAAATTGTGACTAGATAAATTTATTTAACTGATGATTATCATATTTCAGTAAAAAACGTCGGTCGTTCGATTCTCAAAAATCTAAATAATTGTGGAATAAGGTACAAAATATTAAATCCTATAAGAGCGCAAGAAACGAATTTACAGCTCAATTCAACAAACGTTTTGTGCTTATTTTGTAAAGTATTTTCCGATTTTTTAAGAATGTCCACGTCTTGTTTTAATATAGCACATAAAAAGTTGTAAGTTATGTAACTACTGATTTTTTTGGTTAGCAAAACGCATACAAATCCTATAAAAGTTCTCAATAACAGGCAACCGAACATTGTGTAAGACAGCCACATTATGATGTATGGAGCAGTCAGCTCTGTTGGTTTCATTATTCCTGCTTGATAATTAGTCCATGCGCCCAATTCAATTCCAACGCTTAGTCCCAAAATCATAGCTGTATCACCTCTAAAAAATAAAATATAAATATAGTTTAAGGCTCCAACATAATCCTCAAGGTTGCAATCATTACAGAGAATTAACAAAAATTTTAACAATTATGCAACAAAAAATTATTCCATTTTTAATGGTTATTTAAGTTAATAATTTAATTATTATCATTCAATTTGTGGAATTATTTCTTTTCAAGGATCTTTCTAAAAAATTAAATTCAATTAGGATTTGTATTACATGTCATACCTAGTGGGAGTCCATTTACCACTATTTGGGTAATATACTATCAAAAATACTGCAGATACTATAAGTATTAAGGGAGCAGAAGGGCTGGTGAGAAAATAATGATCCAAATTATCCACCAGTGGTACTATTGGAAACATGATGGCAATAGCCAAGAAAACACCAACAATGACATCCTAAAAATTAATACCATTAAATATATTTAAATAATTGTTATTTAATACCTACCAATACTGTATGCATGCCTAAATATAGCCGGCTAACGCAAATTATTGCACACCATAGTGTTGATATGAGTATGCCTAAAGGAATGTTGTATAAATATCTGTCCATTGTATACAAAATAATGGAGAAAGGTATAGAGACTCCAACCATTGCATGTGTCGAAGGCATGCCATATTCTAAAGCCCATTTGTTGTGCAAACGAACAACTGGTGGTCCAGGTCTGGGCCATTGGATAATATCCTTCAAAACTTGCCCTAAAATGGAGTATACATTAATTTTTTCAAGCAAATAATAATTATAATGAGGGAAGACCTTTTTTTGTTGCTATGTTTGCAAAAAGTATTCTCTATCAAACGAATATAATTGATAAAATGTTCAGCATGTTCATAAGAGGAATGTAAAAAATTCAATGCACTAGATTAAAAACATCACGGAGTAGTTGAATTTGATTTTTTAATTCACATACTGTTTATAAAATGTCTCTTCCTGTTATCTGTTAGGATTCCTAATTTGATTATAAACAATATACCAAATTCTTGTTGACCTCTAAGATTATTTAATTTATAACTAATTAATGAATTATACAAACCTATATACATAGCAATACACCAAACTAACACGAATCTTCTTCCTACAGCTCCATCAATGTTCCAAAACCAAAATGGAATGAATGAGGAATAGAACACTTCATCCCCTAAGGCCGTACCAAATAAAAATATATAGTACCAAAATTTATTTTCTATCGTATAATCATGATTTTTCTGCTTTGACTTTCGGTTAACACCGAAATAATCTTGAACTTTGGCTACTAATTCCGGCTGCTTCAGATAATCCATTGTAAATTACTTAGCTACAATGAATTACGGAACACTTTGCAAATATTTGCTTCTTCGATTATTGAATGTTATGTACCACTAAGAACCTCATTCTAACATAACCCGAATTTAAATGGTATGAAATATGAAATTCATATTCGACTAAAACACTTCAAATAAATAAAAAGCAAAATACGAACAATCGAACTACCGCATGGTGCAATGCGCAATGTCAATATGTCATGTGTCGATAAAGTCAAACTACTACTTCTTCTTCTTATCTATGGCCTCTTACCTAACATGGTAACCAGTCAATCCAAAACCAAAAGAGCTCCCCATAGACAAAAAAAAAAATCTTTCTCTATGGAGCTCCCCATAGAGAAATAAAGATGTCTTATATTTTGTCTATAGAGCTCCCTCATTTTACTTCTGGTATAACGAGACTCAGTTAAAATAAATAAAAATGCTAAAATAATTTGTTTACTTTTATTGTACAGAAAATATCATACATCGATTATAATCAATTCACAACATTGATTTTAAATTCCATTTAAATATTTTCACATGTTAATAGAACCAGCTCCACACGAATTTTACAAACGGGGTGACCCAATAAAAGGTAGCCTATAATCATAAAAACATGCGGTTTTCTCAAATACGTTTTATTTTATTATACCTAAATTTTGTTTAAGGGACACAGAAATTATTCATTACCAATACAGGGTGTTATATCATAATCTCCTCTTTTAAATTCATAACTATTTTTTAAATGGAACATCCCGTATATAGAGATATTTTGAAAGTATATACAGGGATATCCAAATTAAGTGTTCGTCATTGGCATATTAACTAAATAGGTCTATGGCATAGACCTATTAATATAGTTAATAGGTCTATGGTCTATGCCGTCTATGGTCATTGGTAACTTTTGTAATTTTGAAATTACGACATCGGTTAAATTAGCAAACTAATTACAACCTTATTCATAGTCGTATTTAGTGGCTACTAACACACTACACTACTAATGTCCCACTAAAAAATCGTATTCATAGTTCCAATTAGTGGGTACTAAGATGTTATTTTTGTTAGTAGCCACTAAATTTCTTAGTGGCGTTACAAGGGGTGTTTAATAAGTTACTTTTAAACATAATTTAAAACGTCAACAAAGGTCTAATGCGTGAAATCGAGTATTCACTGCGTCTTTCCTGCCTTTTTACTGTGTTTTTACTACTCTTTTGCTCAAGTATCTCATCGTTACGAATATTTGAATTTCAACTGGATTACGTATTAATACATTTACTTCTTCAGCTTCTTACATGCACCTTTCCATAAATATCTAACGGTTAACTAATACCAATATACTTTATTTCAAAAGCTGGTAGTCCCGATACTTCAAAAAGACTGGCAAAGATGTTAAAAAAAAAAAAAAAACAGTTTTTAGTTTATTTAACTCTTTTTTTGTGTTTTGAGAAGAAAAAGAATAAAATTGTTATACTTTTAAATGCCAATAGCTAGTTACCAAAGAGGTATAAACCGTTCAAACTTTGGTAACAAACGTACTTGGCCAAAGTGTATAATTGGCTAATATAATCATGATTTTTACTAAATAACGGGTTTCGCCGTAAAAAGTCTTTTGTTTTCCCAAAAATAAGATTCACTGGAATTTTATTCTTTTTCCCATCACCCATTCAATTGATCTCAGCACATGCGTCTGACACAATAACCAAAATCTCCAAGTCGCCAATATAAAATAAAATTTTAAGTTATTCCCGTTGTTGCCATATTCATTTTTCTGCTAGCATTATTTTAACTAGTGGGATAGAAATATGCAATTATGAATAGGAAACGTTAGTGGCTTGTTAGTATGATGTTAGTGGCCACTAACTAGGGGTGTTTTAACATCATTTTAATAGGAGGCGACTATGAATAAGGCTGTTAGTATTTTTTCCGCTGGCTACAATGGTGAAAACAGAAAAACAATTGAGCATCACGAACACTTAATTTGGATAACCCTTTAAACTCTTCTACTTTTCATAAATATACAAAAATTTTGTATCTTTGTATAAAATATATTTGCTAAAACCGCATGTTTTAGAGGCGTTTAAAAATTATTATCTCACTAAAGGGGCTACTTTTCATTGGGACACCCTGTATTTCGCTAGTATTATAGTCACGTAAAAAATTATTAATTAGTTAAGTAGGTAACATTTTTACCAGTTTTGTTTAATTTTTTTTATGTCAGTATCACAGATACGAAAATAAACGAAAGTCCCTAAATACATTAATTTTGATATAGAAATTATTAACAGAAAATAAGTTTATCGATCTACCTCCAACCTAATAATCTACCTACGTAAATCGATTTATTTCATTGATATGCAAGTTTTTAATAATTATGTGTTATGGGTGAAGCTATACATGTAGGGAAATATTCTGAGTAAACCTATGTACGTAAAATACACGGCCAGGAATATAAGCTTACCCAAAAACCTTTATACTTGAGTACTTAAAAATTCTATTATTCTTATGTTTAAATATACATATAAGTACAAAGATTTTCCACTCTTCTAATTTTACCCGTAACACATGTATCAACAGATAAAAAATATTCAGAACGATCGTATAGTGATAAATTTCTGTAACAATACAGAACTATTGATAAAGTTCTGTATTGATAGAGTTCTTTGTAGAAACACAAATTGATAGAATTTTATGGGCTCACAATATAAAAATCTATCAATTTTTTAAGTATACCTATACTTAAATATTTTGAAATATTTGCTAATATAACCATATTATAATAAATAATCTACTCTAAAATATATCTATACTATATTCACAATTAAAAACACTTACTAAATACCCTGCTTATTTTCTTAAACTTACCTAACATCATTAATCTATAAATAATGTACATAGATTTTATGCACATCTATTTGCGACATGTAGTGACAAAATTTAGTTTAATAATAGGTTATTATATCAGAAATACTTAACTGTTATCCAAGAATATAGTACGATTAAAAATAAATATATGTTTATTGGAAAATGTTATGCCTACTTATTCAGTACTTACATAAGTAATAATATAATTTACAGTATGTAGAAAAATAGTATATAAATCGTTCTGATGAGTTTTCATTCATAAAATTCATTTTTTTAATACATGTAACAACAGTGTAATAATTATTAAAGAACAAATTTCCCGAGAAATTTCCTAAATAAGTTGCAAACTTTTGGTAATGTGAACAACTCTAACCTTATTCTAACCTTAACTCAAACTTATTCAGTACTTACATAAGTAATAATATAATTTACAGTATGTAGAAAAATAGTATATAAATCGTCCTGATGAGTTTACATTCATAAAATTCATTTTTTAATACATGTAACAACAGTGTAATAATTATTAAAGAACAAATTTCCCGAGAAATTTCCTAAATAAGTTGCAAACTTTTGGTAATGTGAACAACTCTAACCGGAACAATTTTTTCGATATGATAGAGCAGTAGGGATTGGCAGGTTAAGGAAAGGAATTATTTTCTTACACCGTTCGCTAGCATGAACATTACCTTGTCGAACAATTAGAGAATAGTCGGTGGCGACGTATTAGATCCACCATTTCTTAAATTGGTTTTATCCCTATTGGAACAAAAAGTCGCATTTCGACTATTTACCGTTGTTACAGCAGACGTCGAAGCGTCTCCTTTGCTAACTACTAATGGACCGAATTCTCCTTCTTCGTTGTTAACGCAAAGAGTAGTTCCTCTGGTTTTGTTTTGCTTTAATCTGTTAAAAAACGAAATTTGATTTACCACTTTTACAGCCAGTTGTACAGGTGCGAGTATGTAACTATTTTAATCATTTTAATAGTCGCCCCTGTACAACCGAGTCATAAATAAGCCTATAATTCTGGCTTTCAATTTTTTTTCCTGAGCAGAAATACTATTACTTCTTCTCTGGAAAATAGACCAACATAATTTTATAGATTATATTATTATTTAGGTAATGTAAAACATGTAAAATGCAACTATATCTATGCAAATTCACTAACTACTAACATGACTACGATACAATGAGCAAAAGCGTAACATACAGTTTGATCTAAAATTTATAATAGCAAGTTGTTGGCCCAATGACGGAACTCCTTCACAGACAACTATATTTACAGTGATGAAATTTGCGTGGTCCTTTCACTGTAATAAAATAAAAACAAAAAATGAAAAATTGCAAAAAGATAAGGAAGCGCGATCAAATTAATGCATGGAAAAGCTAAGCCAGCGATATCAAGCTCGAAGCGAACATTTCGTTATCGGGATTAATTTTTATGTAATCTGCATATTTATAAACGTCATATGCACGAAATAATCGTATTTATAGGATTTTACTTCAACTTATTAACGCTTTAATTGACTAGAAAGCATATAGGCACCAAATATAATTAAAGGCAGCTTTAAAATAAAAATTGATCGTTTACTCGACACCCCCTTATTATATTTTCCTGTGGAACGTTTTAAATTGGATTAAACAAAATTAACCCAGATAAAATGTACACATAAAGGCATAACAAAATATTTCTTATGCCATCCATGATTTGTAAATCTTTTGCGCTATGGAATTTGAAATAACGTATCGATAAAAGTGATCGCAGATTGATTTCAATGATTCAAATGCGTCAATGTAAAAAGTGTATTGCAAAACCTCACCTATCGGAAACGTGCTTTGCCTTCTTGGGAAAGACGCTGTTTTCCAATTGGAGAGTAGCATTGACTTCTTTGTTTGCGGCACAAGTGCACGCTTTTACGAAGCTCTTCTTGAAATTGTCGCTGAGAAAGGCGTACAGAATCGGATTCACCGCCGAATTCGAATAGCTCATGCAGGACGCCAGCACGTGGAGAGTGATTGAAAGCCTGAAAAAGATACGTATGTACATGCATCAGTGGCTCCCACCGAAAAGATTCCATTACATTTGGAATCTCAAACTCTCTCCATTGTAGACAAAAAATTCAACTTACGTATCGTCGCTGTCGCTAATTGTCAATTGAGTAACCCAATACGGCAGCCAGCAAATAATGTAAACAGTCACTACTATCAGCACCAAATTGGTGACTTTCCGATGAGATCTCTTCTTCTCCTTGGACTTGTTTTTGGGGCCGACGTTCCGCAATTTGAGTATGACCAGCCAGTAGAAGTAGACGATCAAGCACAAGGGAATGGCGAAACCGCAAACGAACATGTAATAGGTATAAATTTGAGCCGGAGCAGCGTCGAATTCCTCCGTGGAATTGGCCGAAATGGAAAAATTGCTTTCGTTTGCGGACACAGTAAAATTACTATCAGTTGTGCTCCATTCGATGACGCACGATGTTTTACCGCCGTAGTACACTTCCTTCGAGTATTTGATTATGGGAATCATTAATAAGATGCTGAAGGTCCAGGCGAATAGGGAAACGAGTTTAGAGATGAATGGCGTGCGCCATCTTGGAGAGGATATAGGATGGCAAACTGCTATGTATCTATCTGCGCTCATCACGCATAGTAAAATAGAGCTGGTGAATTGATTTATGCCAGCTGAGAGCATGTAAGCTTTACAAGCAAAATGACCGAAAATCCAATGGCGATTCAGCATTGTCGTTATCAAAAATGGTATGCCGATTAGAAAACATTCATCCGCTATTGCTAAATTAACGATATACATGTTGGTTACTGTTTGCATTTTGGAGAATCTAATTACGACGTATATGACAAGGGTGTTGCCTACCAAACCGACTATACACACAATTGCAAACAGGATGGTCTGGATAATTTGAACTACCAGCGGATAAGAAAGTTCTTCTATTTCCGTGGAATTTCCCGTAACGTTACTCATTTTGTTCGTTTTTAGATTGCAACCATTTCCAATGAATTCCTAAAAACAATTAAGATGAATTGTTACTAAAAAATCGGTATAGTTATATTCTCCCCAAAATATCCCCTTATTGTTAGAAATTCTCATTTGAGGTAAACTATCTCAGTTGATATTCTTTATTATAATTAACAATAAGATTTATAAGTATGAAATATTATATTGATCGAAACATCATATTTTATATCTTATACAGAGTGCTTTTCAAGGAAATCGTCCATTAGAACTTATAGGAGTTCTCGAATAGTTACAAATTTGAAAATTTAGGAATTAAGTATAATCAATTTTGAGGGTTTTTCGAAAATATATTCAAACCATAAGTGACTTCCGGTTATATCGGAAGTAGATACAACTTCGTTATTTCGAATGGAAAGTACCATTTTTGACTTCATTTTTGGATTCTGTGGCTCTATTTAACTAGACTTTTTGACAATAGAACCGTATGCCATAAGAGGACCACTTTTGAGTTATTTATTTTTTTTTTATTTTTGGAAAAACGGTCGAATGTTTCTATGATATCTCTGGTAATAATGCACCTAGAAGTTTGAAATTTTGTATCGATAATGTCCAGACAAAAATTCTATAACTCAAAAGTGGCACATTTTTGACATATGGTGTTATCATCAAAGTCTATAGTTAAGTCCGTCAGTTCAAAGTCTATCAAAAACTCACAAAATTGATTATCCTTCACTCCTAAATTTTCAGATTTCTAACTCTTCAGGATCTCCTATAATTTCTAATGGACGGTTTCCTTGAAAAGCACTGTATTCCTGTGCATGATGATTTTAATGCAAGACACCCCATATATATTTTTTGCAGTTTTAATAGGTTTCACAAACCATACATACTGTATGGTACTGTATGGTACTGTATGTATGGTTTGTGATAGGTTTCCATTTTTTATGTATTACTAAAATTCTTACGAAAATATGTTTTTGTTCGTCTCAGCATCCGAACGATGTTTTTCTTAAAACTTCTTCCATTTCGCCTCGTGCTAAATCTGTAACAAAAAAAATCCAATTAGATGGAGAAGACACCTAATTAATAATTAGATGAAGGGGCAAATTACTCACGCAATTAAAAAGTTATCGGCATATTACAGAGGGAGAAAATAAAATTAGCATACCTTTAATGTTTGTTTTTGCTTCATCTTTTAAATCGTTTTATTTGCAGAACTCGTTTTAACAAGGACTAATAAGGGCACGAGGTGCTCGAATTTATTATTTAATTAACAAAAAATACATGTATTTACAATTAAAAACAAATATTTTTTGAAAATAAATATAAAAAAGTTTTTCTTTGTTTCTCTAAAGCGATGGAAGCAGGAATGGAAAATTCGACTTGGAATTAGAAAAGTCAGTAAAGTTTTTGTTGATATATTTTCGAAACCAATATTCATATTTTCCACGGAAATCAATACCCTATAAATATGCATGTCACAAGGGCTGGCTTTTGAATATCCGTAGACACGTTTCAGAAAGTAGAATTAGAAAATGAAATTGGCAACAATCAACAATGATGAAGATGAACTAAAATACTTAATTTATCAACGTCTAAAAATATTAATTATTTCCAAATTAAATTAATCTAATTCGGCGCTTTTAAGTAACAAATTGCAGACGGAACTTTCGGTAAACAACTTAAAATTCGTTATGTTAAAAGTGAACTATCTAGTCCAACTACTTTGTTCGAAATTTATGAGTTTAATGAGTTCTGTTGCTTATGATAAATCACTTCATTGTCATTCCAAGTATAATACAAACGGACGATTCTGGCAAATAAAAAGGACGAAAGGATGTTTTTTAAGGCAGAACGTATACAGGCTGATTGATAGGAATGTCCTCTACTCTCCCAGTGATATATTGCACGCCATTGATCTCTTTCCACATTGACGTTCGGATCTACCACGACGTAATTTGAGGAGGGATGTCGCGTTTGGTAGAGCATGTAGGTTTTTGTTACGAAAATTCGACCCGTCACCGAGATTTTCCGCAATATAGACGGTTGAAATATAGTCAACAGCTTCCTTCAGGTCTGAAGGCATTACGTCGACGGTAGGTAATTTAGAAATACAGCTAATAAAATCAGGCGAAACCAATATTTGATCGACTATTAGTTGGATATAGGTATAGTACACACCAATTTTACTACAATGAAAACTAAATCTGGACGATCCACCTGCTATCAAATATTCATAACATAATTTCCATATACATATTTGAGCGAATACGCGTTTAACACATAAATGAATATTCATCGTATATAACTTATCGCCTGTTGACCTTCTTCCTGTGCCTAACGTTTCTAAATGCGATTCACATACTACCCCTCTTTCGCCATATAGTAAATTTAAATTTATTCCGCGAATGTATTTTCATATTTTCCCCGTTGAAAATTGATTTTTATGCGCCTATTCAGGAATCTACCGTAGTTTTAGTTAATTATACGATTGAGCGGTTTCCAACAACAACACGTGTTTGTTCAAAATCTGGATCATAAAATTGATTATTAATTTTCATATTTCTGTGCATCAGGTGGAAGAGGAAAAAACTGTGAATTTCATATTGTTGTCAATACAAGTATTTCTCTATGTTAAGCTTGTGATGTGATGCTTACTGTGATGCTTACTTTTAACATGAGATAAAATTATATGTATAATACTGTAAACCACTTTGACTTTTGTACTTTACCAATATTTGTCGAGTTTTCCTTTTAATATCTCACATTAAAGGCGCATTTTTTCTTCTCGCCAATATAAAATTCAGATTTCGCTTGGAAACTTCGTTAACTTCTCGAATCTCTATACTCGATTAAGTTTTTAAGCTGTCGTTCTTTATGGCGCTAATGTCGATCGACTTTCAGACGACTTTTTAATTCACTTTATACATGTTCAGCATTAAAATATCAGCTCGATGCGGCTTTATTTAACTTTTTAAAAATCGCATCATCCTACTAAATGACACGTCAAAATCACGGAGAATTTTTTTTCAAAATTAAATAACTTCCAACAATGTGATATTTTTTTAATGAACGAGCTGAGGTTTCTTGAGAAATTTATGTATTTTTATAGCATAATATGCATCCAATTTTCTTGCAGTTTATTTATTTTCCTGTAAAGTAACGCTAGGTAGGTATACATAAGTAGGTATATGTATTATAAGTTTAAATAAGTTTTGAAATTGTTCGACCTTAGCCGGAAGCACTTGAACGCAAATACAGTTTTTTGTGGTAAAAAATACTTATAACTTCCCTAACAGAACTGTTAAAAGTCAAGAAATATGCCATGAACAAGGACCTGTGATGTTTTGCATCGCAGAAAATACACGACAAATTGTTAACAAGGACGTAGATAATCTAAATTCCACTTGTTCTCCGTTTAAGATGCACTTAAAGTTATTAGACTTTTATAGTTTCAAATACACGCTAGAGATATCGCGATTTATCTTACCCATACCGCGTTTATATACACACATAAATAACTGGTAAGTACCTTAAATAGATTTTATTACGTAGAATTAAATGAAAAGCTACCTGCAATTAAATCTTTTCTAATTTATTTCGTTACTTCTTGTTTACCTTATTCGAATCAAGACATTAAAATAGAAAATTTAATAAGTAAGTACTGAATTACTTAATAGTGCTTCTTAATACCTAATTTAGTAAATTTGAGGCAGTAATTCTGCGGAAAATTTTAGCCGAGTCCGGTCTACGTATCACATAGTTATTAATTGTTTTGACATTCTTATTTTCCAGACCTATAACCAGTTATGAGACAAATCTTGGAAAATATAAACGTCACAACTTTTGACGAACATTTATTCAATGAAGAAGATTCAAATGAAGTTACATCGAAACCAGTTGACATATATTTGTTGATTAGATACAGTACCTTTATTTTTAGTGTAGTATCAGATGTGTTGATATTGCATTCTCGCTTTAAAATTGAAACATTCGGAAATCCTAATATTAAACTAATTGTTAATTGGGCAATTATTAATCTTTTTTACTTTGTGTACCAAATGTTGATAATTGATTTATTGTGCATTTCCATTTTGAAATATGAAACTACGCCTACATGTTTGCGAGCATTGTCGGGAACAGCTTTTTTACTGAATTACATTTTTGGTTTAGGGATGTTAATCCGCTCAATATTGATTAATTCCAAATACACGTTATCTGAAGAATTAAAAGATATATTTGATAAATACTTTATTTATTTTTTATATTCCATAGGAATTATGATATGGGCGCACGAATACTTTTATATCAAATATAACTCATATGAATTAGTATTGATTTGTTTAGATTCTGTTATCATATGTGCGTTGATTATAAATATTATTAGGTGCATTTTTAAGATAAAATTTGAAGATACCTTTGTTGTATATGTGGGAAATTGCATAATAATATCATTGATTCCTCTAGTAATATTTCATTACTTATTTTTTGCATTAGTATCGTACGGTTCCGTGGAAATATTGGATTTGCTTTTTTTACTTAGAATAATTCCTGAAATAATTATGTTTAGTAATCCTATAATAGTTTGTATTATTTTATATAAAACTAGCAGATATTTTAATAAGGCTTTCAAGTCAATATTCATATGTTGTAAACAACCGAGTGACATAAAATGTTTCAATGAAGTTGAAAGTATTCGATATGATGAGCTTTAGACATTTTATTACTTTCTATGGTACCTTTCTAGCATTATTCTACGTATAGCTAATAAAATAATAATATTACATTAGTTGATTGATGGATAGGGTTGGTGTACAGATGCTATGTACTTACTATACCTACGTGTTATTTTGTTTCTTCTCAAACACTTGAAATGTATTAAATGCTATATTTTAACGGAATACTCTTTATTAAAATATAACATTCGGTGAGTTAATTAGTTATTTTTCTTCTCTCATAAAAATTGCTTCTTTTACTTGACTAATTTAATTTTTTTCGATTAAATA